TTCTTCAAATGTTCAGCCTTTTCACTTCATTGTTTTGGGATTTTCTGGGTTAAGTTTCCATCCTTACAGGTTTATCAACGTGAATTTTTGAGATATGGGGTTTAATTGTTAAATTCTTGGGTTTTTTCTTTAAATTTCTGGGCAGCCTATGAATTCGTTGGGTTCTTCGTGCTGGGTTCGTCTTCTTCATTCCCTGGGTAGATTGAAACGGTTTTAAAGCTATTTTTGGGGAAGATTATTGTTGTCTGGGTGTAAAGAAAAAGAAATCGAGTTTAAAGATTCAAAAAATGGTGAGAAATAAGCACTTTTGGTTCTGCGTTTTCTGGGTTTTTTCTGGGTTTTTCTGGGCTCGTTCTTGGCGTTCTTCCCGTTTCCAGGTCAGCTCCTGGGTTTGATTTTCCAGTTTCTGATTTCGTCGTTTGTTTTAGTTTTAATTGTTTTTTTGTTATTTCATTGCTGCTTTGGATTTTGGTTTGTGTAATCGAGTCTTCTCTTGGAAGGGGGTCTTTAAGTTCTGAAAAATTTGAAGAACTAGAGAGAGAAATTGAAGACAAGCTAAGAACAAGAGAGAGGAGAGGGTCAGGAGCAGTTTGATCCGTTTTTGGTTAATTTTTTCGCCTGGGCCTGTTTCTAGGCTTAAAAGGAAAAAGAAAAAGGCGTGCGGGCTGGACTGACTTCAGTCCAGCCCAGCTCTTTCTCTGCCAAAAAAATTAAAAAGAAAAAAAGGGGCTGGACGGGACCCTCCCCTACTTAAAAAAAAAAAAACGAGAAGGCATGGAATCAGTCCAGCCTTCTCCCAAAAAAAAAAAAAAAAGAAACAAGAGAGGCTGGAAGTCCCCCCTCCCCCCAAAAAGAAAAAAAAAAAAAGAAGAAGAAGAAGAAGAAAGAAGAAAGGGCTTTCAGCCCAAAAAAAAAAAAAAAAGATAAAAAAAAATCTTAGTTTTATTTCATTTAATTGTGAATTTATTTTATGTATGTTTTTATTTTATGTTTAATTGCCATTTCAATGTTTAAATTTTCTTTACTTTATTTAATTAATGTAATTGTTGATTTTTTTTATTTGTTTAATAATTAGATTAAGTAATCAATAGGTGGATAATTGTCAAGTCTCTTAATTTTTTAGGTACTAATGACGGTTTTCCACCGACAAAAAAATATTAAGTAAAATTTTTAATGAAGTCTCATATCTAATAGGGACTGCCGTTTAACGAAAAATAAGAAAAAAATTCTCAACGAAGTCTCCTATTTAAAAGAGATTTTCGTTTGATAAAAAAATAAAAATTCTCAACGAAGTCTCTTATTTGATAGGAATTGATGTTGGACAAAAAAATTTATAAAGTAAAAATTTTCAACGAACTCTCCTATCTAATAGAGATTGTTGTTTGATCAAAAAAATAAAAATATAAAAAATTTCTTAACAAAGTCTCCTATCTAATAAGTATTATCGTTAACAAAAAGAATTATTATAATAATAAAATAATAAAAAATTCTTAACAAATTCTCTAATATAATAATAACTGTTGTTATATATAAAAAAAATGTAGTTCAAATCAAAAAACAATTTGACAAAATAAAATACTTTAGGAGATAAATTTAGGACTAAGTTAGATGTGATATGTTTCTTAAGAAAGGATGTATTTGGGTGATCTATATCTTTTCAAAGCGTAATTAACTCTTTATCATAAAATCTCCGAACCAGGTGTCAATTTTAGATTAATAATAGATGAATTTAAGACTAAGCTAAATGTGATACCTTTCCTAAGAAAGAATATATTTGGGCGATCGATATTTTTTCAAAGTGTAATCACAAAAAGGATAAAAAGAAGAATCGATAGCATGGTGAGTGCGCACACCGGGATAAATTTAAGTTCCGATGGAGCTCGATCTACCAGAGAAGCTGCCTAACTGTGAATGTCCGATTACGAACCACAGGACCTGAGTTCACCAACAGTGGGTGTATTTCTGGTTATGAAATAAGAGGAAGCAAGAAAGTGAAAGAAAAGCAAGCAAAAGCCCAAAATAAAACCCCCCACGACCCAAAAGAACCTAGAATCGATTCCCCAAAAATATCTGCAGCCCAAATCAAATTGCAAAAGCAAAAGACAGTAATCGATATAGCAAAATATCCTAGTGTTTCTTAGTTGACAAGCTTGGCTAAGAAGACAAGAAGATAAGACAAGACGACATGAATTTGCATGCATTTTCATGGAAGGTTACACTAGTACAATTCGTTTTAGTGATCACTCAACCTCCTCTTCGATCCTCTATATAAGAATTAAGAAGCAAAGCATCTATACTTATCAACCAAATCCTCGTTTTCATTCCCTGAACTTTCTCTTTATAGCAAAATCAATATCTATCAGTACTGTTTCTTCAAGTTTAGAAATCATGTACTATATCTGCATGAAAGCAAAAACTATCTTCCTTTTGTTCCTCACCTTTAGTGGCCTCAGAACACTAGGATTTGCAAGGCCTGTGAACAACATGACGCCAACTTCTGGTGCAGACAAGGTGTATCTCCCACAGGGTAACCGTCCTATTGTTCCCTCTGGCCCTAATGGCTGCACCTACCTCCCTACTCCGCCTGGTGCTCGGAGGCATTGTCGACTTCATCACTGAGCTCCAAATAGTACTGAAGCTACTTGCAAGGTGCATGGAAGAATAGTTTTCTATTTTCTGTTGGTCCAAAGGAATCCTTAGATATCCACTGCTTGTAAGTATAAATAAATTTGATACCTATGACGTTGTTCTTATGATCTTCCATGCTTCTATGTATATATTTTCTTCTTGGATTTCTGCTTATTTATAGGCTGATCATATAGTTTATTCAGCCTTCTGGAAAAATACAATATCGTCCATTAATTATTTATTTTTTAAGAGATTCGGCTTTGAAGACTACTAGAGATGATGTTGTGTGTTGAAGTTTTAATACTTAAGACTTGAACCAAATATGTATAACGATAAGCCAGGGTTTTTTTTTTTTTGGTATGTATGGAATGACTTAACATAATTAGGATATGATCAAATTCCCTTTGAACTCCATCCAAAAAATAAATCTCCGTTGCCTCTTATTCCTTCAATATCACCTTTTTAGATTCCCTTAAAAACTATCACTGTTTCAAAGAGAATATTCGTAACACGCTTTGACTTTCTGTATTAGATATATGGGGCCCTACAAACTTACCCAACACCACTAACACTATACTCTTCACATAGAAGATGATGGGGATGTGGGTGTGGTAGGGGTGGAGGACGGGGTGATGGCGGCGACTACGAAAAGGAGGTGGTGATGGAGTAGTGGCACTGCTGGTGGTGGTAGAGATGCAGAGGCCCCATTCTTTTTCAAAGAGTGGTTAAAGGATAGTGAGCTGTGAGTCATGGTCATGGAGAAGACATGATGTTGTTAGACTTTGACCAAGCAAAAAAAGAGTGGAGAGAGTAAAGAGGAAACTTGTATATTCGAGGAAAATAAGAAGAAATAAACGTCGAGGAAAAAAAAAATATAGTAAGTGGTGGCCGGAAATCCCCAAGCTAGCCCAAATAACCCGAGCGTACTACTACAGATAAAATCAAACTGAAAAAAAAAAAAAATTGAGGTTTTTGGATCAAAGCTAATTAGAAAATAAAAGGGTAAAGGCTATTTGCAATCTTGCATATACCAAAATGGTTAATTAAAACACGGATTAATAACTCAAATTATCTTTATATGATAAGGTATTTTTTCAATATGTCATTGAGTCAATTTTATTTTTAAATATTAATTCATGTTCAATCTATATTTTTTTATCAAAATTTTCAAATCAAATTATCAAAATTATTTACATGATATATACATGACTAATTTTTATTTTTAAATTGTCATTACAAACCAATCAAATAGAGTATTTTTATGTGCAAATCGTATAACTAATTTCAATAATTTAACATAAAAATCTTGCTAGAAGAATAAATTAAACATTTATATATATTTAAAATTAAAATTAATTCAATTAAAAATATAATAATAAATTAACCGCTAACCCATTAGACCACATCATCCAAATTCCTTCAATTATTAAATTAAAACAACATTTCACGACAATAAAACCGAGTTTTTCTTTTCTTTTCTTTTTTCACAAGGTAAATGTAAACTCGAATTCACCACATCAACAATCATACAAATATATGAGAAAATGCATTGGAAAAAAGCTTACATTATTTATAGAGGAAATAACCATACTTACTCTATACATAAAAAAAGAAAAAAGTAGACAAAAAAATAAAGGGAAAGAGAAACTTTTTTAAAAAAAAATTGTAACTAAATAAAAATATTCTTATCACTTTTAATAAATAAAATAGTAATTTGTTTTGCTTTTCTTTATATCTATCTCTGTCATTAGATCTATGAAGTAATACTGTTATTTACTCTATGAGGATTCTAAAATTTCTCAAATGCATAGAAACAAATATACCTAATAGCATCCGACAATTTTCTTTTCTTATTTACACTTTTTTTTTGTTCAAATTCTGATGGCAAATGCCATTCCACTGAACCTACTTTCGCATGATTGGAAATATTCTATAGTGACATAATAAAGCTTTGATTTCCTAGAAAAGCAATCATAAACTAAACATGAAGAATTATAATTAGAAAAATATTACTTAATAATAATGCCTACTGCATGCAAGCAAAGGATAAAAAGAAGAATAGATAGCACGGTGAGTGCACACACCGGGATAAATTTAAGTTCCGATACAGCTCTACCAGAGAAGCTGCCGAACTGTGAAATGTCCTATTACGAACCACGGGACCTCAGTTCACCACCACTGGGTATGTTTATGGTCATTTCTTCGAAATCAAATGAGTTTGAATAAAGATAAAGGACCAGTTCATAACAATTACTGAAGAAATTCTGGTGGAAAAAAAGAAAATTTAATCCACCCCAATAGTTAGATTTTGAATATTATTTGCTTCAGGTCAAACAAGCGATTCTTTTTAATCCAAGGATTATTTGGACGAATCAATAGTTGCCGTGCCTCACCCCATTAATAAGCGGAGCTGCACCCCTGGTTGCCCTGACATATGAGACATAATCACTATAGGTCAAAGTAAATAATGTGCTCTGGTAACGAGTCACTTGGATAGACTTTCGAAGTGACTCGGTAATGTGGCCGCCGAAGCCAGCTTTGCGCATCAGCGAATCAATTGCCTCCTCTTTCGTCCAGCCTGAGACCAAAGTGGCAAAAATGTAAGCAAGCGTGAGACAAGGAAAACAAGTGTGGGTGGGTTTGAGGTTTCACAGTGAATCAAATAAGAAACATTTTCCCATTCCCATACCTGCTACGGTTCTCTTTCTCTGATTGGGTTGTCTACCTCATTCAAATGACAAAAAACAGATCAATCAAACCTAGCATGCAATTAACAACAGTTTTACCTTCATGGGCAGCCACTTCAGGCAAATAAGTAGCACTTCGCCTTGCATTGTTATTAGGATCAGTAAACTCAATGATCAAACCATGCGTCCCAACCTGCATGCCAGAATCACATAATAAGGCAGTAAAATTGAACGAGGTTACTAGATTCTGTTAAACATAAAGCTTGAAAGCATTGGCACGGAGAATCATAGACACGTTTCCAGTGATACTATTAGATTCTTCAGCAACTACGTACCATGATTACTCCGTTAAAATTCATGTAACTACTCAAACATTGTACCAGTGACACAGCTGATCAATACTCCTGGAGATGAGCTACAATGTGTATCCTGATCATACAAATATGCACTCAAAAGTAGGTACAGGGAAAGCCTCTTTTCATCATAACTTTATAGGTCAGCTTCTACAAATTTGATTGATTTTTGCGAAATCCTAATAAACATTTGAACAAGAGCCATTTGGAAAATTATTAAAAGGAAATGACCTGTTTGGTACTCAATGATGGAGCAGGCCATAATGAAGTTAAAACTTAAATTTAACAAGGTGATACCTGTCAATCTAAGGGAGATACCAGTCAACACAACCTTAGAGATTCAGCAATTTAAAGCAAAGTTCCAGTGTGTTAGAATTTTTTTTTGTCAACAAAAAAGTGGTAGACTACATGGAATGGAAAACATAACTGAGCACGATACCATCCACAATAACTTGGTAATTTAGACATTAAAAAGCAGCATCTCATACCCAATATTCCAAGAAATTAACAAGTTAAAACACATACCTCCCAATCAAGATAGTTGTTGGCAGTCTCATAATTAGCCAGAATGGAAACTGTGCATTCCAGAGCAGGCAATTCTTTAGCTTGTATAGGAGGGAATCTGCGGTCCCTCAAAGCACTGCAAGGCAGTAAACGTGAAATGTAGGAACCCTCATAAGTATGCCATGCTAGACCAAAGTCACACCAACAGGGAACAGCACGAGAAGAGATTTAAATATAACAAGAGAAGGCATTTGTGAGAAATCATGTCATAAGTTCGAATGACTAAAAGCAAGGTTGCAGAAACAAACTTTATAGAAATCTATTTAGATGGTTGATGCATCTCCTCTTTGGGTTGGGGGGCATGGGAGGAAACCTTGACTTCTTGACACTTGACAGACTTCAAAAGGAAAAGAGTAAGAAGATCTTTTTCCTCTGTACAGAATTCAAATCCATTTTTCACATGCTCTTAGACTAGAATGTAGTAAGCAATTCCTAGCAATGGCAACTATAAGGATAAGTAAGGGCTTGGCAGTTTGTCAAAGAAACAGAGTGGCAATGGGCTTGGAGGTTTGTATACTTTTTTACATGGAGGAGGGAGAGAAATTCATAATTCAACAGAAATATATATAGCACTACATAATTTGGATACAAAACAGAGCAATACCTTGTTAAAGCATAGTCCCGGAATCCATTAATCAAGTATCGAGCTTCCAAAGTTCCAATGCATCCACGTAAACGAGCCTCGCCTCCATTGAAAACTTTCTTCCAAGTAACAAACAACGGGCTGAAACCAGAATATTACCATTTCAAACATGGTTCTAGTGTGCAAAATTGACAGCAAATAAATAATTATCGCTTTCACGACACCTCTCAACAATTACAAAAACTTTTCAAAAAATCATCTAAGACAGCCTCCCCAACAAGTACGAACTGGTTAAAGATTATCTAACACCAACTTCCCATCAAGTAAAAAACTTCTTACAGAATCACCGCTTCCATGACACCTGACAAAGAAGTGCCAAGTGTTCAGACAAACTATGATATGACATCATTAAGCAATAATGGCACAGGCCGAGAGATTATTCAAGTTGTCAACACGATATGAGAATCAACGAATCTCAAATTTTGATCTGTCAACATTCACCCAATCCATACAATTCAGCAAATTGCAGACTTGACACCTCAATCATCTCGGTGAATAAATGCAGAACAGCCAAGATTTCACCCCACAGTTGAAAAACAACATGAATTGCTGTCACCAGAGAACTGGAGAGATAAAATATAACAACTGCAAAGGTGCAAAGATGGAGTTCTGACCACAATAAATAAATAAATAACAGAAATCCACTAAAAAAGATAGTTTGATACGGCTAACAAAGTGGAATGTAGATTTCGGCATTAAGAAAAAGCTCTCTCCCACTGTATCTCCTAAGCATAAACAGAGAAATTTAAACAAGCTTGAAATTTGGCTCTACATTTCACAATAAAGATCTGATCTTTTTCCTTTGTAACATAGAACCAGACTTGTCTTAAAATACAACACTTTCTTGAAGTGATTAAAATTAAAATTAAAGAAAAAACAAAATAATGCAAGAATTTAATGCACTAATCACAAAAAGATACGCATGCATAGCATCATCCATGTCGAGTAAATAAAGGAAAAAAAATATAAATAAAAACACCCAATAAAACCTGCAAAACACAAACATAATTCCACACAATTAAGCAGCTTTTCCACCTAATTTAACCCCCCCAAAAAAGGCCCTCTTTGGTTCTCCAAATAAAATAAAATAAAATAAATCCAAAACAACACTCAAAATTATACGAGCAGCAACAAAACAATCCAAATTCAAGAACCCACTTAAAATGCATGCACATAACATGTACAAAATGATTAAGAGAGCGAAATAGAGAGACAGAGAGAGATTACTGTTGGCCCTCATCAAAAGCAGGAGGAGGAGCATCCTCAGAGTTGTAGTGAGCAACAAGAGTATCAAAGCAATACACAGCCATTTCCCTATTTGCAGCCACCATGATTTCTTCTTTCTTTTCTACCTTCCAACAATTCACCAATTCTCTCTCTCTCGCGGTAACCAAAAAAAGAGAAGGGAAAAAAAAGAAAAGAAATGATCTTTGATGGGTTAATACGAATAAATCAATGAAACAGAGAGACCCTTTTGTCCTCTGTTGTAATAATTGAGAGAGAGAGAGAGACAGACAGACAGAACTAAAGATATCTTTCTTCCTTGTTTATGATTTTCTTTCTTTCGGTGTTATAGCAGAACATCCTCTGGATTCCAGTCTAACATGGAAATAATTTTATTTTTTAAAAAAGGAATAATAATAAAAATTGCGTCATATTTTTCCTTTTCTTTCCATTATTGCCCTAAAGAATGACTGTTGCGTCGGTGTAGTTTCCGTTTTTGGTTGGGGGTGTAATAGTACCACCAAAACTTAGAGTAAATTATAAATTACTCCCTCTATTACTTAAAAACGATTTAGTTAGTCCCTTTTCGAAAATAGTTATTTTATTTCTTAAACACATATTTACCATGCTTAATTTAACAATATTTTATTTCAAATAATTTTGTATTTTCTCATAGATCCTTCCATTATTTTGCTGATTTTTTTATTTTTTAAAAATAAAAACTAAAAGAAATTGAAAAAAAACTAAAAGGAGGATTGAATTAAAAAATTTTAAAAATATAAAAATTAAATAATTAGTTTTTGAAATAACATGTATTAATTAATTCGAAACTAATTTATAATTTTACTCGGTATTTCCAAAGGTTTTCTTTGCCAAATGGAAAGTCCTTTTTCCCTGAATGGTCCCCATTATTCAGTTTTTTTTTCTTTTTTGGATAGTTACAAAGTATTATCAAATTTCTATTTTCTTGGATAACTATGAATTATGAAGGATTAAAATATATCTTTCTTGGTTAATCTCTATTTCTTTTTGTTGGAGTGAGTAAAAAATGAAAACCCCTCATTTAAATAGAAGTTACTCAAGAAATTCTATTTCATAAAAGTCACTTATGGACAATTGATCAAACTTATTTTTGTGAAAAAAATTTTACACGAAAAATTATTAAATACTTTTTAAAATTTTAGTGAAAAAAAGAAGAAGCAATACCTTTGAATTAAAAAAATCTGATTTTACCTCATAAACAATATGAATTTTCGAATGTACTTCTTTCATTAAAATTTTGTTAGAAAATTACTAATAGAGAAATAAAAGAATCGAGAAGACTTTTAAGGGGTTTTTCCGTCCATGTCCCAATTAGATATCCTAAGATTAAGGGACAAATTCAAAAAAAAAAAAATTATATATATATATATATTGATTGAGAGATAAAATCAGAAGTTTTTTTTAGTTCGAAGGGTATTTATTTATTATTATTATTTGCTCAAACTCGGAGGTATTTTACAATTGATTTTTTTTTTTTTTTTGGTTATCATGTACTAGTTTAGAGAATTGATCTAATGGTAATTTCATGCATTAGGACGTGTGGCTCGAGAATAATATCTAACCAACTCTAATGGTGACTTCCTCCCTTTGTATATTAAATGCATCTTTAAAGAATCTGATTTGGATGAGCATAAGTTCAACTAATGGAGAATTATTTACCAAATGGGCATAGAAAAATACAAAATTGTTACCCTTTCCTTTGCGTGATTGGAAACATTTTAATTCAAGGGCTAAGTCAAATATGAATTAAGAAAGATACCCTAATCCAAAACGCATTGTACATCACGAATTTGCCTTTTATGGGAGGGAGATTGGTTGATGCTAGAGGCCAATGGGAGCGGTCGTTTTTCCAACTATGATGCTGACATAAAGTCCAAAAGGTTCTATCTTTTCACTTTCTCTTGTACGAAAATGATGAAAGCCTCCCATTTCTGCTCGACATATGCTTTGGTTTTCATAATTGATGTTTAACCTGAGTCTAATTCCTTTCTTCTATTAAGAACCGAGTTGGATTCCTTTTCTTTTCTTTAGTCCCTGGGTTTTCAATGCTAGAATAATCTAGTCCTTTATAGTTGAAAAGTTATAACATAGTTTCTTGACTCTTGTCGATGTTGTCTTGTTAAAACATTTGTTGGTTTTTCTTAATCCGAAATGTATCACAGGAAAAGCCAACATGTTACAATTTGGAGAAAAAACTAATTAATGTTTTAAGAAGACAGAGGTCGACAAGAATAATTTGACTAATTTATAGGTTTTCAAACATAAAGGACCAAGTTATATGTGCATTCAAAATCAGGGACTGAAAAATAACTCATTTAAGTAAGAATGGAAAGTTATTTGCTTGAAGAAGAGGCATCAAAGAATATCTTTTGAGCAGGTCCACTAGGAAGGCAAATTTGTGTATTGGTTTCCAACTACACTCAGACATACATTTGCTCCCCAATCTTTCAAAGTGCAGAATAGATATGCCTAAATGGAGCACTGACATGCTCACCAGAGGAAAATCCATGCCATGACAGTTCTTCCCACCCCTTCAGAATTTTACACCAGAGATATCTTCAAAAGCAAATCGATTGACAATAACACCACTTAAAATCTTACATGAAGGTTACATAGGAGATGTTTATTTCCATTAGTCCTGCAAGAGGGAAATCTCTCATCAATTAATAAAGAACGATAAGACTTCCAAATGAATAGAAAGTTCTGGCCAAGTCTGGGTAGCATCTTCTTCTCTGCGTTTCCTCCTGTCATCAGAATTCAGAATCACAAGAATGGTGCTTAATCGTTAGGATGATAAATCTTTCCTTATTGATATAGTGAATGAAAGAAAAGGTTGAGAAATTATCAATTGTACCATGCCTCATATTGGCAAGCAATGGATAAAATACAACATGACTGACACTGAAAACCAAGCAGAAACAGAAAGCAAACATCTGTTAATGAACTATCTCGACTAATACTTGAGGCAGAGCCATTAGGTCTACAAAGTACAGAAATTTGAATACATATCCTCATCTCAGTGTATCTAGGAATGTGGATGCATTAGATGGCCAAAGAGCCAAAATCATAATAACAACATCCATACAGATCCTGTCAGCATTCCACAAAGAAATGCATGAGGGGGAAAAAAGCTAGACATCGTAGACAATGCTGTATAGTTTCAAAGGAAACAATTTTCTCACAGGATACTAGCAGAAGAATATATGCCAAGAACTGCAAGCAATCAGTCAGCCGCTGGGATGCATCCCTAGACACTCTCTCCATTTACATTTGCAACTATTTTACATTTAATCTCCATTGAAAAAAAAAACAACAACAACATTAGGAAGTAGCATGAACAATAAAGTAGTGGCAATTCAAACACCACAGGGGGCTTCAATGACACAACTTGAAGGAGTGGATTCAAACGTCAAATAATGTGCTTGTGTGCGTGTGTGAGCTCTGCATTACAAAATTGTTTGGAAATACAAAATCGCGCGTTGGCTATATGAGCACCAAAGCAACAAATAAGAGCAAAAGGTATTGAAAACATCTCTTTCAACAAGATTTAAAAGAAAGGACAACAGAGAGAGAGACAGAAATGAAATAGCCATGTTCTGCACAAAACTATTTAAATAGCTCCTCTTCAAAATTATCCTCAAAACATAACAAAATTGCCCCAGGTAAAATCATCCTCTAGTATTTCAAGTTGAATTGATGGTATTTTGTAAACAGTAAATACATACATTATGAAAGTGCTATACTTGCCACATTGGCCTTTCATGTACTGGGTACTGGTAGCTTTCATTAACGAATTAAGGTGAGAAGGAAGATGTCTATCCTGATATACTCTAGACAATATCACAGATATGCATCTGACCTGACGAGAAATCATATTTAACTGGGAAGTGAATATCATACACCTCTAAAAATTAACAAATCAGCTTTTATTAATCTAACATATATAATATGGCAGGAAAGATGACATGAAAGAACAAACCAGGTTTAGTGGCTCAAATGATTCAGCTGATGCGAAGATACCTCTAATAAAAAAGGTCTGAGAACTGATTGCATTTTCAGTATAAAAGTTGCCATGACTGCCCTGATGTTCATTGTTTTGGGAGGGGAAAAGCATTATTCTTGGTCAGAGTTGGAAAGATGTTAAACTTCGTCTATGGGAAGCAAATGTGACTCAAAGCAAGTCAACAATTGGTTAGGAATTAGACATTTGATGAAGATGGATCTCTTGAAGAAGCAGAGATCTCGCCCTATTGACAGCATTAAAACAAAGGCATATATGTTCCTCGAGATCCGTAAGCTGGAGAATGAAATTGTCATGGCTTTTTTTAAGCTGTTTCAACACCTCTGAGATGGGATGCAAGTCCTTACCCATCTCCAATCCAAGGCGAATAAGGTGCTTATCACACTCGACAGCATCATACAAACGGGAAACAAGCCGGTCGAGGGTACCAAGATCATTGTTCAGCACATACGTACCCCTAGAAGCAGCATCAAGTTGCTTGACATGGGCAAGCTCTTTCTTAGTCAAGCGACGAGGGAGGTACGGCACCGTGCATATCGGGGTGGCAATAATGGCAACAAGTGCATGACTTGCGATTGCCACAGCAGATCCTACAACAGCAACAACAGAGCCAATGACACAAAGGGCAGAGCCAAAAGTGGCTCGGCGAACTAGGTGGATTTTAGAGCTTGACTTGCAGATTCTCCTATCTAATTGCTGCTTGAGTTGCGAAAAGCATCGCCGCATATCATTAAAGTTACCCGAGTCGCGGCAGGGGAAAGGGTTGTCAACAGCATCGAATTGGAGAAAGACATCAAAAGCACAATCGCACTGGGATTGAGACAGGGATTCTGAGTCAGTATCAATGGCATCCATAAGCCTATGAAGGGGACCATAAAGAGTACGGGCACGGTATACACTCTGTTGGAGACTAAGGCAGAGTTGCGTAGTGTTTTCGCTGTGGTCAAAGTAGGTGGACACGAGTCGAGTGAGAGTGTTGGGCTTGGCGTATCTCAGAGCCTCTTCCACGCAGTCTCGACTTGGTTGAAGAACTTGAAGCATAAGCAAGTGGTTAGAGTCCTCCACATTGTCATTATCAAGAACTTCTTCAATTTGGCCATGATCATAATGAATCCTGGACCACATCTCGTTATAGGAATTGGTCTGTACAGCGAAGGTGTATTCGCGAGTGAGGTTAACGGTAGGGGATGGCTGTGTGCTTGATCTTGGTGTTCCATCAGTAGAGTTCCCAGCTGCTTTCAAACAGAATTGAATTCATTCAGACGTTTACACAGACACATTACAAGCATTACAAACCCTAACTTCGTCTAAGCCAATCTTACCTTGCGAAGGCGGAGGGCAGTTATAGTTTCCGTTGGTTGGCGGCGGTGAGTGTGTTGTTGATGCGGCTGAAGATGATTTGAGGGAGAGGCACTGGAGCATTTCGAACTGGCTGGGTAGTGTCTCGTCAAAGCTCCAAGCATGAACAGTGAATCACTATCTTCCTCTAGGCTTGTTAATGGCTAGTGATAATATTGGAATTGCCCAAGCTGAACCAACGATCAATTTCAGCAGGAGAGGAGAGAAGCAGGAAGAGAAACGGGGAATTGCCCAAGCTGAACCAACGATCAATTTCAGCAGGAGAGGAGAGAAGCAGGAAGAGAAACGGAAAAAGAGTACTTTACAAGCCACCCAAGCCACGATCTCTTGCGCCCAAATAAGTAGACTGTGGCGGTGTTTAAGTTTCTCCGCTAGGGGTTGCTTTGGTGGCTGTTCCTTGCGCAACCAAGTTCAAAGGCGGCGAGATTTTGACCAGGGTAAACTTCAATTTAGCCCTTATAAATTCATGAAAATTCTACTTCTACCTCTATATTTTATAAGATAAATAATTCAATCAGTCTTTTTATAATAATTCGAGTCTTCAATTTATTCTTATATTTTTAATTATATTTATTATGTCCCTAAATAATATTTAAGTCTAATATTTTTTTATCAATCGTTTTTATTATAAATAAATCTTTTGATCAAAATATTCCTAATTAAAATGTAAAAAGAAAAAAAATCATTAATAAATAAAACATGCATGTCAAGTGATTTTAAGTTTTTTTTAATTTTAATTTGGAGCATTTCAATTAAAAAAACTATTCATAATTAAAAAAATAATTAAAACAACAAATTAAAGACTTAAATTTTATTTAAATACATTTAAAAATCTAAAGACAAATTATTATATAAGAACAAATTAAATTGCTTACCTATTTTATAATTTCTCATATTTATCACCCTTATAGTTTCTAAAAAGTTTCAATGTTACCCCTCATTCTTAAATAGCCTACTTTTTGGATTTGGGTTTGCGTTCTTTTAAAATATTGTAACAGATACGGGGACTTGAACGAAAAGAAAAGAGAGGGAGAGAAAGAAACGTAAGGGAAAAAATTGATACCATTTGGAAAACTTCAAACTATGAGGGTAGAAATGCAACATTGAAAAATATTGTTTCGATGTGTTATTTGTTAAGAAGTGAAGAAAGGGATTGAAAACACCAGTTTTCGCAGTGGAGCATAGAGATACCAAATTGGATGCTCATGGAGGAAATTCTAGGGCATGACACTTTTTCGAAAACCTTTAGGATTTGCATGAGAGAACCATTCAAGAGTCAATAAACTGCCTCATTTCACATAATAACACCGATAAAAATATTACATTAAGTTTACATCAGAAATGTTGATTTCCATTTCTGCAGTAGGGAAATTTATCATGGACTGTCAGGAATGATAAAACTTCCACGGGAAAGGAATACTCAGTCCTAGTCAGGGCTAGTCAGGGCCGTGCCTCCTCCTCTCCTTGTCTTTCCTGTGTTTCCTCCTATCAGAATCACGAGAATGGTGCTTCTCACGCCTATCATGCTTATCCTGTTTCTTCTCCTCACACCTCCTCTTCTTTCGGCTGCTTGCATCCTCCTCTGGTCTTTCTTCTTCAGAGTTTCCTCCCGATATATCAGGCATAGTCACCTTAACTGGTTCAGCTGAAGCCTCCTTGATAATAGATGGAAGAGTGTTTGGGTCTTCCCAAGCCCGAGGTGCCCTGCAACAAGAAGTTCAAATAAATAAAAAAAATACGAAGAAAAAGAAAAGGAAAAGAAATAAAGAGGACAGTTTAATAGCAAGCTACATACCGGTAAAAATACAATAGTCTCAATAAACCTACAGACTAGATGAAAATATAAGCATATCGCATGTATAAGAGTCAGTATCATGCCCAGCTGCTGGCCTCTGGCGTACCGAGAAGCAAGAGACAATTAGAATGCCACGTGATTTTATAGTATCCTAACCATATATACATGGGCAAACAATTCACAGGTGTATCGGCCATTCTCTGTTTCTATAGTATAATATATCAACCCTCCATCGCAGATGCACCAGTAGATCATAACCAAACAACTAGAATAAACACAAGCAAGCTAGTTCGCTCAGAGGCATTGATCCTGAATCTCTACAATTGAACCTCTTGACCAACCACACCCACCCCCAATTTTAAGCAAGACAAGGATATATGACTCCATTTTCATACAAAGAATAGAAATCATTGAATCTCGAGGCATAAACATGCTATAGGCCCAGGTACAATCACACACACATGATAAACATAGCAATTATATGATGCTATATTGTTAGTCACTTAAATACCTTGAAAAACCAAGACCATCAACCCGTGCTGCGTCTGCATGCCCAGCCCCCATGTCCTCTACTGTAGAACCTCGCTTAACAAGTTCTGTATACTCATGTTTATCAAGACGATTTCCTTGAGGTCGGCTAGATCGCTTTGGAGCTAGGCCAAGAGCCTCCCTCATGGACTGCTCTTCCTCTTCCTTGATTCTTTTGATCTCTTCTTTCAAGGCATCTGCATTTGAACCCCCAGATTTTTTATCCCTGGCATACCAATGTAAATCCTTCCCTGTAGAAAAATGAACAACAGAAAAGGTTAAAAAAATTCTTAATTATAGCATTACTCAAATTGCCAAGCAATGGATAAAAAGATAGCATGACTAACACTCCAAAAACTGAACAGAAACAGAACAATAGTTAATAAACTATTTTGACTCATGAATATAGCTAATCAACACAGAACTACTCAAGGCAGAGCCATTAAGTCCAGAAATTCTGGAAATATGTATATACCTAGCACCCACTTTGAATGAATCTAGGAACTTGGATGCATAAGAAGTTTTCACCATACTCCACAAAGTATAGTATCAGGGGAAGAAAAGGCTACAGAATGCTGTATAATCTAAAAAAAAATAATTTTATCTTAGGATACCAGAACAACATAAGCCAGAACTACTTTGCAAGTCAACTGCTGAGATGCATCCGTAGGAGGTCCCTTTAGTCCATTTAAACTTATGACTATTTTACATTAAATCTCCAATTACAAAGTTAAGCATATGAAGTAGTGTGGATGAATAGGTAGTAAATTTGAACATCAAGAGTAAAAAAGATGCTCAGCATTACTTAAGTATCCTGTATCAGATCACGACTAAACAAAAATAGAAAGGAGCCCACATTACACAGGCATCCCATAGCAGACAGTCATGTGTATCTCTAGAACCAATCCCCACACACCTCGCCGAACCAAATACCATAGTGATCTATGGCAACATGCATACTTGAATAGCTGCTATAATCCATTATATGATATTACTTCAAGCCAAATATTTGAGATATGAGCAATTCAACAGGCATTCCAATCATCAAAAAATGCTCTATTGGAATAACGAACTTGCACTATTAATTACAATTAAGTTGTTCAATTTCCCAAACGAAGAACAGATGAGTAACTACACTTCAACTTCACACGTTATAATCCACAAGGATGAAGAAGAGTTACCAATTCATCACATTTACGATCAAACCATTGATGCAACAGCTTTAAAAAAATCTAAATATGGTTGTCAAGTCTCTCCCTATATCGTCAAACAACCTAGAATAAACAAAATTTGGCAGAGGAATCGTGCACTAAAATTTAATTTACAAGTTCCAGTAAACAAAAAATCCCACTTTTCACCAAAACAATGAAATTCTCAAGCAACCCATTTACCCTTCGCCATCCATTCAACCACAAACATAGCAAACAAACAATAAGAGGAGAATCTAACAAAAACACAACAATTGAAATTTACTGGCAAATCAATCATTATTATTTCCATTTCGAAAAAAATAAATAAGAAACTACCTTTCTGCCATCTACCAACAGGAGCTTTAATACTGTGACCAAGATAATTCTCTCTGTGTTTATCTGCCTTTACATCATCCCAACTAAATTCTGCACGTCAACAGCAAACCTAATTAATTTACCATCGGAAATTAACATAGCCAATCAAACCCTAATTAAATTACGTATTTAGAGATAGAAAGCTTACGATCTCGGCCACCACGAACGCCGCCTCTGGATGGATGATACATTTGTCTTTAACTGATGGAGTGGAAATTGAAAACAGAAAAAGGAATCGAGAGGATTTTTCTGTGCTTACAAATGGATTTTGATTCCGCTGGAACGCTGAAATTGTGAATTCTGCAAGTATTTATATTGCCGATGAAACGGATGTCGTCCTTGGAACATTTCCAAAACGACATGTCGTCCTATAACTGGATGCTTGACTTTTTGTTCTTTCAATGATTAATGGATAAACTATATTTATATAATCACATAATTCCCGAGTTTGTACTTAAATTCTTAATTACGTTAATTTTATTTTTGAATATATATTAAATTTTTAATTTAATTTTTTTGCCAAACTTTTCATGTTAAATTATCATAATTATTTACATAATTAACACATTATTATTTTTTATTTTTTATTTTTAAAATGTTTTTACAAATCACTTAAATAAAAGAGTTTTATGTAAAAACATGTAATTAATTCTAATAATTTAGTATAAAAATATTATCAAAATAATAAATTAGATAATTAATGTATCTTTTGAAAAAACTGATTCAGTTAAAAATATAAAAACAAATTAAAAATTACTCTATTATGATATACGAAACCATTTACCCTTTTTTTCATAAAAGATTTGTTTATTCAATTTGTTTTTTTCTTCCTCTTCGATTTCTCTCCAAATTCTAATCCTTTTTAAGAAACTGAAAACCTTATTTATATATAATGTTATGGAGTTATAAATATCATGTTACAATATTAAGGGTTTACATAAATAAATTTGCATCTTGTACTACGTAAATGTTTTTTTTTCCCTTAATTGGATTGCAGAGAATAAAGAATTTTGTAGTGTGGTAATTTAAATACTTTATTTATTCAAGGGTCTCGAAAATTTACGTTGGAAGGTTGAGTAAATTATAAATTAATCCCTCTACTTTTGAAAAATAAATTAATTATTTTAACAAATAGTTTGCTCAATGTTTGCTCCAAAAATATTATTTTCTGCGTTGAAGAAATGAAAAATCGACGGCCCAGCTTTGTAATTGGGCCCAAAGGCCCAAGCACCCGATCCTTGAGCTTCATCCATCAAACGACATGTCAACTATAATCCAGAAGGTTCTAGCTGTAGGGGTACTTCTACAAGGAAGCGAGAGAGTTTGCCGTAAATCTTACAAATTCGTGTCAAGAAAGAAAAATTCGAGCAAAGAATTTTAGAGGAAAGAAAAGCACGCACAACATATGGCAACAAGATCTGCACTGAGCCGACTCAGCTTAACTGCTACTCGCTCGATGGAGTCAACTCGTGGAGCTACTCGCTACTTCAGTGATGACAAAGGCAAAATTCTTAGTGAAGAGGAACGGGCAGCTGAAAACATCTATATTCAGGTTTATTTCTTTCCTTCTTCTTATTTTTGTAAGTGTTTTACCGATTCTGTTTGGTTGCTGAGAAAGTGTAGAAAATGATCGATTGAGCTAAGAAACGTTTTATCGTTTGTTTTTAAGTTTTCTGTTTGGTTCCTGAGGAAGTGTATGAAAATGAAAGAAATCGTTACTTACAACTTTGGGGACCGATTGAGCTAAGAAATGTTTTATCGATTGTTTTCAAGTTTTCTGTTTGGTTCCTGAGGAAGTGCATGAAAATGAAAGAAATCGTTACTTATAACTTTGGCGATCGATTGAGCTAAGAAGTGTTTTATCGTTTGTTTTTAAGCTTTCTGTTTGGTTCCTGAGGAAGTCTAGAAAAATGAAAAAAATCGTTACTTTGGCGATTGATTGAGCTATTCTGTTTGCTTCCTGAGGAAGTGCAGGAAAATGAAAGATATAGGAAAATATTAGAGAAAATTGGAATATTATGAGTTAGATTTATTGCTACTTAAGTTCTTTACAGCTTTGGTTCCGGAGAAAAGTGTGGGAAAATGAAAGGAAGAAAAATATAAAGGCAATCAAAGCATTATATGAGTTAGATATGCTTTTGCTTCATCTAATTGCAAATCTGCCATTAAACTGAGCTTGATGATTGAAGTATTTTATGCCTAATGATCGTAATATGAATTTTTTTTTTTTTTTTTTGGTAGAAAATGGAGAGGGAAAGGCTGGAGAAACTGAAGCTAAAGCAGGAGAAAGAGAAGGCAGAGAAAGAGAAACAGGGCGCTGACAAGGTAATTTTGTAGCTTGATGATGATGTTTGTTCCTCATTTTTAGGTCAGAATGATTGTAACATTCCTCCTATTACAATAGTTGTGTTGTTATGTTTGATTGTTGTTTGAGCATAATTTAGAGGTAATTTTGTAGCTCGATGATGTTTGTTCCTCATTTTTAGGTCGGAATGATTGTAACATTGCTCCTATGTGTTACTCCTATGACAATATTTGTGCCGTTATGTTTGATTGTTGTTTAAGCATAATTTTTAGAGGTGCATTTTTGTTAATAGAATGTAATAAGAAGATGTGTGGTTTGCTTGTGTTTCAAAATCAAAATGCCCTATTATCACAAACATTGTTGTTTAAGGTAAAAACTGCTCGAATGACATAAATACGTGTTGATTGGTCGATGAATTGAATTGACTGTAGGTTGCATAGACTGCCCTGTTATGAGTTCAATTCCCAAGATTGTTTCTTTGAGGTTTCATGTCCAATTCTGTGTCACTGATTGCTCAAGTGTTAGTAAACGTGTACCTTTTCCCTCTTCTTTTTGACATATGTCTGTGTTTTGAAGAATGAGCACCTAAGCATATGTGGTGTGACATTTATCTCCTGAATTCCTGATGCAGATTTCAACTTTATTTATTAATCTGGTTATTCCAGTCTGCCTTTGAAGATTAATTTTTATTCTTTTGCAGACAACTGGAGGAAGCCAGAAAGCCTGATGGGGGGGTCATCTGCACCGAATAATGACGATCTTGCTGCAGCAATTGTCATCAGAAATAAATCTCTTTAAGGAGATTTGGTGGTTGTACAGAGTTGTCTTTTGAATAGCCATAAACATGGCCATGTTCTTCTACATGATTCTGTATCTTTTGAAAGTTTTCCTATCCTAACTTTGAATGGTGTTGATCCAGGGTTCATCTTGGCTCGTCTTTAGTCTTGTTGATACTCTAGATGAAGTATTTTGAACTTTTGGTGAGAAAAAAAGAAATCCTTTTAACTTCTTTTTTTATCCGCAGTTAATTTTTTCTGTTCCGTTGATCAATCTCAGATAATTTTTGACACAGCCATTAAAAAAAGGATATGGGTTCGAAGAAAGATACTTCCAAGCAATTAAGCTATTAAAATAACAAAATGTATACTCTTATGTTCGTTTTTGGAACTCAAATCAAAATAACAAAAAGTTGAGGGTTTTATTTATTGACTAAAAAAATTTCAGAATGTTTTATAATCAATTTGTCATCTCCTATTACATGTGGAGGCTTGATGCTTCTCCTAAATCCAGCTGATCTACCTGCGGCTAATTTGTTCTCTAGAACCGTTGATGTCTGATTGTTTCTCTGAACACAAATGGAGGCTGGTTCTCGCTTTTTTTGTCGAATTTGATTCAAGCTCTTCCTTGAAGGAATATCAAAAGCACCCAAAGGGATTAAAACACAGCAATGAGCTTAAAATGATCGCCACTCTTTAACAGAAGGGTATAAATTAGATCTTATTAAAAATTCATGACTTTGATGAACAAACATTACTTGACTCTCTGAGCCAAGAAAATAATTATTTATCACTTGGAATAAAAATGTAAAGTCACTAGAAAAAGATGGAAAAACATCAAGAAGCAGGCATTTTATTTAAGACAACCAGGACCAATAGAAGGGCCAGCTTCTTCTTCTTCTTCTGTTTTTTGTTTCTTTTCTTTCTTTTTTTTTTTTGAGCTAGATAGGCTTTAGTTTAGGGCATGCCGAAGCCGGACTTGATCTTCTGAATGGTATATATATCAGTCTTGAAAGCCTTGGCAAGAATTCCATCATCAATTCCTGTTGCAAAGACAGACAAAGGCACAGAGACTGTTCCGGCATTGGCACTACCGAAAGAAGAAATCGCATTTGCTGGTGCTGTTGCTGGGTTGTATTGATAGTGTACAAGACCCTTAGGAAAAATGAACATGTCTCCAACTTGGAGTGTCTGGGTGTAAAGCACATTTTTGGTGTCAACAAAACCCACTTCCAAGGTACCATGCACAAGGAACAAGAGTTCGGCGGCCCGAGGGTGGGTGTGAGGAGGGTTGAGACCGCCGGCGGGGTATTGAAGCACAGCATATGACACACTCTGCCCGTTAAGAGCTGGGAACTCAGTCATGGTAGCTTTTGTCAACGTGAAGTTTTGAGGAAATGTCCTAAAAACACCACGCATTCCTGAGAAGGTGAAGAATTTTCCATCAACAGGAGTGTTGATGGGCGCAATGAAATCTGAAAGGATATCAGGATCGCTTGCTAAGACCATCTTGGCAGTGACTAGGGCAAGTACGAAAAGAAGTAAGGAAGTAGGTTTGGGAGAATTCATGGCTATGGTTGATAAGCTGCAAGCTCTGCTCAACGGCCTAATATTTAGTCTTGGGCTGATTGGATTTAGTTGCCTGGATCATTGTCTAGCAATGCCTTTATAGCTCGTTTGAGGCTGAAACATTTTCTACTTGCTAGAAAGTGCTGAAGATTTCTATGTTTTTTTCGTGTTTTCATCGAAGAAGTCAAGCGAATTCCCCCATAGAAGCACTCGACTCTCGACAGCTAGATAAGAACTCGACTCTTCTGAAATTTGCAGGGCAGGTTGTCTACCTTATCGATAAGGGGTCTTTTAATCTCTCTTTCATTCACTTCATGATAGGTATATACTGAAGCACGGCATCTTTACAGCTTGGTTGAAGCTGGCAAATTTCCAACATTGGTATCTTATCTTTTGATCTTTTAAACAATTCGATCAGGCCATTAGAGCTAAAATTTATATATCACGTCTCACTTTGAATGCTAGCTAGAATTTCCATTTTTTTTTATTTTTTTTGTTTATATACAGGAAATGTGGCTGTTTATTTCTCCATCAAAGCACACTGCTAGAACCTTTTTTCTGGTCCTCACACAATCATGTCATTATTAGTTAGCATATGATTAAATGTCAGATATGGCTTAACTTCATTAATCGAAATCCTCTAAAAGGTCAATTAATCCTTGTGGTGGGTTTTAGTTTTATTTCCAGTTTGCCAAAAAGATGAACCTAATCAATGAAAGCCTATAACCAAACGGTTCCTTGTAAAGATTTTAGTTTTTATGATGTGGATGGGGAGGGGATTTTCTTACTATTTGGCCTTGCCATTGTGTGTTAGCAATTATCACTCATTGTCTAACAGCACTATTAATAATTAGCTCTCTCTAGTTTCAGGGGATAGTTTTATTCTATATATTTTTGCATGGATATATATCTTTCGGTTGCTTTTATATTTTTAGGACCTTAGTTTGATTATTTTTCAAAATGTGTTGAAGGTAGTTTTTGTGGTGAATTTTTTTTTTTTTTTTTTTTTTTGATACATGCAATACATAATTATCTTCGAAGAACAATTGTTACCGACAACTTTTTTAAACAATTTGATGGCGATGATGTGATGCATCAAATACCTAATATTACCGCAAACTTATCATTAATCGGAAGAGAGACACAAGCACAAACTAATCAAACATTTATGATTAATTTGCAAGACCAAATTGCAAATGCATTGATTAGTATTTGAGATTTTATTTATTTTGTGCATGATACGATAATTAATTTTATCTTAGACTATATTTAATTTTTTATTAATAACATTTTTATTGAATTTTTATTTATTTATTTATTTATACACACAAACACATCTATGTATATATTTTTATTTATGTTAAAAAATATCATGTTACAATTGTAAGGTTAAAATTGTCATGTATATAGTCTTAATATGTTAGTAATAGTACTTATCAAATAAGTTTATTATATTCGACACTTAATTTTTAATAAATATCAAACGACTTGTCAACTTAAAATTCAATACTAAATTATTCAAGCACTTAATTTTCAGTTTTATCAAACACCACCCGACTCTCACTTTTTTGACGAATTTGATTCAAGTTCTTCCTTTAAAGAATATGAAAAGCACCCAAAGGGTAGGGATGGCAATGGGGCGAGGCGGGGCGGGGATCGCCATCCCCATCCCCGCCCCATGCCTCGAACGGAGCGGAATTTTCTATCTCATCCCCGTCTCAAACAGGGATCCCCACGGGGCAAATGGTGCCGAAACGAGGCAAAGTTTTTTTTTCATCTCTTTTTATCCCATTCTACTATCAAATTTCAAACTATAGCAAAAAAAAAAAATGATAGTTTATATAGAAAATAAATCCTAAAAGTCATTAATCATAGATTTTATATGAGGTATAATTATAATTTTAATGAAAAAAAGAGGCAAAAACGGGGCAAACGGGACGAGGCGAGCAAATCTCATCCCCGCTCCATCGTCGCCTCGTTCCTCGATCAATGCAGGGAATCTCCACTTTGATCGGGGAAAATCGAGGCAGTGGTTGGACAGGGCAAATTGCCATCCGTACCAAAGGGGTTACAATGAGCTTAAAACGATCACCACTCTTAACTAAGGGTATAAATTAGATCTTATTAAAAATTTATGACTTTGATGAACAAACAAACAAACATCACTTGACTCTCTGAGCCAAGAAAATAATTATTGATCACTTGGAATACAAAAGTAAAGTCACTAGAAAAAGATGGAAAAACATCAAGAAGCAGGCATATTATTAAAGACAACCAGGACCAATAGAAGGGCCAGCTTCCTCTTCTTCTTCTGTTTTTTGTTTCTTTTCTTTCTTTTTTTGAGCTAGATAGGCTTTAGTTTAGGGCATGCCGAAGCCGGACTTGATCTTTTGAATGGTATATATATCAGTCTTGAATGCCTTGGCAAGAATTCCATCATCAATTCCTGTTGCAAAGACGGACAAAGGCACAGAGACTGTTCCGGCATTGGCACTACCGAAAGAAGAAATCGCAGTAGCTGGTGTTGTTGCTGGGTTGTATTGATAGTGTACAAGACCTTTAGGAAAAATGAACATGTCTCCAACTTGGAGTGTCTGGTTATAAAGCACATTTTTGGTGTCAACAAGACCAACTTCCAAGGTACCACGCACAAGGAACAAGAGTTCGGCGGCCCGAGGGTGGGTGTGAGGAGGGTTGAGACCGCCGGCAGGGTATTGAAGCACGGCATATGACACACTCTGCCCGTTAAGAGCTGGGAACTCAGTCATGGTAGCTTTTGTTAACGTGAAGTTTTGAGGAAATTTGCTAAGAACTCCACGCATTCCTGAGAAGGTGAAGAATGTTCCATCAACAGTAGTGTTAATGGGCGCAATGAAATCTGAAAGGATATCAGGATCGCTTGCTAAGACCATCTTGGCAGTGACTAGGGCAAGTACGAAAAGAAGTAAGGAAGTAGGTTTGGGAGAATTCATGGCTATGGTTGATAAGCTGCAAGCTCTGCTCAACGGCCTAATATTTAGGCTTAGGCTGATTGGATTTAGTTGTCTGGATCATTAATTGTCTTGCAATGCTTTATAGCTCGTTTGAGGCTGAAACATTTTCTGCTTGCTAGAAAGTGCTGAAGATTTCTATGTTTTTTAAGTGTTTTCATCGAAGAAGTCAAGCGAATTCCCCCATATATAGAAGCACTCGGCACTCGACAGCTAGATAAGAATTCGACTCTTCTGAAATTTGCAGGGCAGGTTGTCTACCTTATCGAAAAGGGTCTTTTAATTTCTCTTTCATTCACTTCATAATAGGTATATACTGAAGCACGGCATCTTTACAGCTTGGTTGAAGCTGGCAAATTTCCAATATTAGTATCTTATCTTTTGATCTTTTAAACAGTTCGATCAGGCCATCAGACCAATGTGTATACTCAAATGCAGAAACAGAGGAGGAGGAAAAAAAAGCAATGACTTGATGACAATTCGAATTTTTGGCATATTCTCCATTCGGGTGGATTTGCTGTGGCAGAAAACGTAAATTGACAATGCCAACGAATTCATCTGGTTGAAGGCCTGCAAAAGATGTATAAATCGGCACCTTGTCGAAGGCACAATGGCATAGCAGGTCGTGGTAGGATTATTAAAGATTTTTTATGGCTTCAAACCCTATTAACCAAGGCTTCATCTTGATACTAGTACTAACCTTTGCCTGTTTCCAAATAGCAATCTCTGGGGATGCAGATATACTCTCTGATTTTATAGTGCCACCAAATGCTACCATTGATGGCAAGTTGTTCACTTTTACCGGCTTACGGTCTCTTGTTGGGGCTAAACCACCAACAGCTTTCACTGTTTCGAAAGGAAGCTTGGCAGAGTTTCCAGCTCTTGATGGACAAAGTGTTTCGTTTGCATTTTTACAATATCCACCTGGTACACTGAACCCTCCTCACACTCATCCTCGAGCAGCTGAGCTGCTGTTTCTTTTTGGAGGTTGCCTTGAAGTGGGATTTGTTGACACAACTAACAAGCTTTACACACGGACACTCGAAGCTGGAGACATGTTTGTGTTTCCGAAGGGACTTGTTCACTACCAGTATAATAATGATCCTGGGAATATGGCTGTAGCAGTGTCTGCCTTCGGTAGTGCAAGTGCTGGAACTGTGTCGATTCCGAGCACTTTGTTCACAACTGGCGTTGACAGTGGGATTTTGGCAAAGGCTTTCAAGACTGATGTTGCTACCATAGAAAAAATCAAGGCAGGTTTGGCACCTAAAGCCTGAGATGGAGCCGATATATCCCAATTTTTTTTCATCTTGAATAAGTGATGATCACAGCTCAATGAAGGAGTTTGTGGTGATTTTATTTTCATTTGGTGTATTTCATCATTTTATCTCATATCAGAAACTTGGTTTCCGTAAAGATAATCAGAGAATTTACGAGCAAATGTTAATCAATAACAGTGTAGAAAAGTTGCATGCTGGATGTCAGCAATCCCCTCACGTTATCAATCTATCGAACATCATTAGAAACTTTATACCCTACAAAATCTGAAGCTGGGATCAGTTTAGTTTCGTTGGAAGATGGAGCATAAGGAAGTTTATAGTTTTCATAAGATGTCTCAAATTCAAGTGAAAAGCGCAGAAGGTGCAGATATGTTTACCCAAGTGCCACACCGCATGGACATTTAGCCTTATATAACATCATGATCATTTCTCCTTGTTTTCCTTTTGATTGATTTTCATTTTTGTGATCCATTTTAAGGGTTAAGCATAATCATCTGCATATATATCGTTGGATTAACTTTTTATTTCACAAAAATAGGACCGTCTTGTATTGATTTTGCTGGTGTACAAGGAAATACAAATCGGGCACTTTCGAGATCTAGATAAAGTAGAAATCAAGTTGAAAAGTTCACCCAAAAGAAATCTTTAAAGATGGTTTTGCAATAATATCTATGTGCCAATATAGGCTATGAAGAAATGTTATATTACCAAATAATTTGCTTTATTACAGCAAGATCCATTCTTTCTTTGCTGACACTCAAATGAAAAAGGTCAAAAAAAAAAAAACAATCAGGCAGAACAAGAAATCAAAACTAAATGTCAGAAAAAGAACTGCATTTAGCAAGCTTGAGGCCATGGCACTAATTACGTAATAGAATGGATGATTTGTGCTTTGGGTGCTGAATGCTAATTAACACCATTAGATCAGGTACTTATAGTTGTGCCCTAGAACATTGCTTGCCATGCAAGAACAACGTAAATTGCAGGCTTGATGGCCAGCTGTGATTGATGAAGCTCTTTAGGTTTCTTTCCTCTACTTTAATGGAAACCAAGGCTACAAGGCAGCATAAACATGGAATTACAAGATTTCAAGTGTACAAGCATCGACTTGAAACAATGACATTGTAGTTTCCAAGACTACCTGCTCTCTCCTAATTTACCGTTCTTCAACAATTACTGTGACAATATAGCCAGCTATAAATTGTGGATCGTGACCGTAATAACTATAACGAATTGCGGTCGTAAATCACTGATTTTAACGATAAAAAATAACGATCTCAGCTATTGGGATGATCATTATTACAAATTTCAATATTATATACTATAACGATGTTATTTAAAAAAAAAAAAAAACAAACAAACAAAACAGTCGCTAGGTATATAAAGCATCGTTATTTGTAGTATAATAATTAAAAAAAAAGTTAGAAATAAAACCGATCCATTAATAATCTTTTAAAAAATATAATGTATTTAAAGTCACACTTATCCACTCGAAATCATTGAAACAAAACTTTGGACTTTTGAGCACATCAATATTGACAATGATTTATTTCCAAGAGCCATGTAAGTCAACCTGATAACATCAAATGCAATTCCATAAAAATCATGTCATCATGGACCATTCATATCCCTCCAAACATGGAAAAACCTGTGTAATTCTACATCCAAAATGATTAGTGAATATGATTTTTTGGGTGAAGAACAACATTATCAACCCGGATTGGATTACATTGCCAAATAGATTTTTTAAATATAACCAAAAACCAAAATATTTGGAGTTGAAGGGCCAAATTTAGATCATTTCAACAAAATTACGTAAAATATGCAGCCACTTTGATTTTTAGATAGGGTTTAATGGCTAATTCTAACCTTATCCATTACAATAATTCTTCATTCTATTTTTTTATTTTTAATTAAATCAATTTTATTTTTAAACTTACGATCCGTTTTCAATTCATTTTCTTATCAAAATATCAAACTACTAATATTATTCAAGTGATTTATATATAATTATTATTTATTTTGAAAATAACTTTATCAATCATAAAATTGATTCAGAGATATAACTATATTGTGTAAAATTACCTTATTATATAATTACATATTCAATTATTTACCCTATTAAATATATACCACAATGGCCATCTTTCGTCTGAGTCAAATTATAGTCCCCAATCCGTTCCAACTATGACTTGGCAAACTAAGGTTATCCAAAACTTTGATTTTGGACTGCCTTCGATGGGGAACAAGTGGGAGACACGTGTCCAAATCCCATTTTGCCAAGTGGAATAAAATTTGCACTACAAGACTGAATTGGCAGCTTCTGGTTGTAAGATAAAGAAAGTAGAAGGCTTTGGCTGCGCACGGCTTGCTGCTGTTATTTTAAAGTGACAGCTGCAATACCAAGAGGTTATCAAACGTCAGCCTCTCATCGATAGGACGGTTGCAACTGCCGACAGGACCATAACGTTTGTCACCCTTTCGTAAATGAAATAAATTATAAATTAGTCCTTATAGTTTTACAAAACGAATAAAATAATCTTAGTTTTTGGATTGATATTAGTCTTGATACATGAGAATAATTCTCTTATCTCGAATGAATACATTCGAAATATTCAGATTAGAAAACAATTTAAATATTTTTAGACTCTATTGAGCGCCAACTCCATTTTTTGAAATCCTTGCTCCTAGCTGGTCTTTTTCAATAAATTTGTTTTGCCTATATACAACAGTTTAGTTTTTTATTGCTCATAACTTGATATAGAGTTCGTGCTATCATCGGTCTTCTTATCAGATGACTCAAAACAACTATTTATTAAAAAAAAATTTCTCTACTCCCTTTAAAACATTCATTTAAACGAGAGTTTTCAAAATGTATTATTTTTTTAATTTCAAAAACTAATTAATTAATTCCTTAACTATTGTTATCTATGATTAAGTTAATATTATTTTGTTTTAAAATCTTTTATTTTATCGTTAATTTTTTTCATATTTTATAATAATAATAATAAATTGGAATAAATAAAAAGAATTAAATTACAAACAGATTTAAAAATATAAAAACTAATAAATTAGTTATTGAAACTAAAAAGACTGTTTAATGTCTTTTGAGAAACTAGAGGGACTGATTTATAATTGACTTCCTAGTAAACGTCACCTTTAGCGCACCTGAATTTCATGATTGCTGCCCACGTCTTGTAGCAAAGATGGCAGCTTTATTGGGAGTGTGGCAAACCGAAAGAAATTAGTGCGGTAGGTGGTAAATGCCAAGTTTTGTCTTGCTAGTATTTTGGGGATAGAGATGAAAGACTTTGTCAAATCTATTCAAATTAAGGGAAAGGGTAACACCATTGCATCAATGTCAAACAATTATTCACAAAAAAAAAAATAATAATAAATAAATAAAATAAAATTTATTCAGACTCTTTACTTTCTTCTTCTTTTTCTTTTTTTAGATTTTTCTTATTACATTGAAACTTCTTATTTTTTAAAACTTTTTGATTTAAACTTTTTGATAGAGCATCATCAATCGATAATCGATATATGATATTATAAAATAAAAAATCTTAATTATGTTAATCACTGATTGATAGTGTTATAATAAAAGATTTGACGTATCAAATTTAAAAAATAAAGGATCTAATTAAATTACAAAAGAATAGAGGGTCTCAATAAAAAAAAAAATTGAATAGTATAGAATTCAAATATTGGATAAATCCAATTCAAAAAACTCAAGCTATTAAATAAGGCTTGAATATATAATTTATATTATTTTTTAAAATACCCTTTTAAGTGAAAATCTTGTATTTTGAGCTTGAAACATAATCAATTTTTTAATACCATGTTAAAAAATTATTTTAATTCAAAAACTTAAACTATTAAATAAAGCTCTATAATATAATAATTTATATTATTATCTAGCAATAACCGCCCTAAATTGCATGCCAAATGAACATTAATACATGCTATTAGTTTTGAATCAATTGTCTAAATTATGTGAGAAAACAATAAGTAGTAACTTTAATTGGTAAGTTAGAAGGTTAAAAAATTATTTTAGCAGTATAAATTTTGGATTTGTTTGATTTAAAATATAGTCTAATGAACAATCAAAAATAAACATGTTTTTATGATAGTTTAACTTAGAAATAAATAAATTTAGTTTCGATTAATGTGAAATGGCTCTATGTATTTATATATATTTAAAAGAGTTTATATTTTAAAATATATTAATACAAAAAAGAATGTGTCTTGATATCATTTAAAGGAAGAATTTAATTTTGATTAATATGTAAAATAATTTAATTTCGTTAAATGGACAAAATTACTATTATCTATAAAACGATATAAAAATAAAGAAAGACAGGTACTCAAGTTGCTGTCGTCATATCCCATGGTCAATCATTTTAAAAGACAAAAAGTATATATATACATACAAAAACACGAAATCCGTGCAAACATGATGCCTCGTAGTAGAAAATATTTTTTTACGTAGTTCTGGGCATATCACGTTCTCCTATGTGTTCAATATTAAGATATGGTGATATATGTGGTTTCATGAATAAGAAAGAGTAAACTGTAGGCTATTCTCTCAAGTTTTTTAAAATAAATTAAATAATCTTTTTAGTTTTAAAAAGGTTTAATAGCAAATTTTGTAATCATTTTATTGCGATTTGATAATTTTAAATTTACAATACTAAATTGTGTAATTTAAATTTCAAAGTATTAGAGATTAGATAAATGATGAATGTGATATAAATTATCCAATCATCGTTATATGTAACAATCAACTGAATTGATAATTACTTGAAATGTCAAAATGAAGTCGTTTTGATATCCTCGCTCGTTAATTATTTTTTTTAAGAAAAAAACGTAATTAAAAAAAATTATTTTTTATAAAATGTTATCGTAAAAAAACATAATTAACAATATATAATTTCAAGTCTTAAAAAAGTATTTTATAAATTAAAATGAGCATAATTAAGGATTAAACCCCTAATTTTATAAATTATAAAATGTTTATAATATTTAAAAAAATTCAAAACTTGGAGATTTAAAAATATTTATAAATTTTCTTATATGATTTATAAAATGTTTATAATATTTTATAAAAAAAAGAAATTTAAAAAAAATTAATATTAGGAGGTTAAAAATATTTTTAAAATATTAAAAAAAAACATAATTAACAATGGAATGCCAAAACAACGAGATTGAATGATTTGGATCGCATTTGTCCAATCTCCAACACAATGAAATTCAAATTACGCGATTTGAAACTATGAGTCATAAACTCGTGATATCATAATAGAATGGGAAAAAATTTTACTATTAAACTGTTTTATAATTAATTAATCTTTATACGTGCAAATTTATCTATAAATTACTTATTTTTATTATTTTTCAATTTATTTTGACCTTTTTTTCTTAGAAATAAAAAATTAAGTAAAAATTATGGAAGGATTAATGATGAATGAAAATATTTTATGAATGAAAAATATTTTTTGAAAAAAATTAATCTTAAATTTAATCACGATTAACACTGGTTAAGATACTAATTGATTAGCTTTGCAAACGAAAAGTATTGTGTAATGTATTTTGAAAAAAATAAATAATTTTTTGAGCAAAAAAATTTCTTTCTTTTTTTTTTTTCAAAACACTATGGTTTATACTGTCGGTTTATATAGTCTAAATTGTATAATTTTGTTTACGGTCTAAATTGAATAATTTGTTTTGTAATTAACAAATCCAATCGATTCTAAATTTTGCCACATTCCAAAAATTGACTCATAAATTTGAAAAAACATAAAATTAAATTGATTTTTTTTAAGTAATCCAATCTCTCTCTCTCTCTCTCTCTCTCTGGGTTAAATCTCTGCAAGAATAGTAAAACAACAAGTTTATTGTACAAAAATAAAAACAGTGGCATAAATAGGACTCTTAATTACCAAAATCATGATGTCAGGTGTCCTGTACTGTACAAATACAATTAATTAAAACGAAAATACAGCTTGCGGGTGTCAAATATATATATATATATATATATATATATATATATATATATATATTTTATTTTTTTTTTTTTTTGAGAAAAAAAAATCCCAATATAAGTAAAAAAGAAAGCGTGTTGAATAAAAAAAGGAGAGTAACAAAGTCCAAAACCTTGGCTAAATTAGAGAGCCTAATTTATAATTTACTCGATTAAAAATTTATGTTGTACAATTAATTAAAAAATGTCTATTCTCTACAATGTTTTTTTTTCCCTGAGAAATCGATTGGACTATATTTAGAGAAATTATCACAAGCACTATTTGATATTATTTTTTTGAAAAAAATATAATTAACACTGCAAACATTTTATTTTATCTTTATATTGACAGCTGGTTATTAATAATGTAAAGGCTCTATTTTAATCCAATTCCAATTAAAATAAATATGTTTAAGAAAAAAAAACTAAGTTAAATGGACACCTAAATAAATTTCTTTTTTGGGAAAAAAGAATCTGAAACGTAGGTGGTCTGAAATGGCTGTAATTTAATTAAATTCCATTAAACAAAAAGAAAAAAATAATTATAGTGAAGCAATTATTTTTGGCGTAGGCAAGTTAACCAATCATATGTTTCGCTGCTAATTTCTTGTTGATAGAGTTCTTTTTTGTTGCAATTTAATTAGTCGTTTTTGTTTTAAAAATTTAATTAATCCTTTGACGATGATTGATTATACTTAATTTAATATTATTTTAAATTAAAAAAATATTTTTTATATCAATCTTTCCATCATATTTTTTTATTGTTTTTAATTGAAAAAGCACATGACATGTATAAAAAATTAAATACTTATTTAAAACAAAAACTAATCAATTCCTTTCTCAAAACTAGAAGAATTAATTTATAATTTACACCTAATATTATCAAATTCAACATTCCTAAATTTCGCGGCATTCCAAAAATTGACTCATAAATTTTAAAAACAGAAAATTAAACTGTACTTTTTTCAGTTTAGGAATGTAGAGTTATAAACTAGTACCTCTCAAGAATCAAATTAATTAGTTTTTATTATTTTAAAAACTAATAATTAAATAATTTGATCCGTGATAATCACGCTTAATTTAATATTATCTTATTTTTTAAAAAAATATTATCATCAATCTTTTCACAATTTCTTTGTTTTTTAAAACATAAAAGAAAACAAATTGAAAAAATAAAATAAACAAAAAGCACTAAATATTAGTTTTTGAGACAAAGAAACTAGCTAATTCACTTCTCAAAATTACAGGGATTTTTTTTTTTATTTACTAAAGGGATCTAGTAAGCAACCTCTTGAAAAAAAAAACATGAATTCTTGTAAGAATAGTAAAATCACAACCGTATTGTACAAAAATAAAAATAGTGACATAAATAGAACTCCAGTGTACTGTACTGTACAAATACAACAATTAAAAATAAAAAATACAGTTTTCAGGTGTCAAAAATAAACTTTTTTTCTATTTTTTTTAAAACTAAAAAAAGGAAACGTGTTGAATAAAAAGAGAAGAGCTGTAACAAAGCCCAAAACCCTCAGCAACCCGCAATATAAACTAACATCTTCTCAATTCTCCCACCAAATCAATTAAAAACCAAGAAAAAAAATGCATCAAGACCATAACTTTCCAACTCGCTCTTTGACTCAGTCTCCTCATGCTACTGCTGCCACTCGCTGGACTCGAGGGGAGGACAAGATTTTTGAACAGGCTTTACTTGTCTTTCCCGAGGAGTCGCCAGATCGGTGGCAGAGTATTGGAAACTATGTCGGGAAATCGGCGTGGGAAGTTAAAGAACATTACGATATTTTGATTCATGATGTCTGTGAGATTGATTCTGGTCGAATTGAATTGCCAAGTTATAGGGACGATGAAGCTGTGAATTGGGATGCCGGCGGTGGTGGCGGGATGGTCGCGGCGGCCCCGGCGGGTCAGATTTCGTTTGGCGGCAAGCCAAAGCAAGAAGCGGAACGAAAGAAAGGCACTCCTTGGACGGAAGAGGAACACAAGTAAGTAAACTGAATTTTAATTTTTTGCTCATAGTTTTTGAAAATCTTAAATTGTTTGTTCATAATTTTTAAAAATCTTGAATTTTTTCTGTAGTTTCGGAATTTAAGAGTTGTGAATTGTTATCCAACATTTTCTGCAAATTGGTAGATTTTGAACTAAATATCTTTGCTAGGACTATTTTTTGTTCATAATTTTTAAAAATCTCGATTTTTTTTTCCTGTAGTTTCGGAATTTAGGAGTTGTAAATAATATCCAATATTTTCTGCACTTTGTAGATTTTGAACTAAATATCTTTGTTAGGTCTAAATGGGTAATCTGAGTATTTATTGCTGGGCTGGTATATCTTGTGCATTTAAGTATTGGCTGTTGCAGTGGAACTTCTTTTTTTTTTTCCCTCCTTTTCCAGTATGCAATTTTTTCTTCTATTGAACATTACTATGATGTGTTCCTTAAGTTTGTATTTGTGGAGCTATTATGGAAATATGAGATTTAAAGGGTATTGTTACTGTGGTGTGGAGAGGAATTTTTGTATGGAGAAAGGAATGGTTGGGAAGGGAAACCCTAGAGAGCGGTCATGTCAATTACTGAAATTATGAATTCTGAGGGAGTTGAATGAATGGATGAATGTTTTCGGTCTGATTTTTTATAACGCATATTCTGAAACTGGAGTAAGCCAATTACCTTCTACGGGGAAAGATTCTGATTATAAAATGTTACATGTTTAAACTATCATCTTCTGATTTTTGAATTTTGGCAATTGACTCTAATGGAATTGTAAGTAAATTGCCAAATCGAAAACTATCATCTTCCGATTTTCATTTTTGGTAATTGACTCTAATGGATTGTACTTAAATTTGGTAAAGGTTTACGCGATCATCTTCTGATTTTTTAATTTCAGCAATTGACTCTCAAATGGAATTGTGCTAGGTTGTTTTTGATTGGATTAGATAAATTTGGCAAGGGTGATTGGAGGAGCATCTCAAGGAATGTGGTCATTACCAGAACACCAACACAAGTAGCTAGCCACGCACAGAAGTACTTCCTCCGCCAGACTTCGGCGAAGAGAGAGAGGAAAAGAGCGAGTATTCACGACATTACCTCGGTGGATAACAGGGCAGTTGCTCAACCAGCGGATGATAATTGGACTACTCCACCCGGTCCTCCAACCGATCAATGCAGGCCACCGGGTTCAGGTTATCAAAACTTCAGATTTCCCATGTAAAAACAGTCATTGAGTGTAACATCATTGCACTACCTCTGTTTCATTCAATCAACTTTGTACATGTATAGGTCATTGGTGGCTAGTCCATTGGTGTTAAGTCTCTTTAGCCCATTGGTGTTCATTTTAGCATAGGCAGAGCTGTATAAACAGAAATTTAGAGTAAATATTTTTTCACAGGAATTTTTTTAAATTGCCAATTGTGTTTCTGAATGAGTTTTTGCTTTAATCTTTGTTTGATGCCTTTTGACCGTGATTGCGGTAGTGATGAAGTTTCCAGAGCCAGAGCCAGATAATCGTTTTCCGGCAGGGTTCATGGATGGATTTCAATGACTGTCCAAGAGTGATTTTCTGTAAACTTTTGATCATAGGTGATTAGGAGCATTGATTAAGGGTTGCCAATCTCCATAATATGTCATTATGAGCATTGATTAAAGGATTTTCGGCGGAGGTGGTGGTTTTAGGGTTTATGTTACTATTAGGTTTCAAGCACATATCTAGGACAGATAGGATTCTTTACAAAAGTTATCTTTGGACTCTTTAAAGAATCTCATTATTATGTTGTTGGGGAAAAAAATAGTTAATAAGATATTTTTTGAAATATGAAGGAAATAAATAGTTTAAATAATAATAATAATAAAAGAAGGATAAATGTTAAAACATCAAGAAAATATCAAAATATGACCCAAAAAAAAAACATTTAGAATATACATGAACGGTTAGATTGTGGTTTTAAAATGCGATCTTTTTGTAGGTCCTACTAATCCAATGGTTCATGTGTATTTTTGGTGTCTCTCTTTTTTTGTCGTATTTTCTTGATATCTGGCATTACCCAAGAAAAAATTCCACTTTTATGGTTGTAGATAAAACGAATGTGTCAGATCTAGAAAATAATTTCATTTTCTAAAAAAATAGAAACAGTTTTGTGTTCAAGTGTGATTTTTTTTTTCATTTAAAAGTTAGAAAACACTTTTTTTTTCAATTGTCGAGTAAATTATATATTAGTCCCCTTGTTTCAAGAAACAAATTAATTAGTTTTTTTTTTAAAAAAAACTATTATTTAGTACTTTAATCAATGTTGAATTTGTTTAATTTAATATTATTTTTATTCCACAAAATCTCTTATTTTTTCATCAATCTTTCCATTTTCCTTTCTCTATTTATTAAAACAAAGAATTAAAATAAATTAAAAAGAATAAAAATATTAAACTACAAATAGATTTCCAAATATAAGAACTAAATTATTAATTTTTAAAACAAGGGGGATTAATTAATTCTTTTCTTGAAACTAGAGAGACTAATTTATAATTTGCTCCTCAATTGTCTAACTTATAACTAGTTTTAGAAAACTTTTTTTATGATTTCTAAGTTTCTCCCATTAAAATTTTTACCATGTCTTTTAATAAAAAAAAGCATCATTATTGTTTATACAAATTTGTAAACGTATCCTATTGAGTCATTTTAAGGGATCCACAAGTCATACTAATCTTTTTTTTTTTTTTTTAATGTTTGGTAATGAAAAAAAAACAATCACAGCATCATGAAAAATATCAACTTGCCCATTCATGTAATAAATTACATGAAAGCATGTTAAAATTAATTAGTGTGATATTATAAGGAAAAAAATATCATTAGAAGTTAAATAAATAATCATATATATGCAAAAACTTATAATATTTTTTTGTTTGACCATTTTTTTCAATTTTTAAAGCGGAACGTAATTTTTCAAATTGACCCCATGAAAACATTTTCTATATTTTCCACCGAAAATGAAAAAGAAAATTGAAGATATATATAACTATTCTCTACTACTAAAGAACCTCTAAATGTGTCTTCATTAAAACAACTACCGATGAAAAATTGGAAAAAATGGATAAAGACATAAGATAAAGGGAAAAAAGTGCTTTTATATTATTATAAATATCGTTATTATTGTTTTGCATAGGTAGACACTTTTTCCCGAGTTTTTTCTCAAAAGGATACACTTTTGAATCTTTATTTCTTAATTGAGGTATTTTAAAACTTAATTCTCAAATAAAGGTACTTTTTTGCCACTTAAGAATTTTCATCCACATCATTTTTATATTTATTCCTTTTATTACCCTTATTAAGCAACTCTACGTTTTGGTGAAATGTTCTAGTTTTTCCGATAATAAATTTACTAAGCGGATCTGGTTTTGGGCATTTTGGAGTGATAAGTCGGCTAACCTTTTTCCAAACCCACTCGATAACTATTACAAAAGTATGTAAATATCCGATTCTAGTAGATTGTATGTCCGGAACAACAATATATCATCGCCATTTGATCTCTCGCATTCATGGAGCACCATTAAAAAATAGCGAGTCATTCCTTCAACAATAAGCTGTTACACATCTTTTGTCGTATATCTTGAATCACTTCGCTATATTCTTTCCAAACTTCAACCGGATAATGAGCGAGTCTTGTCCTTGTAAAATTCTAGAGAGAAAATAAAATAACCCTCAAGAATCAATTGTGTGAGACCAATGAAAGCCCGCCGAACATGAGCAATCTATCAATTTTTGCTATTTTACGAGACCTTCCGGAGACGATCTAGATGAGAGAAACAACAAGAAGGGAGGCGAGTAAATAGACACTAACAATGGTTGATTGAGTTAGGAAATTAGGAACATAGCCCGGTAGTTTAAGATCCGTTGGTGCTTATGGAGACGGCTACCCCTCCATTTTCGCTTCTCAACAAGTTATTAGATATTACTATTCCAAAATCAGCCTAAATCTCCGTTTCCTCTTGATTTTGTGTCTTCTCTATACTTGTACAAGGTACAACTAGAGTGTTTAAAACTATTGTTGATTGCGGAGTTTATGGTGGAAATATTATTGGGTGGGATTTATCGATTAATAGAAAGGATAATATTGAAATTCACGAGTAGAAACTATTTAGGTGAAAGGATTTTGGGCAAATAAGAAAATTTAAAATTTTGATTTTACATCATTATGTAGAGAAAAAAGATAGAGAGAGATAAGATAAGAAGAAGAAGAAGAAGAACATCGGAGTAATACCAAGAGCAAATAATAATAATAAAAAAAGATTAATATATGATGATAAAATATTTATTTAACAAAATGATTTAAAAGAAAAAGCTGACATGTCAAGTTATATAAATGAGATGGTTCCTGTATGGCATATACTATCTTATCTTGATAAATAAGTTTAAAACTACCATATTATGATAAATAAGATTTAAAAATGTCTTGGTCCCCCCGATAATGTAGGAATGTTCTTCAGTTGCAAGATGAGAGCCTGCCGGCCCAGGACAGTGCTCTTCCAGGTCGAGCAAGGGCAGCGAATATGTTTTGACAAAGCTCATGCTCCATGGCCCATGAAATTGAATAACTATTCTAAAAAGGTTGTCCAAGTAGGATCACTTTTTTTTTTTTTAAACAACATTCACAACACTTCTGACTACTAAATTATAAATTAATCCCTCTATTTAAAAAAAAAATTAACTAATCCTTTTTTCTAAATAATAATTATTTAGTTTAATAACCAATATTAACCACAATCCAAACAAGGCTCGTCCATGCCCAATCTCAATGGACAAATACTAAAACTGACTTCCCTATAATTACATTCCCGAGTAATAAAGATGATAATGAGTCGAGTATAAAACGAATATTTATTTTATCTAATTCAATAAATACTCATTAAAAATATCCAAGATTTAGATTAAAAAAAACATATACGCTAATATGATTTTAAGGTATAGATACCCACTCTTTCTTCTATTAATATCCATTAATTTATTTCGATTTTTTTATTAACATACGGTGATCTAATTATATAAAAATTTTAAAAATTAAGAATCAAAATATTTTAAAAAAAACTTTGAAAACCAAAAAAACTTATAAATAAATGACTAAAATGAAAAACAAATAAATTTTAAGGATAAAAATTTTTTTAAAAAAAATTATAGGGACTAAAATAAATATTTTTTATAAATTAAATTTAGTGGGTATTTAATGGATATTAAATAGGCTAATAAACTAATGTAAGTCAGATATAAATTGAATAAAAATTTATATGATAATATTTTTTGATAATAAGATAAAAAATTAAATTAATAAATCGAGTATCCCTTTGTTATGGTTACTAATGAACGACAGCCAAACGGAAGCATGAATATAAGATTCCAGCAGAATTATCGGGCAAATAGAGGTTAGGGTTCCTTCCTCACCACCGCAACCTTCCTTGTGTGTCAAAGATATAAAAAGCAAGTGCACCGTAACTGAAAAAAGGGGAACTAGTTCGATTTATTATATGGCAAAATATTCGAATCATAACTGCATACTCACACGATCTTTGCCGAGAGACAGGAGCATTCAGTAGAACCGATGAACGACCCTTGCTTCTGGATAGATGTGTGGGAATGCGGGCTCGTGGTGCCTCCTACCTACCCTTCCGTCTTTGCTTTTAAAATCGTTAATTTAATATTATTTTATTTTAATATTAGTTTTTTTAGGTTAATCTTTCCATATTGCCTAGCCAATTTTTTTATGTTTTAAAATAATAAACAAATAAAGTTTAAAAATAATATAAAATAGGTATAAAAAAAAACTAAATAATTAGTTTCTGAAAAAATAAAATAAAAAATAGATTAATTCGTTTCTCAAAACTATAGAGACTATTTTACAATTTACTCCTCCCTCTGCTCCATAACATGAAGGCACTGCAAGTTGACATAGGAGTAAATTATACATTAGTATCCTTAGTTTAGCAAAATGAATTAAATTATTCTCTTGAAATACTAATTTATTGATATCTGTATTTTTTAATTTTTTTAAGAAGTTAAAAAACAAGTAAAAAAATAAAAAAAATTGTTCGAAGAAAAAAACATTTTTTAAAAATAAAATAATATTAAATTAACCGATCATGATTGGTTAAAAAGATAATTAATTGATTTTTAAAATAAAAAGAACTATTTAATTTGTTTTACAAACTTAAAGAGACTAATTTATAATTAAAATTGCATAACTATCCAAAAAGGGTAATTTAAGTGATCCCTTCTTCTTCTTCTTTTATTATTTATTTATTATTATTATTATTATTATTTGTTGAGCAAAGGTCTTATCACGAGTTGAAAGTCCCCATTCCAATTTTTGGAATTTGAGAATCAGTTAGTGATTTGTGCCGATATCAACTCTAAAATTATACTATCATTAATAACAAACGAATTTCGAGATGCAAGAAACTCTTCACATTAAAAAAAAAACCTAAACCTTAATGGATTGCTGAGAGTAAATTATAGATTAGTCCCTCTAGTTTTTATAAATGAATTCTATTGTTTCAAAAATTATTATTTAATTATTTGATCAGTGTTTATCATGTTTAATTTAATATTATTTTTTGTTTCACAAAATTTCTTTTTTCTTATAAATTTTATCGTATTTTTTCTTTTTTTCTATTTTTTTGAAACAAAAAATCATAATAAATTAAAAAATAACAAAAAAAAATTAAGTTACAAGTAGATTTAAAAATTGAGTCCAATTTTGGATAAGTTTATGGAGAAAAGAAGACCTTTTTTAAAATAAAATAATATTAAATTAACCAACCATGATCAATAATGGTTAAAAAGCTCATTAATTTATTTTTAAAATAAAAGAACTATTTAATTCGCTTTGAGACTAATTTATAATTAAAATTGCATAACTATCCAAAAAGAGTAATTTAAGTTTGATCCCTTCTTCTTATTCTTTTATTATTTATTATTATTATTATTATTATTTGTTGAGCAAAAGTTGTATCAAGAGTTGAAAGTCCACCATTCCAAATTTTGGGATTTGAAAATCATATGTACAACAAAAAAGATGGGATGCAGTTAGTGATTTGTGCTGCTATCGACTGTAAAATTATACCAGCATTAATAATAAACGAATTTCGAGGTGCAAGAAACTCTTCACGTTAAAGCCCAAAAAAAAAAAAAAAAAAAACAACCTTAATGGATTGCCGAGAGTAAATTATAAATTAGTCCCTCTAGTTTTAATAAATGAATTAATGAATTCTCATGTTTCAAAAATTATTATTTAGTCGTTTGATCAGTATTTATCATGTTTAATTTAATATTATTTTTATTTTATAAAAAAAATTCTCATAAAATTTATCTTATTTTTTTTCTTTTTTTTTTCAAACAATAAATCAAAATAAACTAAAAATAACAAAAAAGACTAAGTTATAAGTATATTTAAAAATACAAAGACTAAATAATTAGTTTTTAAAATAAAAATGACTGATTAATTCATTTTTAAAACAAGAGGGACTAGTTTATAATTTACTCATTGTCAAAATAATACGACTGTCTAGAAGGATATTTATTAGGATATAGGTCCACGGAAACTGGTTCAACGACTAGTGGAAATCCACAATGAACAGAAATTGGCCCACCCACTTGAACTAACTATTAGATAAATATCCAACCAACCATGAAACCATTGTTGATTAAAAAAGAATAAAAACAGAGGTAATAATTGAATATATCAAATTGTTTGTACAAATCTAGATGTCAAAATCCCAATCTCAAGTTGAAGAAGACATTAGGTTTTAGTTTAAAAACATGATATCTAAGGAGATCGAGACAATCGGAGAGTAAAATATAAATTAGTCTCTATGGATTTAATAAATCGATAAATTAATCTTTTTTTTTTCAAAAACTAATTATTTATTTTTTATTTACTTTATATTTTTTCTTCTTTTAAAAAATAAAAAATAAAAAGATATTATAGTTAGATTAATGATTTGTTTTTTTTAAAAAAAATAAAATCATACTACTTCGGTGTTAAAAAGATTGTCTTTTTTAATTTTTCATGCAAATTAATAAAGTTATTAATTATTATATCATATTAAAAATTTTTATTTGTAGTTTTTAGAAAAAACTTTTTTTTTATAAGTATATTTGGAAAATTTTTTACAAAATAAATTTTAACTAGACGTATTTTAAAAAAATACTTCATTGAAGATAGTCAATCTTTCTGGTATAAATGAAATATTAAATTAAGTATAGTTAAAACTAATCAAATGACTTAATAATTAATTTTTGAAACAAAAGATATTAATCAATTCATTTCTCAAAACGAGAGGGATTGATGTATAATTTACTTCACAATTAGCGCTTACATGGTCAAACATGTTCAAAACATTTTAGAGTTTCTTCCCTCATAAATGTTTTTGCTGGGTCCCAATAAGTTGACCAATAACAACATTTGGGCTATCCAACTTGGCAGTGGACCCTTCCACCAATTAATTCCTACCAAAGTCAAACCCTACTTCACTACAAAAAACAAATGTCATCACTTACGTCATTATCCACTATTAATACATCTGGATGGATTTGAAACTAGCTGACCCGAGATCTTTATACGGGCCGGGTGACACCTCAGTTGTTTCCTCCAAGATCCGTTTAGTCCCTCTTCTTCTTCTGTTCCAAATCCTGTAAACTCCATACCCTAGAAGAACTCCAACTAGAACCAAAATAACCGTTCCGAGAACCCGAATACCCACTTTCATTTTCTTATGCCCTTCACGTTTCGTTCTCACCTTAAAAAACCCGACTTTACTCTCATCGCCCACACCCACCAACGTTTGGATCGGGTAATCCACAAAGTAACAAAACCCGGTTGCGTTGTTGTAAACAGAACCCCAACAGCTACAGTTATTCTGACAAGACAGCTCGCATTCCTCCAAGGACGATGATGTCGTGTCTGAACTCATCAATTCCTTAAACGGTAACTCCACCCCTTTCCTTCTCAAAATCCAGAAATCATCATTTCTACTGCAAAAATCACCGGACTGATCACCGCCATCAATGCACTGAAATGATCCAGTGTTCACCTGGGTCCGGTTATCCAAACAAGAGCAACCCGACCCGGGTCTGCACAAACCGTACGAACCGCAGGGACTAGGCAACTCGCAGGTTTCAGTAACAGCCTGGTAGTCCAAGACCCAGTCGGTTTGAGCTTGAGCTTGAGCCCAGTAATAACCTTTGAGATTTCCGTCCAGTTCTAGCCGGACTATCAGGAATCTGTCAATAGGACGATGATAACTGTTGAAAGGTTGGATATCTACTGGAGGTTTCTCCATTTGGTACATGCCCAAATACCCATCGGATTCGAGTCGAGCATGGATCGGACCTTGTCCTTGAACAACATGTGCTTTAGCTTCTAGCGCTTTGTGTTTCCAATATATTTTCTGCTTTTCCCCGTCTTTGAACTTTGCGTATAACCCCATGAAATCATCTCCTAAGCGCATAGAGTAGACCCCATTGGCCGAAACGAGAGACATGTTAGAAGTGAAATTCTGGTTCTCGACGAGGGTATTGGTGGGAAAATTAAAACTTTGCCACAGAACTTGTTCTTTTTGTAGTATTTGTAGGTCGGAGGAGTTGAGGAGAGCAACTCTGTCGCCACCTTGTTGGGACGTTCCTGTGGACCAAAATGACCCCGTGTGTGGATCGGATATTACAAGACTGCCATTGAAGAAAACCTGGGTCTTGTCTGACCAACGAAACAAGCTTGTTGGGTCAGCCTGCCAGAGCGGTTGCAAAGAAGGGAGATGAATGACTGTAAGGGCGAGTTGGGTTTGATTGACTCGGAGGAAACCCATAGAAAAAGTGCCCGTTGAGTCGTTCAAGAGAGGTTGAAAAGATGAGACTGATGAACTTGGATTGGCTTTGAAGCCGATTAGAAGCTCTTGGGAGTTGGCCAAAGTGAACATGTAGAGAACACTGGCAATGAGGAGGAAGAAAAAATGAGTTGTTTGTGATCGAATTACTGAGTTCATTGGCTTTTCCTGCATCTTGACTTTTGAGGATGGTAGAGATAATGGAAAGATGATAAAGAGTGAGTTTTCAAAGAAGACATGAAAGAATTTATAATGGTTTCTTCTTTTGGAATCGGGCAGGATACACCAAATTTTAAGGGTTTAAAAAGGTGATCTAGTAGATCTTATGACATGAAATGGACAAAAAAATAATATTATGCTTCTTTATTTTATTTTGCAAGTGGAATAGTTAGGATCCGTTTGGTACGGTATGGTTGTGGCTTTAGTCATGGTTAATGGCACGTAGTTGGATTTTATATATACAAACACACGAGAACCATTAGACTTGTTCTAGCGATTTTGTATTTAGTTATTTTTTTAATAAAGTAAATTTGAGTACTATTGATTCAATTTTTTTTAATAATCACATAATAAAAAAATTATCTCTTATTATGTAGTCTAAAATCTATAAATATTCGAGAAATAAAAAAAGTTCTTTGGATTATATTAATTCTGGTTATAGTTAATTGTTTTTTCTCTTTATTTGTTGATGTAGGTAAAACTTATATTTGTGTGCGATTAGTTCTTTTGTGTTTATTACAATTTTTAGTAAAAGATAGGCTGAGGAGAGAACAAATGAATACGAAGGAGAGCATTGGCACATGCAAATCATTCGAGTCCTAGTAATTCAATTTTTTTTAATAATTATGTAATCCAAAAAAAATTATTTCTCATTGTATAGTTTAAAAATCTCTCAATTTCTAGAGAATAAAAAAAATCTTCGGATTATATTAATTCAGATTATAGTTAATTTTTTTCCTTTTTATTTGCTGATGTAGATATCATCAAGCTACGTAAAATTTGTATTTGTACGCAATTAGTTATTTTGTGTTTATTACAATCTTTAGTAAATTGAAAAAAAAATTGTTTTATGTGTTTTTTTAATACTGCTACCTAAGTGCTTAAAAATTCCAGAATTTTCATTTAATTTTTATGGCTTCTAGATGATGTTTGGAGAAAACCGCACTGACTCTTTGAAAACCAAAACCCTTGATTCTCGAACAGGATCTAATTTTTTGGTCAGTTGAAAACCAAAATTTAGTTCTGGATGTGACTTCCCATGTTGTAATATAAAATAATAAAAACATTACTTTTTGAAAGTCAATTTTTAAAAAAGGTTAAATGGCAGTTTCTGTCTCTCAATTATTGAGTTTATAACATACTAAGATTCGTACAATCAATTTAATTAATTTTATCTTTAATTATTATATTTTAGGCAATCATTGTTCCTTGATTCGATTTAGCCAATATCATTGATTAAAAAAAAAATCTCTTTCAAAAAAACAAAAAAAAAATCTTAGACCCTTTTCAATTTAATCAATATCGATATATGTGATTTTTTTTTAGACCCTTGTCAAAAAATTTGGAATCGGTTCAAATTAATTTCTCTCTTTTCAATTTTGTAAGTATTTAATTTTTGAGAAAAATTAAAAAAAATACTTTTTGGTCTCAAAAAAATTTGAAATTATTTTTAAAAGTATGTTGAATTTTATTAATATGTGTAAAAAATTTTAGATCAAAATCTCAAAAAATATTTTTTTTGTAAAAAAGGTTTTTGATCAATAATAATGATCAAATAACACATAAGGGTAATATTTGTTTGAAACATTATAATATAAAGATAAAATTAATCAGATTAATACCACAAGTTCATTATGTCACAATCTTAATGATTCAAAAGTAAAAAATATCATTAAACCTTTTTGAAAATGATGGTGCGATGTTGTTCCTTTGACTTTATATTTCCAACACTAGGGATATATATTGACTTGTACTACCACTACATTTATCTATCAATTACGCAAGGTTAGTTTAAAGTGGGTTTCATGTGGGAAAAATGGATATAGTATTCGATGTGTAGCAGCTAAAAATGCATCTTTTTATATTTTTTGAACTCGTAAATATAAAAGAAAAACTTGATGCACAATATTTTATTTACGGTTGTAATTTCATACGAAACAATCATAAACGCACACACTAATCTTTCACTATTGATGAGTTTTGAAAAATCATGAAACTACGTTTATATGAAATCGATAAATTAAACCGTGTAAATAAATTAATGTATTTGATCCTATATTTATTGCATTTAAACAATTCGATTTAACTTTTCTTAAATCTTAATGTATATCCAAAAACTTGTTAATATGTAAAATATTAATCACATGATATATTATTTTTACTAAAATGTCCTACCTTATTTAACAAAAACTAAAAAAAATATTTTTAAATAAAAAATGAATAAAACTGATATGGGATACACATGTGACCCTATCACAATCACATAACCAACGTCACATGTTTTTTTTTTTTAAAAAAAAACTAATTTTAATTTAGACTCCTCGTTCCGTAAATCTCAACCATCCTTTTAATGTTGAAAATGTCAATAATCTAATAGCCGTGGTGTGAACAAGTTAAAACCCCAACTTTCTAGATGAAGCACCTGGAGCCTTGATATTATTAAAGTAGATGAAAATAAGAAGCACGCATACTTCAAATTAGGACAATATGCAAAAGGTTCACTTAAATAACAAAGGTTTATCTAGTCTAAATTAAAATTAAGTTAATACATATTTTTTAAAACTAGGACATGCATTTTAGTCACAATTATATATCGCATGACTAATATTTTCTACATCGATTAATTTTTGGACGTTTATTAAAAACTAAAGACAATTAGGTCAAATTGCTTAAATATAACGAATGTAGAATTCAATTTATCAAATTACTTATATATAATTTAATTAACGATTTAATATTGTCGTTACCCGACGTCGAAGAGACTCCGAAAAATGTGTATCTAATTTATCGAGTTAGATTTTATTTATCGAATTAGTTATAAATTCGGAATCATCACTTAATATTAATGAGCTAGTAACTTAAAAGTAGTATCGATTCAAAGATTTTATAGCTATGAGTTTGTTACACTTTTGAAAAGATATTTATTCACCCAAAAGTGTTATTTTCAAAGAAAGGTACCATGTTTAATTTAGTCTTAAATTCATCTCCTAAAATATTTTATTTATGCCAAATTATTTTTCGATTTTAAACTCCAATTTTTAAAGCCAAATTAAGTTTTTTAGTTGTTGGGCATGACATTCGTATTGAAACGATCGTTGGTTCCGTTCGTCAAGCGATACGTCGGTTCAAACATCAAATTCACTTTAAGCCTTAACATAACTCGGTATGTCGAAGACATCCCGATTATTAAACGATGATTTTTGGTAACGATTGTCCTTATCAAATAGGAGACTTCATCACGAAACGACAGATCATCGTCGGAGGGAGATTTCGTTGAGAATTTTATTTTTATATTTTTTTAAATTAATAGCAAAACATGCATAAATAAAGATCAATACTAAAAAAGGATTACATGAAAATTAAATATTAAATGCTAAATTAAATGTAAACCGACAAAACATGAAATAAAAAAATACTAATTAAAATGATTAAAGACCATTGAACATCTGAATTAAATAATGGAATGCATAAAATTTAAATTCTAGCCGAATATTTTATTTCTTATTTTTTAAAAATTTCCTTTATTTGCCTCTTTTATTGCTTTTTTATTCCCTATTTTCCGTCCCTTTATTACCCTTTTTTACGCTTTTGTTTTTTTATACCTTTTTTTCTGGAGCTGGACTGGTTCTTGCTACTAAACCATTCCTTTTCTTTCTTTATTTTTTATTTTTATTTTTTTTGGAGTAAAACGGGGAGCGGGGGTCAGAGGCAGGAGCTGGACTGAAACCAGCTTCTGCTCCCCTCTTTTATTGAGAGCTTAGACTAAGGCTGGGCTGAAACCAGCCCAGTCCTTCAATCCGTGTGGTTTGGGACAAACCCAACCCACATCCCAAAAAAATTCAAACCTTAAGCTGGACTTCCAACCCATAACAAGACCCCAACATCCTCCTATTTTATTATTATTATTATTTTTTTTTTTTATCAAACAAAAATTTATCAATTTCTTCCTACTCAAGTTTTTATTTCTCTGCTTCGGTTATCCCTTTTTTGTTTCTCTTCATTTCCAGTTTTCTCCAGAGTTGAAGCCACATTTTAGACAAACAATGTAGCTAGTATATCAATTTCCTATTCTTATTTCAATTATGAACCAGCCCTATAAACTTAAACCAATAACTAACAATATTTGGAGTGATCAACAAACGAATCAGGACTGAAAAATAGTTCGAATCTCTCTCACAATCCATTCATTCAAACTTCATATTTCAGTTGCAGATTTAAAACTCAAATTTCAATTGTTTAAATGTCGAACTTTATTAGCCAGACACAAGAATGAATCAGTGATGAGTTCAAAATTCAAAAACAACCCGATTAATTAAGGATTCGAACAGATTTATGAATGGCTTGAGGAGAAAATCTAGGTTGGAGTGAACTATAGGTCGTTCACTCAATTTCAATCCTATCGTTCACTCCAATATTTTTTTTATCCTTGCGAATTTCAATTATTTGTAATCATGCCCGTCTTCATGTAATTTCAGTCATGTAAAGAATAATTTTTCTTAATTGGGTCCCTATGCACAATAATTCAAGTATTGAATTTCTTAATTAACTCAATTGTGCCCCTAAATACTTCAATTATATTTTATTCTGATGCAATTGTGTCCCTTGATAACATTCTTCTTATTTTCTATATATTTTCCTCTTTTTTTCCCTCTTTTTTCTTCTAAAATAATTCAACTAAAATGAAATAAAACAAAAATAAAATAACATAAGAATTAAATAATGATAAAATAAGTATTGGAAAATTTTGGGTTACGGCAAATATAATCACGTGGTGTTAAAATGAGGTTTTTTTTTTTTTTTTCTAGAAAAAACATCATTTAATCTATTTTATCAATTCATTTACCATTGCACTTTTATGAGTTATGGGGCTTGTACGGACTACAAATTGGAAAAAATTTAAAATACTGAAGAACCAATTAGAGTAATTTTATCTAGAGAGAGATATATACACGAAAAAAAGAAAGCAAAAGGAGAGAGAAAATTGGGGAAAAAAAAACGAAAAAAAGAAAGAAAGAAATTTAAGCATTGGGCTCTATATCATGACATAGAGAGTTCATGTATTGGGCCAAGTTGAATGATTTCTCTTTAAGCAATGGACAAGTACTTGGATGCCCAACTTTGCATCCTTTGGGAGATCTTGTTAATGAGAGGCTTCCAAGCATTCAAAGTGAGCTTGCCAGAAACGAGAGAATCCCCAAATAATTTGCCGAATTGTTGTGGATTGGTCCATGCTTGCTTGGCCATAAACCTCTTAATTTTTTGCCATATTTCTCTTCTTCTTCTTTTTTTTTCTTTGGTATTACGCAAGAGGAGTTTAGATTCGAGAACTCTTATTACGAAAAGAAACACTAATGTCAATTGAGTTACAGATCATTGACATCTTGCAATGTTTTTAACTATCCCAAGTTTTACAGTTTAAAGAATTCTAAACTTCAACATATTGAATTCAATTAAGTAATGGAAGCAGAGTTTTAACTGCTTCATTCACCATAATTGAATATGCTGCTTCTGTTGGGTGGAAAGCATCCCAAAATAGGTATTTAGTTCTATCAGGGCACACCGGCTTAGCTACGTCGCAGTAAATTCCTGTCCCACAACAGCCTTTACGTGTCTCTTCAAACCCTTCATGGAATACAAAAAAAAAGGGTCACTAATGGATCGATTCATTCAAATTTTCATACAGCTACTGCACAGAAAAGGAGAAGAAATTTTGAATGTTTTGGAATGGATCAATTAAGTTCAGCATATCATTCAAATTTTCATACAGGTATTGCACAGAAAAGGAGAAGGAATTTTGAATGTTTTGGATTATTTTTCTCACCATATTTATTTGGATTGTTAGCCATGTCAATGAGGGGATTATATGCATCCAAATAAGCAATCTTGGCACCCTTGAACAGTTCAGCTTGCCATCTCGAGATTAAGGATTGAAGCTTTGTATTGTAAGCACGAGATTCAGCGTTCCGCTCCTCTACACACTCGTGTTGAAATACTGTCATTGACGCTGGCAAGCACCCAATCGGTGGCAAGCCAGTTAGCAGGAACCTACGCCCTCCTGCTTTGTATAGCCTCTGCATGCAGCGACAATAAATCAGCAAACTAACTAAATAACGGCCTTATTAACAACGTTAATGCCGTTATTTGTATGAAACGCTGTTGGGCTCTCTATAACGTTATAACTAAAACCGGTATGTCCTAATCTGTTAAATAACGGCCGTTGTTTAGAACTATGATCGCGACAATATTTGAAGGGTTGTATTGCTTTTAAAATGAATAAGAACTTTCTTTATTTCACTTGCATCCCGTAGCTAAGAAAAGGTTTGCTATTTTGTGGAAAAGTAAGTACCTGAACGGCAGATTCTAGTTTTTGGAGCAGAAAATCTTGATATTCTGAAACTGAAAACTGTAGTGCTCTTGCATGCGTCGTATAGAAGTTTATCAGCACGTCAGGAGAACCAACACTGAAGAAAAATATCCCATTGTCCAGTATAAATCTAGACTTCTCCTCACCAACTAATCTCTCCATCCTTACCACTGCTTCTTCGAACAACTTTAACTGAGTTGACACATCCAAAGCCCGTGTCGTTAAAGATGTCAGAGGATCCAATCCAGAAGCAGCTGATGCGAAACTGACACCAGTTAGCAAGTCATTCTCGGTGAGTTCTGGGTCAAGGTATGCCGGCAAGAGATCTTTGAGGCCTAACAAAGAGGCTAGGAAATCTGTTGGTAACTTTCCATTACAGAATCTCCCGGTGGCCGCATGGTTAGGGAAATCTAGGCCATATGGTGGGAAATTACAGCGAGCAGGGGTGGGAACAAGGTTGTTGTTGCCTGGATCGATCGACGAGTCACCAAATGCAAAAACTGCGGTTACGTTGGAAGATGAAGCAGTGATTAAAGATGGCAAAGAGAGGAAGGAACCCATGAAAAAGAACGTGAAGAACATGGAAGTGGCCGGCGTAGTCTCCATGAACGCCTATTTAAGAATATGTTCTGAAGCTGGAGAGTTTGCATTAGATTGAACCAGGTTTGCTCGAATATATAGTCATCTGGAAGCAACATGTTTGAATGGAGTAATCTAATACTATATTCATTTCCTACTATTTTATTTGGAAGGAAGAAGTTTTCAAGTTTGGTCATGTAATATTTATATATACTTTAAGCAAACGTGCAAGGAGATTGGGAGCTCAATTGAGCTGGCCATGAATGGAAGTTCGATGAGGAAGGACTTAAGGGAAATCCTGCTACTTAACACAATCCGACATATCTGTTTCTGCTATACGACGTTTTAGAAAATTCAATAACGTTTCACTCAAATAACAGCAGTTGTGGCTTAACATATTTGAACATATCTGTTTCTGCTTAAAAACAATACTTTTGATCCTTTGCTTCAAAATAAATTTATTAATATGTATTTCTAATATCGCTTGTCGTGACCGTTGTTTTATTATCACAATAAGCTACGTATTCACAATCGTAATCACAATGGTTTTTACAACTGCATCCATAATTTAAAACTACGATTGTGAGAATTTTATATAACTGATGATAAAGAAACCAGCAGGTTCTGGCTTTCTTTATTTCAACAACCGCCTATAAACATGAAGCACATTTCCTTGATATGAAGGAGATTACAGCGGGCTGTCAACAGCTAATGCATACATACAGACGTGTGTGTGTGTAACAGTTGACCCTAAACAATAGCACACTTTGCCATAATTGTAAGAAGATTACAGCAGGCTGTCAACAGCTAATGTTCATTGAAAAAAATTGAAATGTGCTATTGTTTTCATCATAATTCTAAATTATAGATACGGTTGTAAAAGTGGTAGTTGTTTATCGTGATAGTAAAATAGCGATTACGGCAATCGACATCATAAATATATTAATAACTATTAATAAATTTATTTTAAAATAAAACGTCAAAGTTTTTTTTTTTTGAATAATAATATGACGGTGTTATCTATCAAATAATGACAACACATGTTGTTATTTTTGCTATTTGAATACAACATCATTAGACTTTTTATAACGTTGTATAACGGAAACAAATATATCTAAATCCATTAAAAAATATAATCATCGTTATTTAGAATTATGGTTTTTATGGAACAATTTAATGAATGAATTCTGCTTAAGTTTTATTGTAAGTAAAAAGAACAGGATGAATGAATTCGAGGTCTGACAATATTATTGTCAACAGAAAGGGAAAAAAAAAAAAAAGGGTCTGCCATGGTTACTTTTAAGGAATCATCGTTCCCCTTCTGGAATGGAGGTATTTCTCCTAGCTAGCCGCATCGGATTTGTCCATGTGAGATAGCAGTTCTGTTCCTTTTTTCTTCAGTTTACAGCAAAAAAATTGTTACGAGGTGGGTTTTTAATCTCGCGTACAGGCCCATCCTGTAGCAGCGTACAGGTTCTTTTCTTTTGTTTTTATCGGGACACGGTTTTTTAAAACCAAGAATTCCCTGCAGAAATGTAGTCTATTCTCTAAGCTTACTGCATTTGTTTGCACCAATTTCAGCAGAAAAGAGACAAAAGATCGATCACGTCTCCAAATTAGGGTTTAATAGCAAATTTTGCTCTTACTTTATTATGATTTGGTAATTTCGAACCCATGATGCTAAATCGTGTAATTCAATCTTAAAGTGTTAAAGATTGAGTAATATGATATAAATTGTCTAATCTCTAATATGTAGTATAAATTGTCCAATTTAGATTTATCGTTGCTTGAAACATGAAATAAACATCGTTTTAACATTTCGTTATTAATTATATTTTAAAAATTTTTTTAACTTGAAAATTTTAATAAATATTAAATAAATATATAAAATCTATATGAACATGGATGATAATTTTTTAATGAACATGGATGTAATATTTTTTTAATATATAGAATGTAAAATAAGAGATCTTAAGAGACCGGTTATCCGGGCCTCCACCTGCATGACTTCGAGCCCAGTGCTTACAATAAGCCCGCTGGATCAGCAATTTATATTTTACACCAAAATTTGCACTTGTTAGACTCTATTGTTTTTTTTTTCCCCCTCCTAGGTATGAGTAAATTATAATTTAGTTTCTCTCGTTTTGAAAAATAAATAAATAAATATTTTAAAAAAATAATAATTTATTCTATATATATTGAAATTTATTTATAATTTAGTCATTTTTTATCTTTTTTAATTTATTTTAATTTTTTGTTTTAAAAAATAGAAAAAGGAAAAAATATGAAAAGATTGATGAGAAAATAAGAAATTTTATGAAATAAAAAATAATATTAAATTAAACATGATTGACACTAATTAAATAATTAAATAATACTTTTTGAAATAAGGGAGACCGATTAATTAGTTTCTTGAAACTAGATGGACTAATTTATAATTTATTCATCCCAAGTTGGAGATATAATTCATTTTTTCTAAGCAAAAAAATAAAATTTAACTTCTTTTAATAAATATAATTTTATAATTTTAATCATATATATTAATAGAATTAACAGAAAATTCGTACGATAATTAGGTCGTATATTATTGACCAACAACTGTTGATTGACCCTATTGTTTATTTTCATTCCTAAATTGCAATTAACTTTATCCACCTTTGATGGCAGGCAATGCATGACCTAACACAATTGTTTATGAAATATGTTTCTTTGAAGAAAACACCTGAGCTTATTCTATTCAAAGGGTGCGTACTTTTTTTACTATTATGTAAGAATCAACACATCGCTCACAAACCTAAACAGGTAAAACAAGGATCAAATTATTTTTGGTTGCCTAACATTACGTGGCCCTATCATACTCTAACAATTATTTGCATACCTTCCATTAACAAAATAAGAAAGATCTTTGAAAACATTATAGTTCGAAAAGGGTTCGTATCTTTGTAAAGTTTGACCGAGCCACCATCCTTTATTGATGGAAACAAGTTTTTAAAATATAAAAATTAATTAATCATTTTTTATAAAAAAATTCGTTCATTTCTCAAAACTAAAAAGATTAGTTTATAATTTAGTCCATCGCACAGCAACTTATAATTATGATGGTTTTGAGAACAAATGGGAGTGATCTCATGCTTAAGAAGAGCTTGTGTACTATCATAATGAAGATAATTAACTCAAATTTAAGATAAGGCCATGTTCTAATTCGGCTATTAACATTGAAAAGATGAAAATATGAAACAATAAATTATCAAAATAAGTGCAGGAAGATATAGGAGTTCGGATTAATGACAATTATTTTATTAATACCAGCTTTTTTTTTCTTAATTTTTTTAATATATATTTACATATAGTGAAATACTTTTTAGTTAGTTTTAATATCAATTGGGACTAAATTTACTGTTTTTCGAATTAAATCAGCATTACGACACATTTAGTATTGGTTCGACTAACGAGCAATCTTTTAAACCAAATCATTCTAAATCTAATATCAATAAAAGATAATTGTGACTAATTATCCGTGAATAATAAAAATTAAGCTTCAATTTTAATCAAACTAAAACAACTTTTTTATCGTTAAATTATATATTTTGATTTTTTTCCCTCAAATTAAAATCTAAAAAATAAATTTTACGATAAGGATTTGAATTACAATAACCATGATTTCTTCCATTATCGGCATTAGAGCACATTTAGTATTGGTTCGACTAATGAGCAATCTTTCAAAACCAAATCATTTTAAATCTAATACCAATAAAAGATAATTGTGACTAATTATCCGTAAATAATAAAAATTAAACATTAATTTTAATCAAATTAAAACAAATTTCTTATCGCTAAATCATATATTTTGATTTTTTTCCCTCAAATTAAAATCTAAAAAAAAAAAAAATTTACGCTAAGGATTTGAATTACAATGACCATGATTTCTTCCATTATAATGTAATGAACAATAACTATCCCATATTGTACAATTCAAAACGCATAAAACCACTGAAAAAAAAAAAAGTACCTTACTTTCTTCTTCTTCTTCTTCTTCTTTTTTTTTTTGTTTTTTTTGGGTTACTAAGTTTGGTCATATCTCCCTCGCTTGCTAGTTTGGTTAGGACAAAAGATACTTTGTTTGCCAATATAGTGCCCATCTACATATTTTAGGCTCAACGTATGGTAGTAGGAATATGATACGAGCTTGTACCTAAAGCATGAGCTCGGTCAAAAACATGGTTACTCTCATTGACATTTAAAGTTACAACTTGGTAGAGTTGCCACATGACAATGCCTAACCATAACTTTTTGGGCTAAACAAGAAATGACAGCATACGTGTGTCACATGTGAGTTTAGTCGGTGGTCACGGTAATAGCAAGGTTAGCTTAATCAAGTCAAGTCTCCTCTTGTGCGTTTGGTTTCGATGAGGTTGGTGTCAAATTGCCTAAAAAGCAAATCTTGGCCCCCCAATCTCAATAATAGATATGCTCTATATGTTCCAACAATTTTATCACCACTTTATATAGCTTTTTGTTTCTATATCTCTGATTAAGTTAATTTTTATCTTTAAATAAACATTAAATTTATAATTTATCAAGTTTTTCAAACTAAATCCTAAATCATCAGAATTATCCACGTAATTTATATATAATTATTTTTTATTTCAAAAAAATACTCGTATAAACTAATCAAATAAAAGATTTTTATGCATAATTATTATGACTAATTTTAATAATTCAATCTTAAAACCTCAATAGAATGATAAATTAGACATTTAATATATATTTAAGAATAAAATCAATTTAAATAAAAATATAAAAATAGTTCATAAAATTACTTCTATTGTATAAGAATGCAAAAAACATACTTTCTATTATATCAAGTCAATTTTTATCCTTAAGTAACTAATAAATTTTCAATTTATCAAGATTTTCAAGCCAAATCCCAAATCACAAAAATTATTCACATAATTTGTACATATTTTTTTATTTCAAAAAACATTTTTATAAACTAGTCAAATAAAAGATTTTTATATACAATTCTTGTAATTAATTTAAAAAATTCAGTCTCAAAATCGCATCAGAATGATAAATTAGATATTTAATATTTATTTAAAAATAAAATTAGTTTAATTAAAAATATAAAAAATATATCGGAGAATATATTTACCCATCAAATGGGGAAAAAAATACTCCCTTATTCTAGCGTTGTAAATGGAAGGGGCAAAGTTGGGATCACACTCCTTTTTATGTGGCAGTAACAATGCTGTCATCTCCTAGTTCCAACTCAAATCTTCTAGTTGGATCCTGACAATAAATAGTAAACTAAAACTGAGAAAGGGTTTGAATTCCAATTTCCAGGAAAAGAGGAAGGATGATATGGATACAAAAGGAGCATTGGGGGCCTTAAAAAAAACCTATCCATAATGATTTTGTGGGACCCCACTGTGGACCCAAATCTTAAGAAAACTCAGAAACTGATTGATTGACTGGTGATGGACTGATAAGATCGTGCCCATGCTGGAGCCATAGCATAGGTGCAGGACCACCTCATTTCTTTTCAGTCCTGACAATCGTAGCACAGAGGGTTGCAGATGATTTTATCCTTTTTGGATAGAAATTACAGCGATGGGTTAATTGGGTTTAAAAAAATCGAAAAAAAAAAAAACTTTTGCTCCGATAAAATCCTTCTAAAATATTTATAATTTACCGTGCATCCTGGTTAGGATCAATAAATCTTGAAATTCATAAAATGATATGAACAGGATAAAAATTAAATAAAAACTATCGATTTAATTTTGAAATATTTTGAATCTAATTTAATGTCAAACAAGTAAAACTTATCGATTTTGCCAATAACATAACGGTGATTTTGATCAAAAAAATATTATTTAGAACCTCAAAATTCATTTTTATTGATTTTCAGGATTTTTACTAATTTTTTGAATTTTTATTATTTGTTTCTCTTTTGAATTGTTTTAGGATTTCAGTCAAAATTTATTATTTATGTATGATTTTAAGATAAAAAAAAAGTCATTTTTTTTTTACTAGTAAGTTTTATGAGAAAGCCTCTCAATTTTATTTCAATTTTTAATAATTTTTTAATCAATTAAATTAAAATTTATTTTTTAATATTTATGCATAAGTCAACATGTTATAGTAAATCAAGATCTGAATTTCAGATCAATAACATTTATTTTTTTTCTTGTGAGCTTCTGTTACGTCACATCTATAGTAAATAATTGAAGTTATTTATAACCCATCGTGCATTTGATAAGAAAATTAACATTAAATTTAATATATTTTAATAAATGAGATTAATCAGACGTAAATACGTAATTTTTTTCATAAAACTTTTGAAAGATCTTCAAATCTAAAAAGTTTTTTCTTTACAATCATTGTCAATCCTGCCAAAAAAAATATGAATCTCGTGTCAAATTATTTTCTTGGATTCAACTTTTATATATTTCAAAAATCTAAAATACTATTAGTCCAACTTTCATATTTTAAGACAAATTCACATGGATTGAGTTTCAAAAAACTTCCTCTTGTCTAAATTGATATATATTAACAAAAAAAAAATTATAACCTTTATTGAATAAATTATAAATTAATCCCTCTAATTTCAAGAAAATAAATAAATAATTTTTTTGTTTTAAAATCATATATTTAATCTCTTAATAAGTGTTGAGTAAGTTTAATTTAATATCACTTCATTTTAAAAAAATACACTCTTTCTCTCATCAATTTTTTTATTTTCTCAATTATTTTAAATATAAACAAAACAAATTATAAAAGAATATAAAATAAAATAAAAACTTCAGAATTAGTTTTAAAATGAAGAGACTAATTAATTCGTATCTCAAAACTTAAGGGACTGATTTATAATTTACTCAACCTTTGTTGGTCTTTAGCCTCTCCTGGTTGACTCAAATTCAGGTTCATGCCAGCCAGCAACTCACCTGTCACCCCTTTTCTGCCTTAAATCCATTCTTATCTCCGAAAGATTTGCCTTTCCATTTTCTACACGTGTCATTGTGGGTTTTAAGTTTAGTGCAAAGTGAATTGCCTTTTCTGGGGCCACACAAAGAACCCACTGGTTCTTCACCACCAGTTGGCTCGTTGACCCCGTTTTCCGGCTCAAGTACCGTTTTCAGATTCCTCTGCCAAGTGGATGCTGGCCTCTTCTTCTTCTTCTTCTTCTTCTTTTTCCGGTCAGTTTGAACTAGCTCAGGGAGGTTAGGTTTCAAAATTCAAAGGTCAAGGTCGAAATTCGTCATGGACATTTCTGGTGCCGAATCTTCAATTGCAAAAGCGACCGTTTTGGTTCTTTTTCATGTTTTTCACTTTTGTAGTTTCGTGTTGTGAATTTGGAATTTATTGAAATTGATTAAGCTAAAAATGATTTTTTTTACAAAGAAATTTCATGGTTTACCTACAATTAGTAGCTTAAATTAGTTTGAAAGATTTATTACAGAGTTTTGAATAATCTCTTTCCATTGCATCATAAGGTGGTACAATACAAAGGGTCATTGATGTAATAAATAGAAAGAAAAGCTACTGCACTCCTTCTAGACGTCTCTAGCAAGATCATGGATCCACAACACCCACCCTCCCCCCAAAAAACAAAAAATAACTCATGTTTTGAAAACTCTTAATATAATTAATCTTAAAATTTAAATTCGTAATCTCTTATTATAAAATATCATTATTATTAATATAATTTTAAATCACGAACGTTTGAAAAAATGATCGTGATCGTTATTATGGATTACAATTTACTATAATACTAAAATAACAATAATAAAACATTTCAAAAATGTTATATAACTATCGTTATATAATGTAATAATTATTATTTAAAACTTTGATCATTAAGCTACAAGCTTTTTGGTAGCTCTCTTCCTCTTTTTGTCTTCTTACCGCCAAGTTCTTTGTTCCTATAGATTTTTTGTATAGATCAAAACCAATTCCCTTCTTGATTCCAATATGAGATTCAACCACCAATTTTTTTCTTGATTAGTACCCACCAGCTGAAAAAAAAAAAACTTTTGGAAAATGTCCGAAGAATATTTGGTTTTAAGTTTTTTTAAAATATTAATAAATAATAAATATTTTTCAAACTAGTTTTTATATCAATTTATATTAAATTCATTGTTTTTTTAGTTAATCAACGTAAAAACACGTTTTAAATCAAATCAATTAAATTCTAGTATCACTGAAACTTTTTGGTTTTAAGTTAAAGAGTATTTTGGATCTCGAAATTAATTTTTCTAGATTGAGGTATGAGCAAATTTTAACAAATTATTAATGTTGAAATCTTAATTAATAACACTGGGACGTACATGTCACCAACCAGGATGAGCCTACCAACTCTAGTATTCTACCTCCACGAGAAATCAATTACCTGAGCCAAATCCTCCTATGCTTATCCATTTTTACGCGCATGCCAAATCCAATCCAAAAATATCCATACCACCTGTAGCATAATAATTTATCCATTTCCAAGGGATTATCCTGCTTTCTATTTTTGTATGTTTCAAAATATTTGTATGGTAAAAACGTTTAAATTATTTATTTTACCACAATACCCTTAATTAAATTCAAATAATAATGAATCTACAATTATAAATTAAATATTTTTTATAAGCATGGATAAAATATAATAACATGACATTTCAATTGATAACATTCTTTTTAAAAAAATTTAAATTAATAACATTCTTAATATCTATAAAAAGACAAATATGGCAATTTTTTTATAAAAAAGAGAGAGATTTTTTTAAAATACTCAAAAAAATAACTATCAAACTTATTTTATAATTTTATTTAAAAATATGAATAAAAAAATACATCGAATCCATAAAAATAATAAAAATACTTTTAGATAGATTCAATTTTTTTATATCTACTTTTTTTTTTGGGTTTAAAATAGACTTATATTCCTAAAGTAAGTGTTGATGGTTATTTTTTAGTATTCTACATAAGGGTATTGTTATTATTTTTAATAAATTAGAATATAACTTTTTTATATTTATTTTTCTTTTTAAAATAAATTCATATAATAAACACGGGTTTTTTTTTTTTAGTACATAAACCAAAAATAACCACAGTCAAAGCACAGCCAACTGGATAGAGAACGGTACAATATAAAGCAAGAGAAATTGACTGACATAGGGGAGTTACTGAGCACAAAAAGGAGAAAAGTTCAGTGGCCTTTTAATTTATTCACCGTCCGTTGTCAGTCTCACCCCTTTATAACTCCGCTCTTCTCCCCTTCTTGTTCACACATAGAAGCTAGATAAAGAGACACGAAATAGCTCTAAAGCAAGAGTTTTTACCAATGGAGAGCAGTCATGGCTCCTCCTTTTCTAGCTGGAATTCTTACCTTCAAGCCCTGGCCCAGACTCCTGCCCGTCTAGCCAGGCGGGCTGGTTCAGTCTCAACTTGTTATGAAGAAATGAGCCGTGTCAAAGCCAGGTCTGGTTCTGACATGCAAAGAACACTTCGTTGGTACGACCTTGTTGGGTTTGGCATCGGTGGGATGGTTGGTGCTGGTGTTTTTGTCACCACTGGTCATGCTAGCCGTCTCTACGCTGGCCCATCAGTTATTATCTCCTATGCCATTGCTGGCCTTTGTGCCCTCCTCTCTGCCTTTTGTTACACTGAGTTTGCCGTCGACATGCCGGTCGCCGGCGGTGCTTTCAGTTATCTGCGTGTCACTTTTGGTCTGTAACAACCACTAGTGTATTGTCAATGAATGGTTGCTCAATCGGCAGAAATGCTTACTGGGTTTTTCTTGTTTTCCTGAACAGGTGAATTTGCAGCGTTTTTGGCCGGTGCAAATCTTATAATGGATTATGTCATGTCAAACGCGGCTGTTGCTAGAGGCTTCACTGCTTACTTAGGCTCAGCGATTGGCATCTCTACATCAAAATGGAGACTTGTTGTCCATGGACTACCTGATGGCTTCAATGAAATTGATATTTTTGCCGTTCTTGTTGTCTTAGGCATTACTCTCATCATCTGCTACAGGTACCATAAAAAGAATGTTTTTTTAATCTCAGACTAGCTTTCGCGTACAAAATTTGACTCATTTGTTCATGTTTTGCAGTACAAGAGAGAGCTCAGTGGTGAACATGGTGTTAACAGCTTTACACATTCTGTTCATTGGATTTGTGATACTAATGGGATTTTGGAAAGGAGATTGGAAAAATTTTACAGAACCTGCTAACCCAAATAACCCATCTGGGTTTTTCCCATTCGGAGCTCCTGGTGTGTTCAATGGAGCAGCAATGGTGTATTTAAGTTATATTGGATATGATGCTGTTTCTACTCTAGCTGAAGAAGTCCGTAACCCAGTTAAGGATATCCCTATTGGAGTTTCAGGCTCTGTTATAATTGTCACCATTCTTTATTGCCTCATGGCTGCTTCCATGTCCATGCTCCTCCCTTATGATATGGTAATTAATCAATTGATTAGAATGGTGATTTGATTTGATACAAATTTAATGGCTAAAATGTTCTGATTATTGGATGTGGTGGTGACCATGTAGATTGATGCAGACGCACCATTCTCAGCAGCATTTAGAGGGAAATCAGACGGATGGAAATGGGTGTCAAATGTGATAGGGATGGGGGCCAGCTTTGGGATTCTTACATCATTACTAGTTGCAATGTTGGGACAAGCTAGATACATGTGTGTGATCGGACGGTCCAATGTTGTCCCTGCTTGGTTCGCTAGGGTCCACCCAAAGACATCAACGCCTGTTAATGCTTCCGCATTTCTTGGTACGTGTTTTTTATCAAGTTGTTTGTTTTTGTCGAAAACAATCATCTGTTCCTACGAAGAAATGATATAGCTTTAGCTTTTTCCCATAGCTTTTATTCTGCTCGATGTTGGGTTTCTTTCGTGTTTACAATAAAAAATTTGGTGTGTTTGTGTGTGTGTTTCTGTGGCTGCGTGCTTTGTAATGTGGGTAGTCTTGGCATTATCTTTGCTGTTTTGGAGTTTGTTCTTGAAGATAGGCCGTTGGGACATGGGACCTACTCGAACCGTTTCAGTTTTGTAACCGGTGATGCATTTATGTTTTGATTAATCTTGTTGCCTCTCGTTGCTTCTAAATATTGCATTAATCAGTAGCCGTTGTTGTGACTAAGATACAGCCATGGCTTTGACTGTTTAGTACACTTTCTAATCTTTTGGTCCTCTTGGATGACATGCTTGTCTCGAAAATGATTTAATCTCGATTTAGTTTTGCATAAGTTGACACGAGAATTAGAATTATTACTTCTTCTATCCCAAACGTTGATTCAAGTGACCGCTACCTTATGTAAAGGCAGTCATATAACAGTTTCTGTGCATTTAATTACACTATTATTTTAGTTTTGCGATAAATCGCTATTCGCGACGGTGACTGTGACTGTTTCTTCAATCGGCCGTAATTTAAAACTATAGTCCCAAAGGAATGAATGACATGCGTTCTAGTAAGAGATTTAATCTCGATTTCATTTGCCGAAGTTGACATGAGAATTAGAATTTCTCGTGTCACTAGCCAACAAGCAATGCATTTGGAAGGCCATGCATGTAGAATTATTGGTTCTTTTGGGATTAATTAATAATTGGTCAATGAGAGAGAATATAAAATTAGTGATTACAACATTCAATTTTTACAAGGTAGAGAAATGCTAAAAATTAACATTATGTGGTTGTTTGATAGCATGTAGGCTTGGACAATAAATTTGTGCCCTGAAAATTATTGATGCAAAGTACATCCAAAAGTGTCCCTAATTTGACTCGGTTGTGTTTGGAGCCCTCCTAGATGGACCATCACTTTGCCAAATTGGTATGCCTTTGCTTCGTAGAAAGCGAAGAAAATGCCTGAACATTTTAGTATAAGGTTCTCCAAATTGGTCTTTCTTGCTACCCTTTCTTTTGTTCACGTGAATGATCGAAAGGTGTCTGATGATGTATGTTTGCATTAATTAGTTAATTACAAGCTCGAAAAAGTTGCATTTGTTGTCGAATTAAGAAATACTAAAAAGTTTTCTTGAAGACTACAAATCTTTCGTAAAGAGAGATGAATTTATATAAACAGATTATGCAGGGTTGGCATGCGTCTCTGAAAAGAAGGGGAGATGCGGATGAATTAAGAGTGGAGCACATGCCAAGCATATTTTTAGTGGAAAATACTTCTAGATATGGGCTAGATTTCAACAGCATTTGTTTATGTATATTTTCAATGGCTAAGACATGACCTAATTGCTAATCCCTACTTCTAGAATATGACTTTGACACATGCTCGAGGCTGAGTTTAGTGTCTGTTGTTATCAATTTTTAGCACGCGAACTTGTAAATTTTATGCTACGTTGTCTGAAATATATGGCATGATCTCCTTTTCAGGAATCTTCACTGCAGCAATTGCGCTTTTCACTGATTTAAATGTCCTCCTCAATCTTGTATCAATCGGGACACTGTTTGTCTTCTACATGGTGGCTAATGCTGTAGTTTACAGACGTTACGTTGCGATAGGGACGACTAATCCATGGCCTACGCTATCCTTTCTGTGCTCATTTTCCTTCACCTCTATCCTCTTCACTCTCATTTGGCATTTCATGCCTCAAGGACAGGGAAAAGCCTTTATGCTCGGCGCCTGCGCGGTGATAGCCATCGCTATAACACAGCTCTTTCATTGCATTGTGCCACAGGCAAGAAAGCCTGAATTTTGGGGAGTCCCATTGATGCCATGGATACCATGTGTATCTATCTTCTTGAACATATTCTTATTGGGGTCTCTTGATGGTCCATCCTATGCGAGGTTCGTCTTCTTTTCAGCTCTTGCTGTGCTTGTATATGTTCTGTACAGTGTCCATGCTAGCTTTGATGCTGAAGGGGAAGGCTCTTTCGGTCAAAAGAATGGTGAGATTATGAAGGAATCAGGAGAAAGTGATCAGGACCCTATTTTTAAAGTGTAAAAACTTCGGTCCTTCCACCTTTTTCTTGGTAATGACTTCTGCTTTTTGAGTGGTTGATGAGATACTTTGAGAGAGAGAGAGGAAAAAAAAAAAAAAGGAAAGGCATAGAATAGAATACAGAAAGCAATTTTGTGGAAGTGGCTGCGGCTTCTGGTATAGTGGGTAAAGGAAGTAGTCTTACATTAGGCTGTGTGATCCTTTCTAAATCACCTCATGTGATCTGTCAACTACTTTTAAATTTGCTTTGTTTGACATGAATTGTTCTTGAATGAAAGCATGATATAGAAAAGAAGTCATTTCCATTATGCTTTTACTCATCTTTTTTTTATTAGATTTACTAGTATTGTAGCATTATGGGTTAATAATTCAATTCAATCTGTTATTGTATTTCTAGTTGAGTTTAATGGAGTTATTTTATTTTTAAATATATATTAAAATTTTAATGTATTTTAATACAATTAAACTATTGAAAATAACTACATGATTTTTATATAAAGTCTTCTATTTGTCTAATTTGTAAGGCGGTATGGATAAATTTGTGATTAATTTTGATGATTAAGATTTAACTGATATATAAAGATAAAATTAATTTGATTAGAATGTAAAAATAAAAATAAATTGAAATTGTTTTTATTATATAAAGAAAGATTGAATTTTTTTAACCATAGTATTAGTATTATTAATGGAGAAGGAATTTTGACCGTGAATAAAAAAATGGGATTTTGTTGAAAATATACTGGGAATAATTTTAATCAATTGATAGCTCAGATGGAATTAAAGAAATGGAGTTTGAGAATAAATCAAGTGAGAAAAGTAGATATGATGTCACTTTAGGAAAAGATAAGATGCTTTTGCTTATGATGATTATTGAGGTTGACTGACTAATTAATTACAAATTGACAATTATCAAAACATTTCTTTCACTGGGTTACACACTTGAATAAGTTGGGAATCATATTGTGGATGGTTGATAGAAAAGAACCATTTCCCAAGTCCTGTCACTCCTTTCTTTAAGCTCCATTAACCTGCAATGAAAACTTAACCTAATCATGAGGTTGATTTTTCATTTTCTTTTGACTACAAGCGTAATCAATACAATTAAGTTGTAACCTAGAATTATAGGTGAAATGATCTTTTCAATTAATGCTTTTATATGATTATTTTTTGATGCCAGAAGCATGAATTATGCACTCTCATAGAGATTATAATTGCGGTTGTATTTTTATTTTAGTTTTCATATATCCAAAATAAATTTATTTTCGATCAGATTTTAAGTAAATTCGGCAATATTAATATTTATGTATTAATAAAAAAATTGTTTTCTTATGTATTTTTTTCTTTTTATATTTACAGATAGCAAGATATTTTGGGTTAGTTTTCACATTTATAAAAACTAAAAACTAAGTTCATCACTTTTTAGATTAAGTCGATGTTGAATTACTCTTAAATTTTTTTATTAATTTTAAAGATCAAATTTTTAAATCCATCAACAATCTATGTCCATTGTTACACAAAGAAAAAAAAAAAAACAAGCTTTCAGATATTGAGAATCAAATTTTTGACTTGATGAGCAAGAAACATTCTTCTTATCACTTCACTTTCGACTTTCGATGGTTTTGATATAACGGTTTGATTACATCAATCCAAAATGCACATCTAATTATGCATATTAGTTGTATACGAAAGTTGAAGATTCAAGATATTTTTTTGCTTTACTCTAGTGATTAACGACTAGAAATTTCAGCCTATAACATTTCGTCAAAACTTGCAATGAAAACTTAACCCAATCATGAGGTTGATTTTTCATTTTTCTTTTGACTACGAGCATAATCAAAACATTTATGTTATGAGCTAGACTTGTAGGTGAAATGATCTTTTCAATTAGTGATTTTATATGATTATTTTTTGATGTCACAAGAATGAATTATGATCACTCATACAATAGATTATAGATGTGATTGTAATTTATTTCAGCTTTCGTATATCGAAATTCAATTTATTTTCAGTTAGATTTTATGTGAGATTGAAAATATTAATATTTGTGTATTAATAAAAAAAAATTGCTTTCTTGTGTTTTTTTTTCTTTTTATATTTATAGATAATAAAATATTTTTGGATTAGTTTTTACATCAATGGAGACTAAATCCATAACTTTTAGATTAGTTCAACATTGAACTACAACTAATTTTTTATCAATTCTGAAGATCGAACCTTTTAAATCCACCAACAATCTATGTCAAGTATCATACAAAGGAGAAAAAAGAGTTTTCAAATAATGGGAATCAAATTCCGACTTGATGAATCGAAACACTCTTCTTATCTCTTCACCTATAACCTTCGATGGTTTTGATATAACGATTTAATTACATCAATCTAAAAACACTTATTTATGTATATTCGTTGTACACGAAAGTTGTAGGTTCAAGACATTTTTTGCTTTTCTCTAGTGATAAATGACTAGAAATTGCTGCCTTGAACATTTCATGACTGTTTTATTTCTCTACTATAAACAATTTTATTTTAATTTTATCCAATCATATCTCCCGTGACTCGGACTCCCTCTACTAGAGACTGCTCGAGAATCTGTCGCTATTAGATTGATTTTCTCTCCCATGATAAAAGGAAAAAAAAAAGAGATGAAAAGATAGAAAAACCAGAATCTAGCTAAAAGCAGAAGGCCATGCCGGATGACAAAATAAATATGGAAACAATGCATCATGGACCAACTACTGGTTCCATTTAGCCTCCATATCCTAATTGAACCCTTTTTGTCTAGTGCATAGGTCAATTTGCACCTGTTTTTTTCAATGATCTTTCACGAAATTTTGTCCTCACCATATCTATTTGGAGCAAAACCGGGACCTCCATCTGCGTATTAATTAGAAGTCACACTCGGACTTATTATCCTATCACTCAATAGTTCTAAAAAATAAAACTATATAAAATAACGACTAATATTGAATAGCTTAGGATATGTATAGTTTCATTATACAACGTTTTATCCAAATAACAGTGTTAACGATTTTACATAACACTTTATATAAAATGATGACCGTTATATTATTGTTTTAAAAAAATTATTAAAAACTACTAATGCATTAATAAATGTTGTTTTACTGTTGTGATAAATTGTGATTTGTGATCATTTTTATAATTTCATTTGTAATTTAAAACTATGTTATCGTTATGCTTTATATATACCGTGTTTGAGATAAGTTCCACTAGAAATCAAGGAAAAAAAAGTACATGTGATTTTTGTTCTTAACAAGGATAAAATTCTAATTCCATTATCTTCTAATCCTTCTTTACACTATTATACTTAAATTGTCATCGTCCTTTATTTTTTACTAAGAAAGTGAGATGGTTTGACTAATTACAAAATCCGATTTTCCTTTCTGAATTTCTTTAGTCATTATCGGATAAGATGTATGCACCATAAGCATCTTGAAAATCAAGGGCTGTGGATGCTGGTTTCCACTAAATGGATTCTATCCAAATAAATGGGGAAAGGGGAAATGAGAAAACGAAACAAAAAATCATTCAATTGATGATGTAATGCTCACATTTCTATAAGTTTATATATTTTTAAAAAGAGTAAATTATAAATTAGTACTTCTAGTTTCAAAATACAAATGAATTACTCCCACTTATTTTAAAAACTAATTATTTATTTTATTAGTTAGTGTTGACCACGTTTAATTTAACATTATTATATTTAAAAAATATCTTTTTTTATCAATCTTTGAATAATGTCTATTTTAAAAAAAATGGAAAAGAATATAAAATGGACAAAATAGAACAAATAATTAGTTTTTAAAACAAAAAAGGATCAATTAATTTATTTTTCAAAACTAAGGGGACTAATTTATAATTTACTCCTGTAAAAGATGAAATATATGCTTCAATACCATGTTCTGTCAATGGACTTTGCCATAAAGATAAAGAAACATGCATTAGTTATATCTTTACAATACTGGGAACTAAGCATAAAAAGAGTATATGCAACGACCTTAGAAAAGTAGTCTTTGATCATTATTTTTTTTGAAATCATTTACTTGTGGCTTTCACTCTCAAATCGGTGGATGAATATATGCCCCCAACCGTTACCCCATTTTTGGTTGACTCCTCGAGCAAGCAAATTTTACAATCGAGTCCTCCATCTAATTTTTTTTTTTTTAACTCACACACGTAAAGCTCTTAGTAGAAGTAGTATACTAGAATTTGAACTCACTCCTCCATCTAATTAATACCAAGAATCCAACTAAATTTGGGACTTAAATAATCGGATGGCATCATGGTAGGTGGTTAAAAGGGTTAATGTCTAATTACGTGGCAGATTCAATAGGGAAAATCACTTGTTGGAGGGACTCAATTGAGATGGACTAATAGTTGGGGGACATATTTATCCTCTCTCGTTTCCTACTTTCATCTTTATCGGTTTTTTTTTTTTTAAGAATCAAAAGCTCCTTCTGTTCTTATATAATAATATAATTCTCAAATCTATCTTCGCATATTTAATTGACTCAATTTTATTTTTTATTAATTAAAATTTTGATTTATTTTTTAAAAATATTTTTAGGCCAAAGCCACCGAATTATTTACATAATTGCACATTATAAATTTTTATTTTTAAAATATCTTTTTAAGTGAGTCAAATAAAAAAAATTTATGTGCAAATCGTACCAAAATTCCGATAGTTAAGCTTACAAATCTTATCAGATTCTAGAATTACTACACATATCTAGTCATTAAACTATTTAAAAAAAGAAAAAAGCGATTCAAGATTTCCATTTGAGTTGGCATAGCATGTGAATCCCATTTGATCCTAAACAAGAGACCTACTCAGCTACTCTAAGTGGTGCTATCCCTATCCTAACCACAAAAATCATGAGATACTTGTCATCGCAACTTGCTATTACCCTTTGACAGAGAATAGCTAGGAATCAAAAGCACACCCCAATAAAGCAAGGAATAGAAAAGAGATGAGGTGAGGATAAAATCATGGGGTTGGAATATCTCTTATTTGGCCCTTTGCTAGTGACTTTCAGTTCTAGATTATGCTGATGATCCTATGAAAAGACTCCTCCTTCTAAAAGATAATCCACTCATCAATAATAGATATGATTTACGGTAAAAAATTTATTTTAGATTTAACTAAAATTAATATTAAAATTTTATTATTTATGAATAATTAATCATAATTATTCTTTAAGTTTTATGCATATCGACACCTTATATAAATTGGATTCTTTAAGTTTTATGCATATCGACACCTTATATAAATTGAATTTTTTTTATTAAAATCTTAAATTTTTTATATCCAACTTAAAAGTTTTACTTTTATATTGATGTTATTTCGGACCCTAGTTAATGATAACTTATCACTTGTGTGTTCCAACCAATGACAATTTGTCACATTATCAACTCAATCATCTAATTTGGGCTCATCATAACACGTAGTAAGCTATCATTGACTAGAGCTTGTTATGTGTACATACATGACACATTAAAGTCTGAAATAATAACAAGATAAGAACAAAATTCTTAAATTGGACAAAAAAACTTAGGATCTTAATTAAAAAAATTCGAATTATATGAAGTCTCAATATGTGCAAAACCCATTATTCTTTAATGGTACCGAATTCGAACTAGTTTGATTTAAAGAATAATTTAGTAATCGATAAAAGTTAGGCGTATTCGATACTGATTTAGTATAGTAAGTAATGAATTTAATCTTAATTAGTGTAAAATTTGATCTGTAAATAAGTTAAGCATGCTGTAATACTGACTTAGCATAAAAAGTAATTAATTTATTTTCGATTGACGGTAAAATCCAGTACCAAAGTACTTTGCTGCCGATAAATATCAAATAATAAAAAAAAATCCAGCACCGCTTTTGTGGTTTTACAAGAATTTTGCAAGTGGGAGTTGAAAAAACAAAGGATGATAATAATAAAGCATGAGAGTCTTGGTCATGTAATTTTCAATTGAAAAACACATGGGTCCACAAAATTTGTGCCTCGGTGAATTTGCAGATTCTTGGCTTAGTTTCCTGGCCCCTCTTGTGCCTCTTCTGTTTAATTTGCCTTTATCTGCATGACAATCTGTGTCGGTCCTCCCTCATGTTGCAGTCTCCATCGTCATAAGAAGCCTTTTGATCCAACTTGCAAGCAATAATGACATGCAATTCCATGTAAACGAGATTCTTTTCATCACAAACATATTTTCTGTACTTTCTCTAATTAAGAAAGAAAATTTTTGATCCAAGTTGAATTCAAAGTCCTCCCAATTGTCCATAACAAAATATTTTTTTGTAATGCTAAAAATTATCCATGTTTGCTTTTTTATTTTTGAGAAATGAATTGACTAATTCTTTTTGTTAAAAAAACTAATTATTTAACTTTTTGATCAGTATTGATTTAGTTTAATTTAACATTATTTTATTTTATAAAAAATTGTTTCTCTCATTATTTTTTTATATTTTGTATTTATTTTTTCTATTTCTTAAAAAAAAAGTTGAAAAGGAACTAAAAGGATTAAATTGTAAGAAAATTTAAAAATATAAAGACTAAATAATTATGTTTGAAATAAGAAGGACTAATTAGTTTATTTATTGAAGTTAGAGGGACTGATTTATAACTTACTCGAGGTTTGGGACTGGCTTCATTTAATTGAAAAAACAAAGAAAACTTTGTGCCCACCAAGCCCAATTTTAAAAGTCTCAAGGCCTGGTCAAGTTCTCTTGCCTTTCCTTACAGCCTAAAGAGAACAAGTTTGGGCCACAAGAAAGAAATGAGCGAGCATCTCTCGCAAGAACATTAAAATGTTAAGGATTATATGCAAAATCAAGAGATTCAATGCCAGTTTTATTGTTTCCTGTAAGCACTTCTGTTCCTTAGTTAATGCTACAAAAAAAACTGAAACGATAACTCAACATGACCTTTTTTTTGATGTCACCAAAGTATCAAAGTTGCATTCTTTATTACAATTCTGTGCAAAAAATCGAGAATCCATTAAAGGGAAGGCCTGCCATGGACAAGTTATTCGATTGGGGTTGGAAACGGACACCTTAACATCAAATATGTTAATGAATGTGTACTCGAAGTGTGGTTTAATTCGTTCTGCTTGTAAAGTGTTTGATGGAATGCCTGGCAGAAGTATGGTTTCATGGAATACAATGATTGGTACTTGTGTGCAGAATGGAGAGGAGGAAAAGGCTATTGAGATTTTCTTGGAAATGCAAAGAGAAGGAAGCCCATGTAGTGAATTTACGGTTTCGAGTGTTATTTGTGCTTGTGCTGCTAAAGGTGGTGTCTTTTTGTGTAGGCAGTTGCATGCTTTTGCTATTAAGGCTGTAATGGATGCCAATGTTTTTGTGGGTACTGCATTGCTTGATGTCTATGCAAAATCTGGGTTGATTGAGGAAGCAAGTTGTGTTTTTGAAGGGATGCCTGAGAGGAGTGATGTTACTTGGAGTTCAATGGTGGCAGGTTATGTGCAAAATGAGCTTTATGAGGAGGGCTTGGTGTTGTTTGCGAGAGGGAAGGAGATGGGGCTTGAATATAATCAGTTTATGATATCATCTGTTATTAGGGCTTGTGCGGGGTTGGCGTCTTTGATTGAAGGGAGGCACGTGCATGCTATTGTTTGTAGAACTGGTTTTGGTCCAAATAATTTTGTCGCTTCCGCTCTTGTAGACATGTATGCCAAATGTGGCAGCATAAAAGAGGCTTATGTTGTGTTTTGTGATATAGAAAGAAAGAATGTTGTCTTGTGGAATGTGATGATTTCTGGGTTTGCTAAACATGCTTGCTTTCTGGAAGTGATGAATTTATTTGAGGAAATGCAGCAGATGGGTATGCATCCGGATGAAGTGACTTATGCTTCAGTATTATCTGCATGTAATCATGTAGGTTTGGTCGACAAGGGACGAAGCTATTTCGAACTTATGACAAGAGAGCACCATTTGTCACCAAATGCCATTCACTATTCATGCATGGTTGATATTCTTGGTAGGGGAGGACCAGTCCGTGAAGCTCATGAGTTGATGACGAGAATGCCATTTGCTGCTACTGCTTCAATGTGGGGATCACTTTTGGCCTCTTGCAGGATTCATGGGAATCTTGAATTAGCTGAAATTGCAGCTAAGAAACTGTTCGAGATGGAACCTGACAGCGGGGGAAACTATGTTTTGCTGGCAAACACATATGCTGCTAGTAAAAAGTGGGAGGAAGCTGCAAAAGCAAGGAAGTTTCTTAAAGAAATTGAGGTGATGAAGGAGAGGGGTAAAAGTTGGATTGAAATTAAGGACAAAGTTCACATTTTTATGTCTGATGAGAGAACCCATCCTAGAATTACTGACATATATTTAGAGTTGGACAACTTGCTAGAGGAGATGACTAAAGTGGGCAATAAAGCGGAGTCTGACTGTGACCTTCATGATCTTTAAGAGAGCTGAAAGCAAGAACTTTTGAGCCACCACGGAGAGACGCTGGCTCTTACATTTGTGCTCATGTGCTTACCTCCTAGGGCACCTATCAGGATTACGAAAAGTCTCTGTATCTGTGGTGATTGCCATTCTTTCTTTTATGAAGCTTATTTCTAGCATTACTCGTCAGGAAATTATTGTTTGGGATACAAATCGGTTTCACCATTTCCAAAATGGATGCTGTTCTTGTGGGAGTTTCGGTGAGATCCTAGTTTACCAACAGTATATTCAGGGTTTTCAATATGTTCTGGCTCTTGGGTGGTTCTTCATCTGTGGTCTTTGCATGCAAAATGGCAGGAGTATCAATTAGAGTGACCAACACGTCATTCATCTGAATATCATGATAAGTTTTGCTTAGTCCTACAATAAGCGGACTTGTTTCGAAACTGCACAAAGGAATATATTATGCAGAGATGGAATTTCACCTTCTGAAGAGCATATTAAGCAGAAATGAAACTAAACATTCCAAAGAGCAGACAGATTGACTGACTTCAGCAATAGCGTGAGAGAGCTCCTGGTAACTTAATGGGTTCTAACCTTTCAGTCTTGCTCATATGTTTATTTATTTATTTCCCCTCTTTTGTTTTCTCTGGGGAGGAAATCTTACTAGTTTCTCTCGATTTTACCAGGCTTCACTCAACCAGGCCCTGAAGTTGTCTATCCAACACGTTCTGAACCTGTGACGCAGGACCACTGTAATTGGACCGGTAAGTTCATCTCATTCTGAATGTGCCTGGAGCAAGGAACGGCTGTGGGGAGAGTGGCTCAAAGATGAAAACATACCCCCCTCAGCCAAAAAAAGAGAGATTGTCTAAAAACATGTTTAACCTCCTTTATGGAATATGATTATCCGTTCTATGCAGGGTCTATGATTGACGGTAATGGGGCTTATGGCTATGTCTTGCTTTCATTTGCTTCCTATTTCAATTATTTTTCGGCATTTGAATTCAATGAATTTCAAGTGAGTCACAGATCCAATCTTCCTCTGATAAGAGATCTGTATTTCTATCTAAAGATTGATCAAACTGTTTATACATTATAATATTCATCGACTGCTTTTTGTTTATCACCAGCCAACACATTGTAGGGCAACTTCAGTTTCGCACGTCGGAATGGAAGCAAACGTTTTCACTTCTTATCACTTGCAGAGTTAAGTGAAAGCTCGTATTACTTGCTTCAATACATCAGACTAGATCACTTAAGATCATCCAAAGGAAGTTGTCTACTAGTGGTGAAAAACTTAGGGGAGTAAAATGATGAAAACTTACCGAGGGAGTTAAAATGAGTAAGCGTGGACAAATGCTGTTTTTGCATATTATGGCCTGTGCTTTGCTTGGGAGCTTGGCTTTCGCAAAGTAGAGCTTAAAGTTGATTCTGCAATGGCAATTGCAGCATTGCTGCAAAGAAAGGATGATATTTGCTGGATCTGAGTTGTGTCAGCTTCTTGGTAGGCCATGGGAATCAGCATTCGTCGTACTTTTCAGGAAGGAAATTGATGTTCTGATTGGTTTGTCAATTTTATCCAAAGGGAAGAGCTTGGACTCAATTAGCTCGACAATCCTCTTGATGGCATCTATCCCTACCTTCGCTGATATTGTAGGGATATTAGTAGTTTATTTTCTTAGCTTGCTCTTAAGCGGTATTATATTATGGACCTTTCGTGTTATAATTTCCCGAAAATAAAAGCAGAAAGAATAATTGGTTATAAAATATTTTAAATTTTTGATCGGCAGGAAAAAAAATTCTTAATATTTTTTTATTCTGTTTGGATCCTAATTTTTTTATTCTGATATTGTAATTTTTTTTTTAATATACTTGAAGCTTTCAATTTATATTTTTTTGTCAAGATTTTCATGTTGAATAATTATAATTATTCAATGAATTTATATATGATTAATTTTTTCTCTCAAAATATCTTTACAAGTTAGTCAAATAAAAAAAAATTTATATAAAAATTATGTGATTAATTTCGATAGTTTACCTATCTTGAAAATCTCATCTTTTTATTGTTTTAATTGTCTGCTTTTATCATCTAAAAAATATTATTGGATGTTCTTGAAGTAAAAAGGTATTTTGATGACACTTAACAATTTTAGTTATTTATTTTATACTTTTTAAAAATTTATATGGTCTACAATGCTTTTGTGATTCTCAAAAACAAAATATAGTTTTTTTTTGTTAAAAAAATCAACAATATTTATTTATATTGAAACATTAACATATAAAAAGAACTTAGAACACCATCTAATAGACATTAAACATTTGTCACATCGTTTTATTAAACTAATTGATAACATTAACATATGGAAAGCTACTGTTTTTGGTTGTAAAGGGAAAGAATTTCCCTCTAAATTAGTTTTCACCCTACTCTCAAAAAATATAAGTAAATTAATTAATTAATAAATAAATTAACTTCACAAATAAAATATATGAATTCTTTTAAATACGTATGCTATTAATCTATAATATATTTACGAAGTGTCTTGTAATTATAAATCAATACTATCATTATCAGTTGTGGATGCTATTCATTCAAGAAAGCATTTCCCTATAAATTATAATCTTGGAATAATATTTTTCAGTAGATTGGAACAATGAAAAGTAAGTTTGATTTCAATGTTTTTAATAAATCCAAATATTAATTTCTTCCAGCGTCTCATTTTTATTAAAAAAAAAACTCAATTTTTAAAATTCAATATTAAAATTCCTCAAATAAACATGGTAAAAAATAAGTTTCCAAGTAGAAAAGTCATGATCGTTTCTCATTTTTTTTAGCCATAGTCATTGAAAATATAGAAATTAATTAGTTAGTTATAGAAACCAGAAGAACAATTTAATTTATTTTAAAACATTAGGGAGAATAATTTATAATTTATTGGCAAATTCTATTGGTGGAGGTAGATTGTAAATCTAAGATTTTATTTTATTTTATTTTTTAAAAATCCAGAAAATAACTTGAATATTGAAATTAAAATAATAAAATAAATAATAAATTTTTACTTACTTGTTAAAATAAAAAAACGAAAACGAATGAAGTAAAAAAAATAAAAATGACAACAGTGGGCTTGTTATTTCACATCCAGAAAGAAGGTAATGGGCCTGCTATTTTTAACACCCAATAATGGATCCAAGTGGTCCGGTCCATGAAGCGGTTGAAGTTAAACAAGATAGTATTTAGCAGAAACCCTAGAACGCCTATATATCTCAAGGGAACTCTCTTTTCTTACTTCCATCCCGCCGCAGCAGCCTCTGTTTTCATCCTCCGGTTCTTGAAGGTAACATTCACCTCTCTCTGGCTTCATGTCTCTTTACTAAAGCGAACCAATATCATATGAACTTGTTTATGATTTAGTTTTTGGGCTATCTGTGTAGTTAATGAATCATTGAAAAAGTATGGTTTTTGTTTCTTGTCTGTGTTTTTGATCTTTGTTTGCTAAGATAATGTGGGAAAAGGGGGATTTTATTGCGTTTTGTTTTTCTGTTTCGGTATTTAGTTTTAGTTTCTTAGTGATAGGAGTATTTTGTTTGCTGAGAAAGTATTAGTTTTGGAATCAGTTTTCTTAATTAGCCTACTCATATGAAGGAATAAAGAATGTTAAGGTTTAAGAGTTAAGAATTTTTTGAAAAGGATTGTTGTTTTGATCGCGGGAAACTTTTGAAGTTTTGATTTCTTGTCTGTAATTTGATGTTTAGTCTAAGCTGATTGTCCATTTTATTTCCGTTTCCTTTGGTTTTTGGGTTTGTAGATTTCCGTCGTTCTAATACAAGATCATTGTGGGTTTCGAAACTGAAAACAAGATGTTATTTATGTTCCTTAACATTCCCCATGATTTGAATAGAATATCTTGTAGAACTTTTGTGGGAGTTTCTCTCCTTGATGAAGTATTTGAATTTTAGATTATAGTGTTGACAATTCTAGCAGTGTTCTTGTAGCTTCATTGCATTTTGGCTGTGATGTCATTGTGGTGTTTTGTCTTGGATCATTACAAATGCAGTTTCTTATGTTTTGCTTGTACTTTACTTATCAGCAGCAGCAGCTTATTTGCCAAGATGGGTCGTGTTCGTACCAAGACAGTGAAGAAGTCCTCACGTCAGGTCATTGAGAGGTACTACTCTAAAATGACCTTGGATTTCCACACCAACAAGAAGATCTTGGAAGAGGTTGCTATCATCCCCTCAAAGCGGCTCCGCAACAAGATTGCTGGGTTCTCCACCCATCTAATGAAGCGTATTCAGAAGGGACCAGTTCGTGGCATCTCATTGAAACTACAAGAGGAAGAGCGTGAGCGTCGCATGGATTTCGTGCCTGAGGAGTCAGCAATAAAGACAAGTGAGATCAAGGTTGACAAAGAGACCATTGACATGCTTGCTGCTCTTGGTATGTCAGACTTTCCTGGGCTTGTTGAAGTTGAGCCTCAGCCTATGGTTCCCACCACAGGCTTCGGTAGAGGAGGTGGTGCTAGGAGGTTCTTGAGTTAAATAACCTCCACAGGATGTTTGAGTGCAAGAAATTTAAATATTTTGTTATGTCTTTCTTCTAGTCCTCACTTTCAATCTTCATTATGGATATTATCTCGGATGGGTATTGGTATTTTATGTTTTAAACTGGAGATTTAGTTGATTTTGCTGTTAAAGAATGCTATTTTTACTTGATTTAATCCTGGCTTCAAATGCTATTTTTGTTATGTGTTTAACTATTTGAACAACTTGAATTTCAATCTTAATGCGCTAGATGTGTCACCGGTATGCATTAGTGGTGTCGTTGTTCGTTGCATGCTTGTGCCACTACAGAGTGATTGTCGTTTGATGGGCAAGAATTCTTAATAACAGTGGGTAGATGGTATGCTGTTTGCAGTGTACACTTTATGCGCATAGGCTTTGATGTTTCCTCTCGAGTTCCTGTTTCTGTGAGATTATTTGTCCCCTAAAATCTCTTTATTTCCTGCCTGAGATTTTTCCCCTACGTTTTATCACGAGTGAGTTGTCTGAATGTGTATGCTCCGCTCGTAATTTTAAATCAAAATCAGGGACACAATTGTGAAAATGGTTGCTATGGTAATTGTAAATCATAGTTTATTGCTATTGTAAAATAACTTGCCGTAATTGTAGAAATGGTTGCTATTGTTATTGCAAATCGTGATTTGCTGAGGTTGTAAAATAGTTTGTGGTAATTGATATCGTAAAATATTATACTTGTTATAAAAGAAAGTTAATATCACTTTTAGTATAATAATTATAAATTTATTATAAATGAAAGTTAATATCACTTAAATTTATTGTAAAAGAAAGTAAAAAAAAGTTAATTTCACTTTTAATATAATAATTATTTTAACACAATGATGGTTATTTTTCAAATAACGGTATTATATAACATTAACAATATATAACTACATAACGATAGTTATTTAAAAAGATTAAAAGTTCAGTATGTATCTTTATCGTTTTAAATGTCTTAATTATATTCCTTTATTAAAATTTTCAATCATTATATTTTTTTATTTTTAATTACGTATGTATTTAGTTCTTTCGATTATTTTTTTAGATAAAAGACATAAGGACATAATAGTTAAAAAATTTAATAAAAATATATAATTAAGACATTTGAAACAGTAAAATGATGTCATAAACCTTTAACCCTTGTTTAAAACTATGGGGACGCTAGAAAATTATTAGGTGCGAGGGTCAATGGCAAGGCAAGGATCTAACTTGTGGAAACATAGTTGGATGTATGCGAATGTTTTTCTCATTTCTTCCGACCCTATTTGATGGAATACTAAATCAGCCCCGTATGTCCAACGTATTTATTTCTAGCCCATGTACAGGCCTATTCCTAGAATACTTAATCTAAGACCAAACAAAGAGGATAAGTACCCGAAGTTTCAAAAAGCATCAGTGCTGCCCACCATTTTCCCCGGTCTCAACACTCGAAGAAGATAATGGATATTTTGTCACTCTCCACCACCCCACACTTCCCCCATTCCCCTATGCCCTTCTCCTCCAACACCACCACAACCACAACCGCCAATTCTATTTCTTTCTCCCTCAAACCACCGCCTCCACCACCACCAGAACCCACCAATTCTTCCTCTATTCGTCGTCCCAAATCACTTCCTCCCACCCCCACCCAAACTCCCACCCCAACCCCAACCACCCCAAAAATTTCCAAAAACCCTATCAAAACACTCCTTAACCCCTCCAAACCCCCAGTAACAAGCAACACTACCACTAACACCACCAACCCTCTTTCTCTCTCCACCAAACTCCGCCTCTCCAGCAAACTCTCTCCCCCTCCTCCGCCACAACCACCACCACCAGTAAAAACCACTGGAACCCAAGAAGCTGTGACCCGAGAAAAGACTCAGAAGATAGAAAACGAAGCCCCCAAAACTGAGTTCTGCCAAAAAGGGAAGATCTTTATTGGAAATTTACCAAACTGGATAAAAAAACATGAACTTTCTGAATTCTTTCGCCAATTCGGGCCTATACAGAATGTAATTTTGATCATGGGTCATAATGAGACTGAAAGGAATGCGGGTTTTGGGTTTATTATCTATGATGGTCCAACAGCAGAGAAGTCTGCAATGAAAGCTGAGGAGTTTGATGGAATGGAGTTTCATGGGAGGGTTTTGACTGTGAAATTAGATGATGGGAGAAGATTGAAAGCTAAAGCAGAAGAGAGAAACAATTGGGTTGATGGAGAGGACGGAAGAGATTATAGGTCTAAATGGCATGAAGAAAGAGAAGGGTCTACAAAGGCTTTTCGGATGGTTTTAGACACTCAACCAGAGAACTGGCAGGCAGTTGTTAATGCTTTCGAAAGGGTTAAGAAGGTAAAAGGATTAAGACACCCTTATTTTTAGACATGTATTTTTAAGTTGACTTAGCTGAGAAAATGCAGGTCCTGTAGGAATTAGCTCTTCAAGGGTAGGAAATAATGAATTCCATAGCAATCTGTGTTTAACCACGCATTTATAGCCATGACGTGCAGATTATGGTAACCATGGTCTAAGTGGATAACCATTAACTTTTAAGGGAATGCTTTGTGCGGAATGGCTTAATTCATAATGGACATTGCTTCTATAATGATGGGACAATGTTGCATAATCATATCATGTGTGAGCTTTTATATTTAAGAAAGCTATAATAGCTTTTACTTGTTCATTTGTAATGTACGTTTGCTCTTTTTACCCATCATTTGATTAGCCTTCTAGAAGGGAGTTTGGATTAATGGTGGGGTACTATGCGAGGCGAGGGGATATGCATCGTGCACGACAAACTTTTGAGAGCATGCGAGCAAGGGGAATAGATCCGAGCTCACATGTCTATACAAGGTAAAATTTCTGATAAAATATCTTTAGTCTTGCTTCTTTGTGGTTTAAGTTGAATAAACTTCTTCATGAGCTTCTTCATCTGTTGAAATACTGGTCATCCATCCAAATTGTATTGGATGCATACATGTTATGCGAATAATGTGTCTGCATGCAAATATTTTAGGAAGCAAACCTTCTGCAAAAGATTTTACTCCGAGTAATTCAAACAAGATTGTAGAACTTTCAGCTTTGAATATTCATACATTATTTATTTGTTTATTCTTTATTCACTTTGTTATTCATTTTTCTGGTAATTGGGCAAGGTCTGTTGAAGGTTGCTTCCCATATGTAATTTTGTTCAATTAAAAGGAACTTGGTTCCTCATAATTTCAGAGGAGAATAGCTGTATACTTTAATTTTCTTCTTTTGGCATTAAAGTTATTTATTTCATGCAGCCTTATTCACGCTTATGCAGTTGGTAGAGACATGGAAGAAGCATTATCTTGTGTTAGGAAAATGAAGGAAGAGGGAGTTGAAATGAGTCTGGTGACTTACAGTATAGTTGTCGGAGGATTTGCCAAAATCGGCAATGCTGAGTAAGTAAATATTACCTTCAGTACCTTTTCTTGGAGAAGGTATCTGTTTCATTGACTTTGCTTTTGGAAAATATCTTTTTATATGCCATAGTAATATATCTGCCCATTCTGAACTCTCTCTCTCTCTCTCTCCGTTTTTTTTTCCTCACCCTGTTGCCAAGCTTTTCTGTGTTTTTATTTCTCATATGTGCAGTGGCTTATTCTTTAAACTAAAGTATTTGCTGGTTTTTATGACTTGATGAACATATAAAAGCTTTGATGACATATGCTTTAAACTTCAGCATTGCAATTTGTCCAGTTACTTTCTATATATCAAAAAATTTGCAACTTTGGTTTTTTGTCAGCGGTTGCTCTCTGTGCTAATAATAACTTAAAAGTTGATTTGAAGAGCTGCAGATTGCTGGTTTAAGGAGGCCAAAGAGAGGCATAAGAATTTGAACGCAATCATTTATGGGAACATTATATACGCTTATTGGTCAGTATTAAGTTTCAATTCAAGTCTATCTTAATTTCTTATCGTTATATGTATACTTCTAAATACGGGTTGCTTCAATATGCTGAAGAGTTCCATGGCTATAAATGTGAGGTCAAATACATATGCTTTAGCTTTTCAAGTCTATATGTACTCATATAGCTAGTAATCATTTTAGGGCTATCGTTGGTGAATTTGTCAAGTCTCCCTCTGCCAAGTGCAATTATTGGGCTCCAAGTCTTTGGGTTGCCGACTTAATTAAATTATTGAAGTTTAGGACCATATCTAAGGACCCTGTGTAGGTTGCATCATTTGTGGGCAAAGGCCTTGGGTATGTATTGAATGGATCCCTGGAGGATATGCTTATTGAATCAGGTTGCATGCTAAAATTTGTATCCGTCATCTTTTGTCTACTCATTGTACTTTACAGTCTCTGTTAAAATCTTCTACAAGTTTATGAGCTGCTTTCATAAATTCACAATGTCCTCACTCCTCATCTATTAATTACAGTCAGGCATGCAATATGGATCGAGCTGAAGCTTTGGTGAGGGAGATGGAAGAAGAAGGTATAGATGCTCCTATTGACATATATCATACCATGATGGATGGTTACACTATGATTGGAAGTGAAGAAAAATGTCTGATTGTATTCAAACGGCTTAAGGTAACACAACAATGATGTCATAGAGTTCATCTTGATAGGTGATTATGTGTGTGGTTCAGTTTTGTAAGTTTTGTTTTCATTTGAGATGTGTTCTGTGTCTTTTAGCTCCGTTGACAGAGGCAATATGCAATTTGAATTCGTGTAAAAAGTCTTTCTAGGTTGGCAAGAAACAATTTGAAATTTTGAATTTGGTAATGAGGATTGTTACGTTGAATGAACGTAAAGCATCAAGTCTTGCTTTGTTCCATGGTTTGATTAGTGAGAATATGGAACACTTCACAAATGTTCAGATATGTGTACTTACCTGTGCATGTATGCTTGTATGGACGGTCCTGAGGAAATTGCAAAGGAGTGTGTCAACTTTTAAGTTTCTGGTGAATACCTATTGAAGCAAGAAACTGAACTTTGGTTAAATTTCTGGCAAAATATTTTGTTGAAGACTTTAATTAAGTGTGTGTGTTTGTGTGTATCAACTAAAGTTGCCAGAGGACACAATCCAGGAAGTAGAAAAATCCATATAAGGTTAATGCCTGATCAGTAGTTAATGTTTAAATCCAATGTTTGATAAAATGTAACTGCAAAGCTTCACCTTTGCCTGTTATACTGTGTGATGAAGAATTTACATGAATTATCTATAATTCATATCTTATTCGTCGTCTCTTCATGCTAAATTGCTATATGCATGCTGTAGGAATGTGGATTTGCCCCTTCAGTGATCAGCTATGGATGTCTTCTCAATATGTACACCAAGGTAAGCCTTTTGTCATTTTACCTTTTCATTCTAAAAGCTTTGCATCTTTATTCTATTTTAAAGCTCCCTTGCACACGATCCTAGTGAAGCAATTTGACACCAGGAAGCTTGGAATTTAAGGAATGGCAGCCCTAACTCGAGATATTACTGTATAAATTTGGGACAAAACTGTGGAGATAAGTATGTCATTGCTAAGATCAAATTTATAATCCACTGTGCAAAGGATAATATAGAGAACCTAAATTAAAAGAACGAACTCAGATCTTTGAGTCCATGGAAAGTAAAAGGCTGTGGTAAGTTAAACGAGATCTTTTAGATGCCTACATTCATCTGTTTTGACCTTCTGTTGGAGTTTTGCCCTTGAAGGAGCGGGAAATTGAGACTGTGTCCTTTTTTGAGTCGACTATAAAGGTGATCATGTTGGAGGATGACAGGCGAATTTGTTTGCTGTGAGGGTTTATAACTTTAGTGCTAAGACAGCTGAGATCCAGTCCATCTGAATGTCTAAATTTTCTCACTGAATTGGGTATCGGGGGTCTTCTAGCAACATAATGCAGCATAATATTTCTTTTTGAGTATCCAGACGAGCGATCATGAAGGAGGACACAATGGAATTTGTTTGTTGTGAAGGCTTATGACTTAAGTGCTTAGAAGGCTGTGATCTATTTCATTTGAATTGGAATCTTCTGAAAGTTTGACATCAGGTGTCCTTCCTGCAAACCAATTTGAGATTCAGAAAGGTTGAGGAAAGTTTGAGAATTTTATAAGAGCGACTAGCAGAATTTTCTTAGTTCTAGAAGATTTTGACCATTCATGTTTTGTTGTGCTCTGTTGTTCAAACTTTCTTAATCTTTCTGCTCTATGGAAGTAATGTGTTTGTGTTTGTCTTCAATATTATTCAATGAATATTGCTGAGTTCTGTTTTTTGTTGCATGTATAGTTTGTCCTTACTCATGCTTTGTAGTTTCTCTCGTCTTCTATTTAATTGATGATCAAACATTACATCCAAACCTCCTTTTCAGATTGGTAAAGTTTCTAAGGCCCTGGAGGTTAGCAAAATGATGGAATCAGCTGGCATAAAGCACAACATGAAGACATATTCCATGTTGATCAATGGGTTCTTGAAGTTAAAAGATTGGACCAATGCGTTTGCAGTTTTTGAAGATGTCATCAAAGATGGTTTGAAACCTGATGTGGTTCTCTATAATAACATGATTAAAGCATTCTGTGGAATGGGAAATATGGATCGTGCTATCCATATGGTGAAGGAAATGCAGAAGGAAAGACATAGGCCTACTTCACGTACATTTATGCCCATTATACATGGATTTGCAAGGGCTGGAGATATGAGGAGGGCCCTACAAATTTTTGATATGATGAGGCGGAGTGGGTGCATTCCTACTGTACACACCTTCAATGCTTTGGTACTCGGCCTTGTTGAGAAGCGTCAGGTAAACTATGTATATATGATATAATGCAGTCTGGGAACCTGGACAGACCAGATTCCAAATGTGACAAATAGAGACTAGGTTGTGAAAAGAGCTTTCAGTTGATGTCATGATTTGTGCTGTATAACTAATTTAGCATGGCCTTTTTTCAATGTTGCTGGATTTGTTAGGAAAGCAGTTGTCATCTACAATATTGCTGGAAGTATCTTGAAGACTTCCTAAATATGCACAGCTTTTCCTTCACCGGTTACATAGAAAATTTCAAAAGTCTGCTTGCATGAATAACGCTGTGATGAGTAACATACTATATCTAACTGTGCGAGTGATTAAGACTCTACCACCCCCATATATTTGGTGGAAAAATGTAAACCCTTGTTCCCTTCATATCCCTCAGTTATGTGATTGACGTAAGTCACTTCTTGAGATGCTTTGTGAAGTTATATTTTGGTACATGTGTAATAATATTTGCAGTTTTGAAAGTTGAATTATGTTTATCCTCTTATGAATGTTATTTTCTGTCTTCTGATATCAATGATTCACTTTGCTTTTTCACTAATTCATTTCTATCTGCATATATTCAGTATTGTCTTCTCTTCTTGTTTGACACAACTATATTTATCGTGTGTATCTTGCAGATGGAGAAGGCTGTTGAAATTTTGGATGAGATGGCACTGGCAGGTGTAAGTCCAGATGAACACACATACACGACAATCATGCATGGTTATGCAGCATTAGGTGATACTGGAAAGGCCTTCGAGTATTTTACCAAATTGAGAAACGAAGGACTAGAGCTTGATGTGTTTACATATGAGGCACTGCTTAAGGCATGTTGCAAGTCAGGCAGGATGCAAAGTGCTTTAGCAGTTACTAGAGAAATGAGCGCTCAAAAGATTCCAAGAAACACCTTTGTCTATAACATATTAATTGATGGGTATGAATTGTGTGTCATTGCAATTAATATGCTCTAAAAAAATCCTCTGATCTCCACCTGTTTATTCGGTCAGATATGTCGTCCACATCTGTTTCCAATATCTTGATTCAATTGTTTTTCTGGTGTAGATGGGCTCGAAGAGGTGATGTTTGGGAGGCTGCTGACCTTATGCAGCAAATGAAGCAAGAAGGGGTTGAACCTGATATTCATACTTATACATCTTTTATAAATGCTTGTTGCAAGGCTGGAGACATGCTGGTATGCTTTCCTGATCAGTCATTAGTCCGTCTGTATTTTCTACATAGCTAGTAAAGGGCACACTCAATGCATTCTGAACTTGAATGGTGACAACAAGCAATTCATTTTAATTTTTCTTTAGCGCTTAGTATGAGAACCCGATTGACATGAGTTCGTAGGATTTAATCTGGTTTCTGCAATGAAATTTATTTTTTATTTTTATTTTTTAAGTTAGGTGTTAATTCAGCAATTTAGTGCTTCATTTCTTACTTAGGTTTGTATTATCTGAAGAATTTTTTCTGTCTCGTTGTCGGAACAAGAAATGATAATTTCGATGGCAATTTGTCTGAGATTGTCACTGGAAGTTTTTGTTTCACTGTAGGATAGTGCAACTTTTCCTTTTAAAGTAAACTAGGAAACAAAATGAATTGAATCATGTCATAAAAAATATTTGAATACTTAAAAACTTCTCTTTTTGTATTATTTTTCTATGTTATTCGTCATTTGATTTGAGCAATCCATATTTTTCAGAGAGCAACAAAAACAATAGATGAAATGGAAGCTGCAGGAGTGAAGCCGAATGTGAAAACTTACACCACATTGATTCATGGATGGGCATGTGCTTCTCTTCCAGAAAAGGCTTTGAGCTGCTTCGAAGAGATGAAGTTGGCTGGGTTAAAGCCTGATAAAGCTGTGTATCATTGCTTGATGACATCGTTGTTGTCAAGGGCTACTGTTGCTGAAGCATACATTTACTCTGGGATTCTGTCCATTTGTAGAGAGATGATAGAATCTGAGTTGACAGTAGATATGGGGACTGCAGTTTACTGGTCCAAGTGTTTACGCAGGATCGAAAGAACAGGAGGAGAGCTTACAGAAGCATTGCAGAAAACTTTCCCTCCTGATTGGAATGCACATCATTCTATCGAGCCAAACTACGGATCAGATTCCGACGATGAACCCAGCATTGATGGTGATAATAACATGTTTTTGGCTGCTTTGAATAATGGAGATAGTGATGACGATGACGATGACGCCGACACCAACACCGACGACATGGACAACGACAAGATTTCAACCAAGATTACGGTTTAAACTAGGTTAGGAGTTAGGAGTTCGGAGTCAAAGCTGTCTGATTCTGACACTCAAATTCCACTTAATTCCCATCTCTTCTTGGATGGTCCTGAAAAAGAAAAAAATCGAATCTACACTTTTTTTTCTAGAAAATATAGCTTAAAATATTAAGAAAAGAAATCAACTTTAATCTTTTACTCTTTTAAAATTTTATATTCTCAATCAAAATTTCTGAAATAGGGCTTCAATTTTTCAAGGTTTCAAGACCACCTATCAGTTTGTGGATCAACAGCACGTTTTGCTCCTGCATTCATAATTTTATTGGTAATAAATTTTTCATTGGATGCTAATTTTTATAATTAAATTCTCACTTTTTTTTTAACTTTAAAAATAATATATAAAAAGATAGAGTTTCTCATTTATAATTTTTTTTATTGATAATTTAATTTCAATTTTGTGAAATTTCGATTTTAAACACCAGCAAACATACAGGCCTGTTATTCCTTAAATCAGTTTTCTAAAGCCCATTGTCCGTGTGATTGAATAATGGGCCTAAAAATAAGATCCATTTCAGATCCACTCTCGAAAAACAATATAAAGCCCGGCCCAAGGTTAAAACCCCAATACGAGGGTAATTCAGTAATCGCACACAACTCTATATAAATACCAACCTTCACCATCTTCAGTTTCCCAAAACCCTAGCTCTCGTTATTTTCACAAGGAGGCACCTCTGCAGATAGCTTTCACGGTACGACTTAGATAATTCCCTTTACTTGTGTCTGCATTTCTTTTTTCTTTTAGATTCGTTAATGGCCAATTCTTCACTTGATCTCAGTATTGGAGCTTGATTTGATGGTTTCTTACTTTAAGACCAAAAAAATAACGAGCATGTTTTGGTTAAGCTTGATTTTTATGGTGTATCCTTTCGGATTTTTGTGCTCAAATTTGTTTGTCAGCTGATGGGTTTGGAATTTTAATGTCGTTTTATGCCTTTTTTGTTGGTTTTCTTTAGTTTGTCAGTACTAATGACGTTTATGGATTGTCTATAATCTGGTGTGTTTATTTAAATTGAATTTTCTATTTTGGTTTACTGGCTTATACATTAAAAGGCTTAAAAATTTGTAGATATGAGGTTTGGGATTAGAAGTACACATGTATTGAAAAGCTTTAATGCTGTTAGTTGACTCTAAAATGCTAAGGGGGTGGATTTGGCCTTTATAGCCCTATTGATTAGTCAAATTTGAAGTGTTGAAAGCATAAATATATTGTATGGAATTTTTTGTCCCAATATCATATTTGAAGTGCATTTCAAAACCTTTTGGTCGTGATTGATTGGTGGGGTTCTTCTTTGAATTTGTGTAGGGGCAGCAAGAATGGTGCGAGTTAGTGTTTTGAATGATGCTCTGAAGAGCATGTACAATGCAGAGAAACTTGGGAAGCGCCAGGTCATGATCAGGCCTTCCTCAAAAGTGATCATCAAGTTTCTGTTGGTGATGCAAAAGCATGGTATTGATTCATATTTTATTTGTATCCTGTCTGGTTATTGTTTCATTTTTAATTCGTAAATAAACTGTTATTCATTTTTGGGTTCTGTTCTGTAGGTTACATTGGTGAGTTTGAGTTCGTTGATGATCACAGAGCTGGTAAAATTGTGGTTGAACTAAATGGAAGGTTGAACAAATGTGGGGTTATCAGTCCCCGTTTTGATGTTGGTGTTAAAGAGATTGAAACCTGGACTGCAAGGTTGCTCCCCTCAAGGCAGGTTAGTGCAAATTGTATACAAATTGGCTTCAATCTCGATTTCCAGTATCTGTTTTCATTGCAAGCTTTATGCTATTATAAATCTGCAAATGGGTTGCTTGAGGATCATTCTGTTGAATTCTTTCACCACTGTGGGAAACCCATTTAAAATGTTGATTAAGTTCATACCAGTATTCATTTGTAATAGGATATGTAACACAGTTGCATATGTTTCTGTGAAAAATTGCAGTGGGTTTTGATGTAATTAATCCATGCTAGTCATTTTGTTTCTGGTCATAGCATTTCTTTGCCGGCTTTTACATTAATGACTTTTTGTTGCAGTTTGGTTATATTGTGCTAACAACTTCTGCTGGCATTATGGACCATGAGGAGGCCCGTAGGAAGAATGTTGGTGGCAAAGTGCTTGGTTTCTTCTACTAGACCCTAGGCTGGGTTTGTTTTGATATGGGAGTGAGTTGTTCTGTTTACGAGAACTTTTTGAATGTACTTCGAAACTTGTTTTTCAATAGGATTTTGTTTTGTCCGTAGTCTAGCTGTTCTGGTTCACATTAATTTAATTCACCAATGCTTTTTGCAGCTTTCATCTATCCAAAAGCAGCTTAGGCTGTTTATTCAAAAAGTGTATTAGACATGTTGGCAATTTAAGGTCTTTGTTTCGATGGAGATGTCTTTCCTTCATGTTTTCATGGAGATGTTTTGTTATAATGGTTCTGGTTCTGGAATTCATGGATCGCATTATCCAGGTCTAGTTTCTTTGATGTTTTTGGATGATTTTTCATGGGGTGAAAAATTGTTTAGAACCCGAGTTGTTCAATTTGAGAATATTGAATAGCCGAGTATGGCTTGCACCAGATTATGGAATGGATTCTTCAAAGGGGCTGAGTTCTCTGATCAGCTTCGGCCATTAGGCTCAATTTGCAACCCATATTCTCCTCTGCTTAGAGAACGTGAGACCTAGGATCTGCTTAGCCCTGTTAATGCAAAATAAATTTCTATGCTTGCCTTGAAGTTGGGCTTCAATTTTTTCAGGTTCCAAGACCGCCTATCAGTTTATGGATTTAATTATATTTTATTTAAGGTTTTTACCTTTGCATTGATTGAAAGATCCATTACGTTAAAAAATAAAAATAAAAAAATTCAAACTAGTGGAAATTTACCGTAAAGTTAAAGAATTCAATTGAGATTGAATTTAATACTTAGTTACAAAAATTAGCATGTAATGAAAAAATTGTTATCAATGAAATTGTGAATGAGAAACTTGGTCTTTTTATGGTTAATTGTGTGGTTGAGATAATTTGGCTTTATTGGAACTAAAGGCTATTGTGAGTTTTTTTTTTTTAATTAAGGATAAAACTCTCTCTCTCTTTTTTTTTTTCATGATTTGTATTTTTTTTATTAAAACAAAAGATGATATTCTACCTTTTTAATCTCTCGCTCTCTCTTTTTTTTGCATGTATAATGTTTTTAAGAATATCTGTCACTAAATATCTTTTCAATTGCAGATATGGTGTTTGGATCTTAATCTTGTTTTAGAGGGTTTTTATTATTATTATTATTATTGGTTGGTAAAATGGAGATTTCAGCACCTTTTTTTTTTTTTTTTTTGGGGATTTTTGTATCAAAAACTAGTGAAAAAGGTGCTTGTTAACATTTTAAAAGCAGTTTTTCATGCCGTTTAAAAGCCAAAAGTCAAAAACTATATATATATATATATATATAAAAATTGTAATAAGTATGTCATTACATCAAATCATTTAACAGAAAATGCTTTGTTATAATTACACCAACTTATTTCTTGGAAAAAAAAAAACTCATCAATAAAATTTTTTTTTGTTAGATTATAAATGAATGTTGTTGCATGGGGAAGCGTGACCATACACAAATCAACAATTATCACCACACGAATAGCATGAAAAAACTCATCAATTTTCAGTCGTAAACAATGACACATTTTGTTAAACTTCTAAAATCTACGCATGTTTTATATTTTCATATAATAAATAAGATATTGGAGTCAATTAAAAATATCGTTAAAACGAGGTTAACATGAAATCTATTGTTTCGGTTTTTCCAACCATTCCTTTCTTTTTCTAAATGAAATGATACAATAAGAGTGAGTACTAAATATTATTTTAGATTAAATACAAGATGAAAAAGTGCAGATTATGCCACATCTGATACCTAATTTGTATTTATTAGTCTAAAATGCGATATGATGAACAAAATAAAACCATATGTAATTCCCAAATATAATGTTCTTTCCATCGCTAACCAACGATCCGATGCAGTTGAGAGGATGAAGAAGTTCCAAAAATAGCATCAAGTGGATGGACAAGGTTTTGGAAGAGCACTGACAGAAAATACTAGATTGCACTATCAATCAAGACAGGAAGCCCTCTATTTTGACAAGTGACCTTCGGAAAAAAAAAAAAAAAAAAAAGAAAAAAAAAAGAAGAAAAATCCATAAATCATTGAAATTGTACACAAGCTTATTCATAAACGTTTACAAATTAGTAATGGTATTTGTAAATAAAAATCCAAAAATTTGAAGAAAAAAATCAATTTATCATCTCCTTTTTGTAATTTTTATGCCCTAAGCCCATCATCATCATCACCATATATATGTATATAACAGTAGGTGAGAACACTAGAAAAGAAAAGAAAAACTAAAAAAAAAAAACGTGAATTAAAGAGATCTTCATGTCAGAGAACAAACTTTTGGGTTGGTTTAGTGTTAGAAAAAAGATTTTTCATTTTTTATCTCTAATTTTTTTTCTATTTCCAACTTTTATTTAATGTTGAGAATTTTCAAAAATTGTTCATGAACTTGAAAAACTATTTTTCGTTTTGAACATTGAAAAACATGTTGAAATAAAAAACATAAATAATTTTATAAATTTTTAGTTTATTTATTTAACTCTTCCCTATTTCTCTCCCTCTCTCCCTCTCTTCCTCTCTCTCCTTCTCTCCCTCCCTCTCCCTCTTTCTAGATTGAGTGTTCTTGTTCTAAAAGCTATTAAGTTTTTGATGGTGAATTACCTACTCAGTTATAACATGACAAGACTAAAACATCATTGCTTAAAACAACATGAACACACCTTAGACAACATCGAGGCATGCATGAACATAGTCCAAAACAGTGCATGACCGAATAACTTCATGTCTAACCCAACATAAAACACAATCCAAACAACCTTAATTAATCACCAAATCTAAATTTTATTATAAACTCTTAATGATATTTTTCTTTTAATATCACACTAATTAGTTTTAATATATTTTTGTGTATAAATAAAGTGATATTGTTCATAAAGTTATAGTTAATTTTTTAATGATCAACAACATTAAAAAAAAAAAAAAAAAAAACAATGAGATGGAATCATATAATGAAAGAGATTGATATAACTTGTGGATCTCTTAAAAACCTCAAAGGAAAAGGATGAGGTTTATAAGCTATTTATCCGGTCAAAATCTGGTGGGATAAAAAAAAAACGGCTTTTCTATTTTTACCAATTTATAAAGGTGCAAAGAGGTCCATTATGATTAATTTAGTATTATGTTGTTTAAAAAAATATCTTCTTTTTTTCACCAAACGTTTCATATTTTTTACTTTTGTTTTTCTTTTTTGTTTCTTAAAATAAATTGAAAAATAACAAAAAAAAGATTAAGTTATAAATAGATTTTAAAACATAGGGATTAATTAATTAGTTTTTTGAAAGTAGAAGGACTATTTGATTCATTTTTAAAAACTAGAGAGACTAATTTATAATTTACTCTTTAATAGATTGTGAGTAAGTAGAAAGTTGAAAGAAAGAAAATAAATTGGAGCATCATCTAGATCGAATTTAATGCAAATGCATTGAGTTGAATTTATTATTTTTAAGCTTGAAATTGGCAAAAAATTTAATAACCAAGTTAATTAATTTGCCTTAAATAAATATAATATTAAGTGAAAATCAATTGCTAGAATACTTTGTTTATTTGAACTAATATAATCCTATATATATAATGACTTAAGAAAAGTCTACTTTTATTGAATATTTCTATTTTAAGTTTAAAAGTATGGATGATCATATTTTGTTAGAATCATATCCTTCGATGCATTTTATTTGTGGATTATATGCTATTATTTGCTAATAAAATTATTAACAAAGCTCGATTAGGAGTGTTATGCATCAAGTATGGACGATGACCATCGCATTGATTACAATTTTTAAGGTTAATGGTTGAATTTGCCTTTATATATCAAGATAATTTTTTAATTTATCTTTATATCTTTCATTAAGTCAAATTTATCTTTTAATATATGTTAAATTTCTAATATATATATTTTTAATAAGATTTTCAAGTCAAACTATCAAAATTAGTCACGTAATTTATACAAAACTATTTTTTTATCTTCAAAATTCTCTTATAAATCAAACAAATCGAAAGCTTTTATGAGTAAATCACATGACTAATTCGGGTGGTTTGATTTTAAAATCTTAATAAATTATATAATAGAAACTTAATGTATATTTAAAAATAAAATTAGCTTAATTAGAGATACAAGAATATATTAAAAATTCACCTTATTATATAAAAATATATTGAGCTATTAACCCCAATTTTTATAACTTTTCAATTTTATAGAATCAATTTTATTTTTTACTATATGTTAAATTTTTAATATATCTTTCTCTTAAGATTTTCATAACAAACTATCAAAATTAGTCATGTAATTTATATATAAATATTTTTTATTTTTAAAATTCCCTTGCAAGTCAAACAAATTAAAAGTTTTTATGAGCAAATCACGTGACTAATTCGAGTGATTTAACTTCAAAATCTTAACAGAAAAATAAAATAAAAACTTAATGTATAGTTAAAGATAAAATTACCCTAATTAGAAATACAAGAACATATTAAAAAATTACCTCATTATACAAGAATATTGAACTATTAATCTTAATTTTTTTTAACTTTTCACTCGCATATCTTTCTTTTCTCTCAAACTTTCCTTTTGCATCAAGATTCTAGAAGAAGCTACAATTCAATAGCCATGAATGGATCTTACAAACTCAAGTAAATGCTCATTTCTTTTTATTTATTAGATCTAATTTTGGTTATTGTTGTTTATTAATTAATGATAACATTAATTACTTGCCTTTTTGCTTTAATATATGATAGCCATTTTCACATGGGATATTTATTGTGTATTGTTTGTTTTCTGAATTACGGCGGCTATTTAATATTTCCACACTGTCGTTATTAAGATTGCTCTGTCATATTGCAATCTGTATATGATTCTTTTCGACATTTGTAAAGAAACAATTCAACAACTTTAATTTATTTTTTGTAATTCCATCTCATTTTCCTTTGGCTTGGAACTTCATGAATTTCGAGTAAAAAATTTGTATCTAAATTCTAGATTTTTTTTTTGAGCTACACATTTTTTAAGAGTAAATTATATAGTAGTCCCTTTAGGTTCGAAAAACGAATTATTTAGCCTTTTTATTGTAAAATACTAAATTATTTAGTTTTTTTTATTATCAATATTGATCATGCTTTTAACTTAATATTACTTTATTCCAAAAAAAATGTGTTTTTTTTTCTCATCAATATTTTCATAATATTTATTTATTTAATTTTTTAAAAACAAATTAGAAAAAAAAATGGACAAAAAGGATTTTTCAAACAAAAGGGATTAATTAGCTTGTTTCTCAAAACTAAATGGACTAATTTATAATTTACTTCATTTTTTAAAAATGGTCTCAGATTTTTCATACAAGCATGAAATTGGAATTACTCCTAGTAAATTCTTCCCTACTATAACCTCAGAACATGCTAAATTTTGCAAATTTTCCTCGTGAAAATAATCATTAATTTGTAATCCGTTTCATTACTTTTTGTCCATTAGCTCTTACTAAAAAAAAAAATTGAATACCAGACAAGTCAGTGTACTCTGAAACCATGTTCGCTAACCTTGTATAAATAAACTTGCTTCTCTTCTATTAAGTTATCAGAATTCACAATGACCTCACACAACCTTAAACCACAAAATTTACAGCAAGTTTGTCGAAATGAAGAACAAAATGGTGTGACAAAGAATGATGGTTATGTAGATCGCGATGGCATCGGATTAATCAGACATCAAGTGCGTCGAGAATTTCATCAATCTCTCGATCTTAATTATCCTACGTTAGAATCGAACTTATTTGAATTCGGTATACCACCTCGACCTTGTTTAGAATTGCAAGATTTTTTCCATAAAGAGGTAAAGTAGCATGATGTTTTCTTTTATGAAATGAATTTTATTATTAGTAATTTTTGCACTTTCCTTTTCTCAATCTTTAGTTTAATTAATTTTGCTGATTTTATCTCTCTCTCTCTTTTTTTTTTTTTGTGAAGATTGCGGTGACGAGATGCATTATGAAAGGAAGAAATGGAAGAAGCTTTCCGATAATGGCACAAGAAGAAAAGAACACGAATCTTGATTTGAATCTTAAACTCTCATTGCCGGGATTGGACCCGGAGGATGAACCATCAAATCGAATCGAAATTTCTTCATCATCATCGTCAAGCCAACAACATTCTTGTATGTCTTTGGACATAAACTCGATCGATAGCACCAACTTGATTGAGGTTCCGTCGTTGGTTTTGATGGGTTGTGCACATTGCCTCATTTATGTCATGGTGTCTGAAGTAGATCCCAAGTGTCCAAAATGCAAGAGAACCGTTTTGGTTGATATGTTTCGTCGAAGGCCAGCTAAGAAAGCAAGGAAGTGTTAGTTTGTTTAGCTTTCAAAATTTGTCTTTCACAGAAAAAAAGTTGCATACTGTTTGGCTATGCTTTTAAGTTAGATTTTTTATTACCACCTTTTGTATTTCTTGCAGCTGAGTTTTTTTTTTTTTTTTAAAGGAGTTATGTAAGAGTTTTATTGCTTTTAGAGTCTATATTTAGATGCCATATTTATATAATTTTGTGATTTTCTAAGGTGCTCATTTTTCTCCTTAATCCTAGAGTATAAATCAGTTCCAGGATTTTTTTAGCACGTGTTCAGAGAGGAAAAAAAAAAATTTTGAATAACAGTAGTTTTAAGAGTAAATCATAAATTAGTCTCTAGTTTTAAGAAACGAATTAATTAGTTCTTATTGTTTTAACAACTAATTATTAGTTATTTTTATCCATCTTATGTTATTTTTCTAATTTTTCTTTTTTTTAAAAGAAAAAATAAATTGATATTATGTAAAGATTGATGAGAAAATAATTCGATATTTTTTAAAATAAAATAATATTAAATTAAATATGAACAATTAATGACTAAATAATTAGTTTTTAAAACAGGAAAAATTAATTAATTTGTTTTTTGAAACTAAAAAGACGAATTTAAAATTTACTCGGTAGTTTAATGCATCTAAACATAAAAATGCTTCCAATGCTGTTGCATTCAAGATTTTGCTAGTAATATTTATAGACAATAAGAGATGAAATTGAGTCTAAATAATAATTACTAGTTGAAGTCGTACAAGTTGTGATGAGAGATTACTGAGTATAATTAGTAATTACTAGGTTGTGATTATCATTAAGAACAATTCCAAAATTAATTACTCATGTCCTCTATGTTTGGTATAAGGATCAAGGATCAACTTTTCGCACCCAGAGTAGACTATGAATAATCCCCTTTAGTTTTTGAAAACAAATTAAATAGTCTTTTTAGTTTGAAAAACTAATTAATTAGTTTTTCTGGTTTTAAATCTATTTGTAAATTAATCATTTTTATTATTTATTATTTTAATAATAGGTAAAGTAAAAAAAAAGATTAATAAATATGAAAGGATTGATGAGAAAATTTGGAAACAAAATAATATTAGATTAAGTATAATAATCCTAGTTGAGAGACCAATTAATTGGTTTTTAAAACACAAGAAACTATCTAATTCGTTTTACAAAACTAAAGGGACTAATTTATAATTTACTTTTCCACACTCTTCAGTATTTATTTTCTAATTTTTTAATTTCATACCAAACGCAACCCAAATGATGTTAAGGGCACTGGTGTCCCCCATCTTTTTATTGATTCTTGATGTAATTGACAGAATTTTTTTTTCTCAATTACATCCCTTATTTAGTTAGAACTCTTAATTAGATCCCCTCTCTAAATTCTGCACCAACTTTTTTTTTGAAAAAAACATCAAAATTTCTTTAAAAAATGAATTAATTTATTGCATAAGATATGTCTTTAATTACAATTAATTTTATATTTTAGATACATGTATCATATAGACTATAATTGATTTTAAAAAAATTACATTAATAGATATGGATAGGAGAACTCAATTGAGTAATTTATAGACCGGGGATCAAAATTGAGAAAAATGATTTAGGTCAAGGATCCCAATAGACAAATAGTGAATAGTTTAGAGACTAATATGTTATTTTTTTCTTGATCATATTTTTCTCAAGAAATGTAACGACTCCTATTTGATTAATTATTGATACAAGCAGAGTAATATAAATTATATTGAATTTAAACATGCATAAACATTTCCAATCTCGTGAGCACGAACAATTTGCAATTTGAAGAAGGTTAAGAAATATTCTAGCAGTTGTATATCTAATAGTATTCTTTAATTAAGCGAGGTTCAATTCTAGTTTATTTGATTATTATATAAAGATGAAAAATTATTCCTTATTATATTGCTCAAAACCTATAGATCTATCGATAAACCAAATAAAAAAGTTTAAATAAAAAAAAGAATGACTTGCAAATTTTTTTATAATGTGGTTACCAATTTGAGGTATTCTGCTAAAATCTTTTTTTTTTTTTTTGAGATATTTTGCTCAAAGAAATGTTTTCTCTATTATGGCCCAAAACAACCTTACCTTGTAAATAATTATAAACTACATTATAATTTCACTTTTCATTTTCCCTTTATCAAAAAATAAAAAAATTCCCAAAAAAAAAAAAGATTTAAAAAACTGATGGTAATTAAGTAGGATCATATGGTAGTCGCAAGAATAATCCACAGCTTGAGTGACTTATGGTCCTTTGGTCAAAGAAAATGAGAGGCATAAAGACAATCATTGTGTGGATTAGTTCTACTAATCAAAGTTTATCCATTGATATAGGAATGCATTATTATTATTTTGTTATTATTATTTTGGTAAAATGGAATGCATTATTTTGATTTCTCAGCTAATGGCAGGGGAGGTACTACAGTATGTTTTGGGGACATGCACCTCCAGAAACTTAAGTTCTTTTAATTTTGGTCCTTTAATTTTCGAATTTTTTGTAACAGCTATGTATTTGACTCTTCTAAAAATAACATATTTTCTCTACAATCTTTTTTTGTTTAATTTAATTTATTTTCAAGTTCATGCTTATAGTTTTACAAGGACACGTTTATTTAAAATTTTCTAGTTTTGTCCCTATGAATTGCAAAGCTATTTTATTTGACTTTTAATCGTTTTTTTTTTTTTTAAATAAAAGAAACTAAAATTGTTTTTAAGATAATAAAAATTATGTTTTTCAATATTTGTTATCTTGGGCAATCTCATTACAAATTAGGAATTAGCATCTTTTTTATCCCTAAATCAGTAATGCTAATATTTATCCTTTGTTATAGAAATAATAACAGCAAAAATTGTTAGTGGAATCAACATTAATCCTCCTTAATCGAAAATACTCTATATGTTTTTCTTGCACAAAATCTTCATTTTTTCCCATTAATTTGAAGTAAAAATACCTCCCAATGATTTGCTTATTGCATATTAATTATAAATTGAATACCACACAAAAACAAATTTTCATTAATTTGGTAATAACAAGCCACTTGTTTTGACAAATAATAAAAAAATGCTAAAAGAATCTCTCATCGACAAAGCAAAAAACTAGTTTTTGTCCTCTCTAGTTTTTAATATATTAATTTTCACCAGTATCTCATTTCAAATGTTCAACAATTTCGTTTTCATTTTTTGTGTCTCACTGAAAATTTAATTCCAATTGAGTATCAAAATAGACTAAAAGTTCAAACCCTAAAATAAAGTATAAATGCTACACTCATGTCTATCCTTCCAGCCGAGTTTTCTTGCAAATTTAAGGTCATTCAATATTCATTCGGATTCAAAAATAAAAAATAAAAAATTACAAAATTAAATAACGATAATTTATCCTTTGGAATTGTTTGTTCTTTTTAATAAAAAAAAAAAAATACTTGGTAGATGGTTTCAAAAAACTTTTAGTTCATGTCTAATCATTTGGTTCCTTTTATTTAATAATCAAGGATATAATTAATAACTTTCTTCTATTACAACAGTACACATAATAATGAAATATGATAGTTATTAATAAAAATTTTATATAAGCATTAAGTTCAATTATACAAATATTCATAGTCTAATGGTTGTATATTCAATAATTTTTTTAGTAAAATAAATTCGAGTCATAACAACTCTATTTTATTTAATTATTATGCAGTGAGAGAGGAGCATGTCTAATTTCTCGTACTTGATCAATATGTCCCCCTTTCGTGGAGTGCTTCACCTTACTCTTGATTATAGGAATAATTACACTATACTATATTAATTTTTATTTTTTTAATTAAGTATATGAATTTTAATTTTTTTTATTTGAGTACATAAATTTTTTCAAAACTATTAATCAAGTATTTCGTCAATTTTTTCGTCAACCGATAATGTGTCCGTTATCCTCAAAATATCAAATTATAAATTTATCCTCTTTTTTTTTTTTTTTTCAATCGGGTACATAAGCTTTAAAATTTTTTGTTTGAGTATATAAACTTTTTTAAAACTATCAATCAAGTATTTTTATTAATTTTTTCATTAATTGATCATGTGTTTGGATACAAAATTATAATTTTACCATTGTTTGTTGAAAAAACTTTCTTCCCAAATTATTTCACCATTTTAAAATTTGACAAATAATTATTCCTCTGGTAATAACTCATCAATTTCCAGGTACATTTTTAGTTTATACTTATATATATATATTTTTTCAAATTTCAGTTAATAATATTTATTATTTTTTTATTAGTTATTATTTGTAGTTAATTTAATGTACGTTATTTGATGTTAATTAATTATAAATCTAATTATTATTGTTAATTAGTTGTAATTAGTTGTTGTTTATCATATACTTATTTAGGTCAATTAGAAGTAAATGTAATAATTTAATTGTAATTATTATTATTATTTTTAGTTGTTATATATATATATAACTTCATTCTTCCCATCATCCCTACTCATTTGTGTCTTAACTTTCTTCCTTCTTTCTCCAAATATTTGTAAATTTTCTTTATATCGTGCATATTTCTCTGGAAAGGCAAAGAAATTACAAAGGAACTCCAGAAAATGGAGGTGCATTGCCATTATAATTCTTATAATTGTTGTGGCTATGATTAAGCCATGGAATAACAACAAGGGGGGTTTGCGTCTTTATGGTCTTGTATAATGTACAAATGCTATAATATTTCTCTTGTAACTATCTCAATATAACATGAGCTCCTTCTCTAGAAAAGCAGAAGGAAAAAAATAGAAATGACGCAAGAGAAGAAAAGAACACAAATGTTGTTTCGAATCTCAGACTCTTCACTGCTACGATTGGACTTACAGGATGAACCATCAAATCAAGTTGAAATTTCATCAGCATCAAGCCAACTTTGGTGTATGCCATTAGACATGAACTCGATCCACTGTACCAACAAGTATTAAGGAACATAATGTAGCGATAAAGTAATTATTTTGATTTGATCAAAATAAAATTTTAATTCTTATTATTTATTGATAACTAATCTTAATAGTCTTAAATTTAGACAGATGTAGCTTCCAAGATAGTAAAGTAATAGATCAAAAGATAAACGTGTTCTAATACTGATTTAACTCAAAAAATAATAAACTTAACTTTGATTAATGTAAAATATAAGTAAAAAATAACTATTACATGAAAAAAAAAAAAACGACTGTACCAACTTAATGGAGGCATCTTCCTTGTCATCTATGGGCGGTACGCATTGCCTCATTTGTGTTACAGTGTCTGAAATGTCCAAAATTCAGGAGAATTGTTTTGGTTGATCTATTCTGTCAAAGGCCCAGCTATGAAACCAAGGAAGTGTTAGTCTACTTTTCAAAATTCATTTTTCACCAAAAAAAGGCTCGAAACAATTAGACGATGTTGGTCCAAATCTGTTATCTGTTATATTACTGATCTCTTAAGATACATATATAGTTTCGTGTTCGTATTCAGATTTATAGTTTTGTTGTGAAAAACACCTTTTGAAAAAAAATAAAAAAATTGGTGGTCTTTGGATATGTTTTCGATTTGGATTTTGTAGTGGGGAAGATAGTACTTCCATGGTCCTCCTCCTCCTCCTCCTCCTCCTCTTCTTGTTTTTTTTTTTTTTTTTTTTTTTTTGCAGCTTAAGGTTTCACCATATCATCTTTTAATGAATTACTCAGGAAATGGTACTATGTTTTGTTATGTAAGAGTTTTTAATTTTTCATTGAATTTATGTTGTGGATTAAAAAAAAAAATTATTTCACATTGCTATGAATATCCAGATTCCATATATGAACTTTTCGATTTTCTAAGGTGCTTAATTTTCTTCTAATTGGTTTTTTGGCTATGGTTTCAAAATTTAAATTTTCAT